TTTGTTCTTATACGCAAAGATATTTATGTGTGGGTAATGCTACAGACAGTCGTACATATACTGTTGATGCAAGTTAATTTACAATGTATCAATGACTAACAATGTATCAATGATTGACAATTGCCCAAATGCGTGTGGATAATTTTCACTAGGACAATTTATTCATGTACATATACCAACCAACTCCTGTGTTGTTCATATTCCATCTTTGACATTATGTTACAGTAAGTGTGACAATTTTTTCTTGGTCACCATTGGGTCCAAGTCAATTGCCAAAATTGGGTAAATATCACTATTGAATTCCTAAACTGCCCTTCAGGTTGTCAGAAATATAAAAGATAAAAAATTTAGAGATTAAATATTAAAAAAAAAGATTTTTTATTTAAGCCCCACACTTCTCTTAGTTCACCCCAACTTTTATTTTAAATTTTCACAATTTTTAAGAAAACCCCACTATCTTCCTAAACTACCCTTACATACACCTCAAGCTAAAAAAAAAGAAATAAAAGAGATTTTATATTTAAACCCCTACAATTTTCTTTGTTCATCCCAATACTTAAATCATTAAACAATATTTGTAGTATACATGAGATTTTGTTGTTTTCACAAGCTATTTTTATCATGTGATTATATCATACGGGAAATTCTAGTTTGTTTGATTTCGTTTTAGATGATAGTGAAAACCAATGACCACAACTTTTTTTTTTTTTTTTTTACCAACGGCAAAGTGACATTTAGCCTACTGAGATGATATGATATAATGATGTAATTTGCTACTTGAGAACATTGCTACAGTAAAAATGGCATTTAAGACGATAATCCTTATATACTTTTCTTTCTCCACAATCAATTGTAACATTGAAACAAAAAGCATGCCTATATTTTATAGGAGATAAAAAGGGAAGATAATGAAGGTGTAAAGGAGAAGAGTAATTTGGCAATAAGATGTAGAGGAGTTTGTATTTTTCTAAAACTTAATATGAAGAGTGATGTGGTGTGTGGTGTGTGGTGTGTGGTGTGCATAGATGTACTATGGTTAAATATTAAGTTGAATGACATTTTTTTGTCTTTTTACACAATAATAAAACTTTCAGGTTAACGATTTAAGTATTTTGGTGAACAAAGAGAAGTGCGGGGTTTAAATAGAAAATCTCTTAAAATAAGGGAAAAAAAAAAAAAAAAAAAAAACAATATAAAAATCAACCGCCCATGAAAGCAGGCAGCAAGAAAAACTGGGGTTGATGGTTTTTTGTCTTGCCCTTATTTTTTATTATCATTAACCTCTAAACCCCCATTATTATACAAATGGTCTGTGATTAGTGGCACAATACCCCAACTAATTAAATACAAATTAGCAATAAAAAAATCCATTAACCACTACAAGGTGTGCTGGTACAAAACCAACATAATTGAGTTCAACATTTGAAGCAAATAATTTAAAATATTAATATGTAATTCATATCGTGCTAATGTTTAAGCCGGGGCGGTTTGTTTCTTAATCGCTGTCTTTCATGGATAAAAACTTGTTTATTAATTTTGCTGATAAAATAATGTGCAGATAGATATTTGAACAATCGACTTTGAGATTAATATAATATAATCCGAGATTAGATAATATAAAAACAAGGTGCGAGAGTTCCAATAATTCTCAAGTTTTTATTGCTTGCACGTACGGATGCAACAGCTCAAATATTTGACACCATAGGGTTACATTCAACTAAATTATTTTTGTTTAAGGGCATAAAGTAATAATATTTTGTATCAGACGTATACGCTTTCTTCTCATAATTACTCAATCAAATAAACAAGACGTATACAATTGTTTTACTTTATATTTTTTTCGTCACGAGACGAGTATATAGCAGTAAATTATTTGTTTTCAAACTTGTTGACTGAAAAATCAAATTATTACAGATTGAATTGGACCCTTAAGAAGTGAACAATAAGATTTGACATATCGCATGTAGCTTAGATGCAATGCATACATATGCTTTGGAAAATCCTGGCAAGAAAAGGATTTAAAAAACGAAAAACGTGGTTGGGAAAAGTAAAACCAGACCACACGTGGATGCATCCCTAGTCAGCAGTATTGTAGCTTGACGTGTAACTTTGTTTCTTATTTTAGAACATTGGATTTTTCCCAGAAGAAAAGAAAACAAATCGGCTAGGATTATTCTTCACATTTATGACCTCTATCTATGGTTTGAAGTAACATGGAGATGGAGGCCAAGGTCAAAAAGAAGAAAATCATCAAATTGCAGGCTTTTGGTTTGTTCATATTTGAAGTGTTAAACGTGCCTTGACCGTTTCTAATTCAACATGGGGATATACTGCATACACTGAATGATGCTTTCCAACATTCAATCTATTCCATTTCCGGATTAACTTTATGGTTAGCATAGTCAATTTTGAATCTTAATTTGGCAAAATGCAACCCAAGTCAGGTTACGGGCTTTAAAATGTGGTTACGCGTTGAACTCTTTTACGATGATGAGTGCGTAAAGAAAAAATGGAAATGTGAACATTATTACCCAAATACAATGAAATTTACCCGCTTTGTAAAGATGTCACATTTACACGCTTTAAAATGCATTTACACGTTGCGTTGAACTCTAATTTGATGATGAGTGCGTAAAGACAAAATGAAAATGTGAACATTACGTGTTGTGATTATGTTTTTATTTATTTATTTATTTTAAATGTGTTGATTTATTTCTATATATTTTGTCTCATATGTTAAAGTACTTATTAGGGGTGGTGGTTGAATAACCTCACCCATTCAAGCTCCAACTCCAACTGAAAAGACTAGACCTAAAAATATTGGAAAAATGTGAAAAGATAAAAGAAAAGGGTAAGAAATTTGCATAAGAAAACAAAAATAAAACTTGATGCTGCTTCGTTGTATTGTAGTCTACACAAAAGACCAAAAATCAGATATCCATTGGAAATTCATGGGCAAAGATGAATATTTTTGGCATGAGATAAGCTTAAATAATACGGAGCATCAAATGCCATATGTCATCCCTTACAAAGGCTCCACACAGCTTGGGGAGGGAGACACAGAATTAATTTGCCATTGATAAACTCCAATTAATTAATCATCCTTGTCGTGTGTTTGTTCAACTAGTCATATTACAAGCACTTAACGAACCATTTTAATACCCTGTTTAGTTACAAGACTCGAAAAAAAGGGCAATAATTTACGTAGCAGTCACAATTGTCTCTATTAGCAAGCACAGTAAAATAGAAAATTAATAGCCTGACCAGAAAAAAAGAGAGAAATATAATGCTCTATATGTACTGAAACATTAGATACATTTTCTTACGTGAAAAAAGTATTATTTCACCACCGCCCGTTTTATGATTACACATTAAAAATGGAGGGAGGCGCCGGCTTGACCTCCCTCTCGTTTTTCACACACCAGTGATACCACACAACGCAGGTTTGTTAGGAACAGTCCTTTACTCGCAATTGGATGATTTTTTTGATGTTGTTTAACTATAAGTTTCACGTTGCTCAATCGCGTGTGAATTACTAACTCAAGCATTAAAGTTGTATACTAAATATGTGGCCGTGTTTCATTTATTTTTTAAACTTGATCGATTTCTAAATGATAAAAGTGAGACACGAACTTGTGTTCATGTGAATGTAAAAGAAAATTTGACGAACAAATTTAATGACTTTAGCATTCTCATATTGGAAAAACATAATTTGAAAGTGTATCACACCTCTAGCATGGGTAATAGCTTTCATCGGGCAATCAACTTTTTAGTCATGGTGGATGATGATCATGACATAGTGGAGGCTCTCTCCCACGTGGGAAGGCTAAGGCGGTGGATAAGTTTTAGATGTGCTGTGTTGTTGGCTGTGAGTCTGTGACTGAGAGGAGCTTTCATGGTTGAATAGTTTCTGATCCAATATCTGGCCCCAAACAACAGTTGGCATGGCAGATGATCTGATGATTGCCATTATAACCCAAGATCAATTGCCTCACTGTCTTTGACACTGTAGCTAATACAATTTGACGGCAACACACCTGCTTACATGATTAGTGTCGTAGACACAGGGGATTTTATCTCCGGTTATAGGTAAGATTCTCTCCACAAGGAGGCTTTTGATGAAGAGCAAGTTCTTGTGGTAAAGTGGGCATAAATGCTAAAAACTGAATAAAATCATTTCTTGCATTGGAACCCATTGGAAGAAATGTTTTCTTGACTTTTGCAAAGGGCAAAAATAGTATTCCATTTTAAAGGGTAAGTGGCAAACACTTGAGTCAGTGAAGATATTGCAAACTGACATTATTGTCTTTCTGATCCCATATGACTCAGTTGGGCATGTTGCTTTAGGAAGTTGGTAGCCCCATGGCTCCAATTTTGCATTAAGATATGGATCCTTATGAAAAGCCAGTTAGAAAGGGTGTGCTTAACCTTAATAATGAAAATTTCAAGGGGCATCCCATAATTTAAATATATAAAATGGGTGAAAGCAGAGATCTAGATAAGGGTGGTACCAAGTTTCTTTTTGACCATGAAGATGGCAAGTGAGATAATAAACTTAAACCAGTTGTAGCCCAAAGATATCACAGTTTGCCTTTGGAAAGCCAACATCATAACATGTAGGCCCAACAATTGAACAAAATAGTACACACGCTTTAGCTAGAATCACATGGAGTGGGCAAGCTGATTGCTTTACTATTTGCTCTGTGATGGATTACAAGTGCATTCTACGCGAAAGTACAAAGTTCTAGATGTTAGCAACCACCACAACCATGTGGTTTATAACAAGAAGAAAATGAATCAGAAGACCGCAAGATATTATTTCAGAAGATTCTCATAGATGCTATGTCCATTAGGCTGGTAAGTAATTTGATGCAATGGCTACCGATCTGCAGAATTTCGCCAAAGCAGGCATTGTATAGGATTGTTGAAATTATGGATAATCAATATCTCCATGAAATCAATCCTCACCATGTAACATCACTCTGAAGATGGGGAACAAGTCACTTGGAACCATGCCTAACACTCTCTTCAACCCGAGCAAATGCATCTGTGAGCACATCAATTGTCCAATCCTTCAAATCCTCCTGGAAAAAAAATACGTGGAGAAGCATAAGATTTCTTCACTTCTTGGAAGTAAAACATAAAGGTAAGGGGAAATATATGTACGAACACATGAATCAAAACAATGGAATATATCCTTCCTACTTTATGTTCTTTCAAGGGAATCCATCAAAATCAAATGTTTTAAGTTTAAGATCCATGGTTGTCTGATTCCAGCACAGTATATGTGCCATAGGAGTCATTAATAATAGGCGATTAGGCTTTAAAGAGTTAAAATTGTTTCTTAACTGATGCTAAGCTAAAGACACTCCCCCTTAGGTTATAGAACAAAATCATGAAACAAGAAGCACCAAAATAAATTATCGGAGAGACTGTCCACTGCATAAAACTCGCCATAGCAGTTATGCGCAACACAAAATTTTAAGTGGTCTGGAAGCTGCTTAAGTACTATGAGTATACTAAATTGATGCATCCAGGACTGCCGTGAAAGCAAGCACGGGATATAACTCCTAAGAACAAGAGGGAAAATATATAGTTCAGAAGAACTTGACAAAAGGTCAGTAAGCTAGTTATAACCAGCAGTAACCTAACATTCAGCAGATTAGCCAAGAATGCAAGTTCTGATATGGAAAATATCCAATGTAAAGCCACAGAAAAGAAGAAAAAAAGAAACCAAAGATGTGGATATTTTCTTTTGCACAATTAGATGTCTCAATTACTGTATATGGAAGCTTGGGGGAAGAAGTTCGGTGTTTCAAGTGGTGCCACTAGTTTTAGAATTCGAGAGGTTATACAATTTTTATATATAATATAGTTCCAAAACGACACCACAATTTAATGTGGGGAAAAACAACACTGATCCTACACTATTATCCAATCATCAGCAAGACTGCGAAAACATACTAACTTGTATTGTTTACGAGTAAAAAGTAACTTGTCCCTCACCATGCGTACTGGTTCTCCAGTTCTTATCCGTGCATTTGGACGAGCCAGCTTGGATTCAAATGGAGTCCTTGGCCTCACTTCTCGAATTTCTTCCCATTCCTCACGAGTGAGCATCCTAACAGTGCCTTGTTCAGCAGGAGCATTCTTTATTTTGCGTTCAATCAATTCTTGTGATCTTGAGTCATCATACTGCCAGCATGAAAGACCAGTTACTTTAATCACTCAAAAGACTAATCAACGGAAGCCAAAACACTATCTACATAAAAGGAGCAAGCCATTCCCTTTATTTCCAGAAAAACATAAAATAAAACCTTTACACGAAGCGTTCTATACTTTCAACAGGGTATAATCTATTTATTTACCTTCCTTTGCAAAATCAAACATGAAAAGCAGCAGGTTACTTTAAAGAAGACAACACTTTTGAACTTCCAAGATCTAATCTTTTTATTTCTTACCTTTTGGCCTTGGTCTAATCTTTTTTCATCAGTCGGAGCAACTTACATCTCCATTCAGCTGAATGAAATTAAATTCTTAAACCCAAAAAATTACAACTTGCAAAGAAGTAGAAAACCATGTTTGACATGATCATCTGAGACCCTTCTGCAAGCGATGCATGCAACGATTGTTTATTACAAAACACAAGCAGCATCAATAGGCAGAACAACTCTTAGTGCAAAACACAGATATGAATAGCAATAGTTTCGAATTTTCAATGAGACTGCAAATTCTATTAAGAATTATGATAAAGGAACAAAATTTAGGAAATAGAGAGCAAATAAACAAATGGGGTTGTCGAAATAGTGAAGGATAAATAGTTAAGTTAATTTTACCATCATGAGGAGCTTGGCGAAGAGGGCTATTCCAACAGCAGTGAGAATCTGGGGCATGGTGGCTGTGTCTAGGTAGGTCATAGGCTCCGGAACCTCAACGAACACTGTTTGTTTATCTTTCTTTGCGCTTTTTCTCTTCCTCATTTTCCCCAACTGGGCAATCTTTGTCTTCAAGCTTTCACTTGGCCCATCAAAAGTATGCATCTGCCTCCCAAAAGAAACCAACACTCTCTGCCTCACCCAATTCATGGCTTCTGTCACTTTTCCCAGGAACAGTTCAAACGAGGAAGAAGGAATCCAGAAGCCAACTCCATTCGCATCACAGATGAGGAGGAGAGGTGAAATTGGAGCTCAAAAAGTACATGGCCATATGGGTTTTTGGCCCTATTGGGCAATGAGGTTTCATACAAGTTTTGGTTGGGCCTCAAAGTTTCAAACTTTTAAGCTAGTCCAGCCCAACTCTCTCTCTCTCTCTCTCTCTCTCTCTCTCTCTCTCTCTCACACACACACACACACACACACACACACTTTCAGTTTGGTCAGATGTTTTTGTGTTTCTCTGACGCCATAGCTTGGTAGCTCACCGTTTGGGGCAGTAGAGAAGAAATGGGTTTATTTTCACATGGACACCTCCTTGCATTTCAGCTAAACAATCGAATTGGTATTGCAAAAGCAAGACTTGTAATTTCAATCAAATATTGCACCTCGCAATCAGAGACCTGTAAACAGGACGAGGACACAGTGAGAGAAATCTCTACCATTCTCAAACACAACGACTGGCACTTCGCTTTGAACTCCTCAGACCTCCCCAATAAGCTAAACCCTCATGTCGTCCGAGCCGTTCTGCAACAAAACCATCAGGTTGGTGACCCCAAACGCCTTCTCAGTTTCTTCATTTGGACTGGTACCCACATGGGTGTTCCTCAAAATTTACATTCTTTTTCGATTCTTGCTGTTGCTTTATGCAACTCCAAGCTGTTTGAGCAAGCTCATGCTGTGCTAGAGAGAATGGTTAAGAGCCGCAAGCCGCCTTTGGAAGTTGTGAATTCTCTTGTCATGTGTTTTAGAGAGTTTGATGGGTCAGATAGAGTGGTTTTTGAGATTTTGATTAATGCTTTCAAGATGGCGGGACACTTGAATGAGGCTGCTGATGCATTTTTGGCAGTTAAGAAAGTTGGGATTTTCCCAAGATTGGATTGCTGCAATGCTCTGTTGAAGGACTTGTTGAAATGTAATAGGTTGGAGTTGTTCTGGAAGGTGTATGATGCGATGTTAGAGGCTAAGGTAAACCCTGATTTTTATACTTATACCAATGTGATCAATGCACATTGTAAGGCTGAGAATGCTGGGCAGGGTAAGAGATGTCTCCATGAGATGGAGGAGAAGGGCTGCAATCCAAATTTAAGTACCTACAATGTGGTGATTGGTGCGTTGTGTAGAACTGGGGGGGTTGATGAAGCTTTAGAGGTAAAGAAGGCTATGGTTGAGAAGGGTTTGGTTCCAGATAGGTATACTTATTCGGCGCTTCTTGATGGGTTGTGCAGACATAAGAGATCAGAAGAAGCAAAATTGATATTGAAAGACATGTATGATATAGGTTTGAATCCTGAAAACACCTGCTACATTGCGTTGATTGATGGGTTCATAAAAGAAGGTAACATGGAAGAGGCCCTTAGTATCAAAGGCGAGATGATTGCTAGAGGAGTTAAGTTGTGCGATGCCACATATAATGCAATTTTGGCTGGGGTCTGTAGAAATGGTACGATGGAGAAGGCAGAAGCTGTCCTGAATGAGATGAATGTTATGGGCATTAAACCTAATGCCCAGACATTTAAGTTTTTAATTGATGGGTATTGTCGGGGGCAAAGTATGGTAAAGGCTTATGAGATACTTAATGAAATGAAAAAGAGGAACTTGGCACCCAATGTGTACACTTATGGAGTGATAATCAATGGCCTAAGCCGGTGTGGAGATCTGGAAAGGGCTAATAAAGTTTTGAAGGAAATGATTACCAGGGGTTTAAAACCAGGTGCTGTTATCTACACAACTGTAATTAGAGGTCATGTTCAGGAAGGAAAATTTGAAGAAGCAATAAAACTATTTAAGGGAATGAATGAAAAGGGGGTCATGCCCGATGTCTTTTGCTACAATTCTCTTATAATTGGACTTTGCAAAGCCAGGAAAATGGAAGAAGCCAGGACTTACTTCTTGGAAATGGTTGAGAGAGGATTAAAGCCTAATGCATATACTTATGGAGCTTTTGTTCATGGGCACTGCAAGGAGGGGGAAATGCAACTTGCGAATAGGTATTTCCAGGAGATGCTAGGTTGTGGTATAGCTCCTAATGATGTTATCTACACAGCCCTGATTGAAGGACACTGCAAAGAGGGTAATTTAACAGAAGCATATTCAGCATTTAGGTGTATGCTTGGACGAGGGGTGCTCCCAGACATAAAAACTTACAGTGTCATTATTCATGGTCTCTCTAAGAATGGAAAACTTCAAGAAGCAATGGGGGTTTTCTCTGAGCTCCTTGACAAGGATCTGGTTCCAGATGTTTTTACTTACAGCTCTCTCATTTCTGGCTTTTGTAAGCAAGGAAATGTAGATAAGGCTTTCCAACTTCTTGAACTGATGTGTCAGAGAGGCATCGATCCCAACATTGTTACTTATAACGCCTTGATTAATGGACTGTGCAAGTCAGGTGAAGTTGATAAAGCCAAAGAACTGTTTGATGGAATCTCAGGAAAGGGTTTGACTCCTAATGCCGTGACTTATGCTACAATGATGGGCGGATACAGCAAAGCTGGAAAATTAACCGAGGCATTTCGATTATTGGATGAGATGTTACTACATGGGTTCTCTACTGATAGTTTCATCTACTGCACCCTCATTGATGGGTGCTGCAAGGCAGGTGATACGGAGAAGGCCCTGTCTTTATTCGAGGATATGGTGGAGAAGGGCTTTGCTGCTACTGCTTCTTTCAATGCATTGATTAATGGCTTCTGCAAATTAGGGAAGATGATGGAAGCTATTCGGTTGTTTGAAGATATGGTGGATAAGCATGTGACACCAAATCATGTATCCTACACGATTTTGATCGTTTCTCTCTGCAAAGAGGGATTGATGAACGAATCAGAACAGCTCTTTCTGGAAATGCAGAAAAGGAATCTGACACCAACTATTGTAACCTATACTTCACTTTTACACGGCTACAATCTCACAGGAAGCAGATTTAAGATGTTTGCTCTTTTTGAGGAGATGATGGCAAGGGGACTCAAGCCTGATGAAGTTAACTATGGTATGATGGTTGATGCTTATTGCAAAGAAGGTGATTGGGTAAGATGTTTAAAGCTGGTGGATGAAGTTTTGGTCAATGGTACAATCATGAACAGTATTGTGGTAGATGCACTGACAATTAACCTATTCCAAAAGGAAGAATTTTCTGAAGTGATGAAGTCACTTGATGAAATGGGAGAACAAGGATTTGCGCTCAGTCTTGCTACATGTAGCACATTAGTTCGTGGGTTTTACAGATAGGGAATGTGGAGAAAGCAGCAAGGATTCTGGAGAGCATGCTTAGCTTTGGATGGGTTTCACAGTCCACTAGCTTAAGTGACTTAATAAATGAAGACCAAAATGAGGCTAGTTCCGGAATATGTTGAAGCAAGGAACACTGGGAGTTGCTTGTCTAGTTGATTGAGGTAGAATTTCTGGTTCTCTCCTATTCTTGGCTCCGGTGAAAACAAATCCAAATGCTGGCCCGAGAAGGGTGGGCTTAGCAAGTTGTGGTGGTGGAAAAGCTTTGCCTTTGCCATGAGCACCTTCCTCATTGTGAACCAGTGATTGAGTACTCCTAAAACAAAAATGGTGGATTCAATGTTTAGAAAGGTAACTTTTTTTTTTTATCTGTTCCACTTGACATCATTGAAAATGATATTTTGTTACATACTTGCCCAAGACAAAAGGAAACAGAAAACAATAATATAATTTACTGCAGATTGGCTTGGAAAGTTTCTTTTTATTTAGTTTTTACATCCTATGAAAATTTGATCCAACTACTTTCTGTCAACAGACATTTATATAAAGAGGATGGGGAAGGGACAACAAGGGGAGGATACAAAGTAGTCAATATTCTTAAAGATGGTGTAGTGGGTTGATTCCGATGATATGGAGATGGGTGACGAAGCAAGACCAGGTAGCAATGATGAGAGGTGGAGGTGCAGGTAAGAGATCTATATGTCAGTGGCCGAGCCCCAAAAAAAAATCATTATAACAATATTTTGTTCAATCTATAATAAAAAACCATCACATCCCCTCTTTTATGTTCTATTTTTCGCACATTTTATACGGGCAATTTATATTAAATGGTCAACTATAAATCCGTCATTTTAAAATTACAAAATAATTTGAAATCTTATATACACCAACAAAATAATTTGCTAATGACCTCCCAAAAATTCTGTACAGGATAGCAAAACGAATTGAACTTAAAAGTACGTACTGATACAAAACAAGTCAAATTGCCTAAGTTTATCTCCACCCACAAAACTAAACTGATCTACATACACCAACGAAATATTCTGCTAAAACTTCCTAAAGTTCTGTACAGAAAATCAAATCGTATAGAACAAAAAAAGTACATAAACAGATACAAAGCAAATTAAACTGCCTCTATTTACCCCAACTCACAAAACTAAACTGATCTACATTTATTGAAGGGATAAGCCGGTCCGGTGCAGCAAACAAACCTGCAAGCTCTGTTAATCCAAATACATTTTGGCTCTTCCTACCATACCATAGGGATATTAATTCCCATATTTTCAGTCTGTTCTGGTATTCATAAGTATGCAATCAAGTTTCCATCTTAAAACATCATCTGCCTGAGTTTGTTAAAAGAGCAAGCATCCCGTTGTCATTGGAGGCTGATTCTGATACAAGCTCACTTGGTGTTTTACCTTCTCTGTCAATGGCTCGAGGATCCGCTCCCCTGCAATTAAATAGGTAGAACAACGGGAAGCCTTTTATAATTATGAAAAAGAATAAAAAGAACACGATATAAAACAGATTTAAAACATGATATACAAACAAAGGCTGACCTCATAAGAAGCATCTTTGCAATAGATGTATTGCCTCTGATAACGGAACAATGCAGTGGTGTTTGACCTTTTAAATCAGAAGTGTTTACGTTTGCACCGTACTGTAAAAGTAGCTCCACCATGCCAATATCAGCACTTTGGCAGGCTAGGTGAAGCAGGGAAGAGCCCTTAGGGATGTGCTCCAGTGGCTGAACTTCACTTTTATTGAGTGAGTTTGAATTACTTGAGGAAGGCTTGTCTTCAGAAATATCTGCAATTCAACCAAATTGGTGTCAAGTATTTTTCTTCTCATCCAACTGAATTACATTTCCAGATTTTAAGGGCGTACCATCTAATGCTTGCCCACATATAGCATTAACATCTGCTTCGGAGCTGATAATATGGCGGTAAACTGCTTTCTTGTCATTAGCACGGACACTTTTGCACAACTGTTGTTGCTCCATTGAGTGGAACTTCTGATTGTTTTTCGTACGACGAACAAAAAGTTTTTCTTCATACTGAAATCAGTGGGAAATCTCAGTTCCAGGTCCCAACCAACAAAGCAAACCCCATTATTTCTACTCAAGAAATTTGAAAAATATAATAAAATAAAATATTATTCTATCTCCATCTGCATCAAGTAACGTGAAATGTTAACAGAACATGGGCAAAGGGAGTAAGCAGAGCGTTTAGAAGAATACCTTTGCATGAATAAACCTCTCCTTTATCGAAATAAGATCATCATAACAGGGCTTTATCATAAGAAATGGCTCATTTCTATCCGCCTTGGGAAAACTACATCACACAAACTGACAAGTTATTAGCACAAAAAGAATACTAGTTTCAATCATATAGACTTGCGGGTTTCTTAATTACCCTATAGGCATGTTATCAGCCTGCAAAGTACTTTTTGAATACAACGTCTCCTCCCAAACCGAGTTTACGAAAGTATTGCCTAGTGATTGAAACAAGGTTAAGACAGAAGGTTCCCATACTTTCACATCAAGTGTCAGTGATCTGACCTGCATCAGAAGTATTTAAAAGAACTTCCTCACTGAGCAAATTGAAGAAAGCAGAAAAACAAAGTCATGCTATCATTTAGTTCCAGATAATTGATACCCGAGGAAGAATTAGTTCTAGATAAGTAATACATGCCATAACCATTTCACAATATAAATCTTAAACTAGACAACTTGCCTTTGATACATGTACACCAAGATTACGATGAACACCAGAACATTCAATGCAAATAAGAATGCCAAGGTTCAAGGATGCCCAATCTGGTTCAGGCGCACCACAATCAGCACATTTGTCATTACCGCATACTCTTCTCAGTATGTCAATTGGCTTCTCACTTTTCATTTTGTACTTGTGTGATTGCAAACTTTTAGAGGTTCGCAAATAATTATAAGCACTGATCTTAGGTGAATACTCCTGAATTGTCTGATCAGCATCAAAAGCACATTCTAATAAATTACTCTCACTTCCAGAGATCTGATCATCACTTCCCGTAGGGCTAGTCGAGAGACGCTGCCAAATAGTTGATTATAAGCATTATAACAACTATAGAACCAAAGGTTGTATATTTTTAAGAATTCCCAATTGAACAATTACCCTCTCAGGTGTCTGGAAACTCAATAATGAAGCAATTACTCCAGTGATTTTCTCAATCCAATCCATTTGGTCGAGTGCATTCTCTGCCTGCATCACCAAAAAAATATTAGAATCTACCGTTATACATTTGATGTGTTCAAGAACAGCAAACTTTCCCTGACAATCACTAACTTAGCTAATAATCGCACATTACACATCCAAGAATTTTTTAGAAAGAGCAATACCTGCAAAGTGTAGATTTTCATAGGTGATATAATCCTGAAGCAGAATCTTAAATCTGTCTGGTCGGCATCAACCTTTATTGTTGACGTCAGCAAGTTCACGGTGTGACGTGCAACGGTTTTTTCATCATGTACACCGCCATGGTAGTGAGATGAAAGCCAACGACTCAAAAGCCCAGAGCCATTTTCAGAGGAACTATGCTTATGTGGAGAAGATTGACCCCCATGCTGAAACAATGTAAATGTAATTAACATCAAGTAAGCAGTGGTAGAGACATAAAATAAGCTTTGTAACTTATGCTCCAGCTAATGACTTACAGATGGCCGATTCCATGGTTTGCGATAGTAGTACAGCATCCCTCGACTATCAAGAATGAAATACCTTCTTTTCCAGTCACCTCTTAAATTGGAGGAACGTTTTGAGAGATATCCTTGCCGAATAGTTTGTATCTGAAAATATATTCATAGCTATAATGCAACTTAGAAATTTATAGAGCTTGGTTTCAGTAGGAAAGTCATGCAGAAAGGAAAGGGGGAAATTCATATCTGCAACTGCAAGTACCTTCCCCTTTGCAGCAGATTGCATCACTTCCTCTATCACTTTATGTGATTTCCTAGAGAAAGACTGCACACCATCTCCATTCGGAGAACTCTGGACACCACTCAAGGACTGATTACTTTGGCGATCAATCTGCCTTTTATACTCTTGTATCCTTTCATTGAGAGATACCTGTTCCTGGTTGCAACTTTCTCTTGTCTGTTGTGCATAAGCCAACACCTACACCAAAGAAAAAGAGCTAAGCTCTTATAATTTAACAATTAAGAGAAATTAATTGACAGGGAAACCATCCAAAGAGAACATGATGCTGCTTGCCAACTATGTGACAGTACCCAGCTTCGTATGGAAAAGTACCACAGGATGCAGAAGGCAAGGTTGCTAGCCCTCATAGGATCTTTGGCCAGCAGAAGAGAACTCTCCCGCATTAAGGTAACTTATTGCATTAATGAGAGGGAAAATCTAAAGTTAAAATTCTGGAAGACAACTCAGAAAAGAAGGGGATAATGACTTGACAGTTAAAACCCAGCTGATTGGTAGTGCAGGTTAAGCAACAACTCACGAGACTGCTTTCGCATGACCAGGGGAAAATTCTACATCTAATGCTTTCTGAGAAACGGTAAGCATCATACTACCTGCTGATTTCAATTTCACATTAAAAGGAAAAAAAATGCAAGACACAATTTGAGAATATCTTAATCAAATATTGGAGGATGGAAAATTCAAATAGATGCCTGGTTGAACATATCTCTCTTCATACATCTAAAATTCAGGGGGACTGGTCTCCCAATTACATAATATGTAAGAACAATGGAAATAAATTATGTATCAAATTAATTTCCAGATAATCAAGGAATTGAACTATTCACTACCAAGTTATGAAGAAAGTTTATAATTACAAACCTGATGAATATAGGGTTCCATTGTGTGCAGTAACTCATATCCCTGCAAAAGAAGAGGGGGACGGGGGAGAGAGAATATCAGAATCAGCTTATATGCAACGTATTGCTTCGCACAAATTATCCCATGATTGTGCCATATACCTGTTTGAAGTAACGAAGATGAGCATCCATCACCCCACTAACAGATTCCAGAAACTCAAACCTCTTCCTCGCCTCAATATCAGAGAGAGCAGTAACCTGGATGCGTAAGTACAATATATGTTTTAAGCCTAAATGCTTCAGTATTGCGCCTTTATTTGAACTGAAAGATCTTGTTGACTGATCTTACCAGGTTGAAGCGGGCCTGCTCAAATGAGGATCTTGCATTGTGCAGTTCCTGGAATGTCTCTCTACCAAATTAGATTTAAAAGGATAATGGTCACCCATGGCAAACTATCTTAATTCAACAAATACCAGTAGTACTTCAATGGGGAGATAAACAAGTTTGGATATACCTCCTCTATACTAGCAGCTATATCCATCCTAGTGCTCTTCCTCAATGATAGAAACTTCTCGCGTGCCTGTGTACATAATAGGCATTTACCTTATAAGTCACAATCAGAAGGATTGATCAATTCATAATATAAGCATTGTCAGTTTCTTATTCTTTTTTTATTATCAATTAAATTAAGCCACAATATAAATTAATAAAATAATGATCCTAATTGATGGATAATCTTACTAATGAAACTACTTAGCATGAGAAAGGCACATACATAGACACTGGCATTAAAAGATGCAAATATTGCTACTATGAAAGATGAAAAAGGCACCATGAATAAATAAAGATATTCAAATCTAACAAAAATAAATATGATTGCTGCACAAGAAACCATATTTTTAATGAAGAAAAAAATCTGAAATTTGTCCAAGAAATTATCTGGAAATGAAAAAAAAATTCTTGTGCAAACTTCAATGTGATGTATGAAATTTTCAGAACTGAAAACCACCTGATCATATACAAGAGAAGCCTTGTCAAAACGCTTTCTGTCTTCCTGCATCAATAAGATACTTTAGCGAAAAAAGGAATTTGTTAGACAATGAAAAGGAAGAAAGGAAGAAAGGAAACAGAGTTGATAATATCAAAACCAATGCCATGTAAAGTGATTACCAGAAAATGGGTATCCTACTAAATGAAATGTGATTCCTAAAATTACAAAATGATGAAATGCCTTGGCAAAAATATCAAACAACCGAGAAACTGAGAAAGGAAAGGGAAAAGCTTCAGTGAATTTGCAAAGTCCACTGTTAAAACAGAAACGCAACTACTGAGGATACTATTTGGGAATCGCCTTCATATATGTGCAAACAAGCATACTTCAAAACTCGCAAGACATTGTACCTTGACATCATGGAGATCAACATGGACTAAGTGCAACAGCCTATCATTTAGCATGTGCTCTATCTGAGAACAAATTAAGAAACTTCAGCTCAGAAAAATCGATTAGAACAAAGTAAGCATCATGACATGCAAAACAAATTACTACCTGTGACCGGAAAACTTCCTTGTACGTTGCAATTTCTCTTAATGCAATTGTGAATTTGGTCATAACATGGCCTGAGAAAATCATTGTGGAATTTATAAGTACTGACAGAAAATATAGACACAACATATAAGTTATAATGTAACTACGAAGCCATGAACTATGTTTACAAAGTCAAACACATAGCAGCAGTACAACATTTCCATGAACTTCGGTGTTGAGAGTGCTAGCTTAATATACATTGTTAGTCCGCTCCCTAAAAGTTTTAGTTGTGGTCAGTTTCAAGAATGGGGCTGAACATGAATTTTAAATTTTTGGGGTCTAGCGGTTGCCTAACAAGGAGCTCAAAAGGTTATTTAGTTCCTAAACATAAGAAGCACAAGTGTGAGTATAGTGACCCTTGCGTATTATTCTCTTCAATTAGATTATACAACCCATATTTCAAGGGAATGAAAGAGATAAAAAGACCTACCTCCCAAAGCTGAAAAAATAGGATCATTATGCCCTCCCCCAAAAGTTTCAAGGGCAGTTGCAAAAGCAATTTCCTCATCATACGCTTCTCCAAGCCATTCTCTGAAAATTAAATTGTATAAAAATTATAAGACATTTCAAAGATATATGGCAGTTGCTAATAAACAAAAGAAGATAGCGCGAGGTGAAAGTGCCAAATCTATTTGAAGATCATACGTGTACTTTCGACATCCTTTGAAAAACTTGTTACATCTTCCCCTCAATGACTCTGCACCTTCTTCCAAGCCCTGTATCTGTTTCAAAGAAAGAATACACATCAATAAGCCAACTTCAAGTGTCCAGATTGTGCAGAGGAAGGAATATCGAATTTGAAACAAATAAACTACAAATTCATAGAAAAAGCACTGCCTTTCTGCATCTTAAGGAACGAACCATCAACTACATGAGTTCAAATATCATTAAAATATCAAGATTGATCAAAGCGTCTTTTTTTTTCCTCTAGAAATTGAGGGGACTCTTCCTTCTAAAAATCAACAATAAATCAGTCTCAAAAGCGCCATTGATTTATTATATGAAGCCAATGATGGTTCATTATACGCGTTTATTAAAAAAGGAGGCAAAGGAACGTTAATGGAAGCTAAAATGCCACACCATATTAACCAGAAATTCAGCAAAAGATATGAAATTTGTAAACCGAGACGATATAACCAGCTACCAAAACCAACAATTTGAATTTTGAGCTCCTAAATTCATCGCCTTTATAACTGAATAATCACAGAAAGAGAATAATAACAAAAAGAAAAAGAAAATAAAAACCTGTTGGCGGAACATAGGCGAATCATCGAGCTTTGCGAAATGCATATTTAGAACGAAACAGAGATCACCTTCGTCTTGAATTCGTGCAGAGAGAGAGATAGAGCTATGGCGGCAATGTGGTGCCAAAAGCTTCTGTTTTTTTCTTGGAAATTAAAAAAGAAAAAGAAGAATAATTATGAAACGGGGATCGAAAGTGAAGGAGGTTTGTGGTGCAGTTGAAGACGAAGGTGTCCGCGATTTTTCATGGCAGTCACTAAAAAAGAAATTATATGTTACAAAATCTTACCCGCCTTTTTCCTTTTTACTCTCTAACTGTCTGTCTCTCTCTCTCTTTCCTCATTGTTTGTGTGTAATAATAACTAGTATTTTGGACCACTTCCCACCACAACGCAACGCTTTAGGTTCCGCAAATCTACAATTAACCTCACTAATACAAAAGTTTGAGCCTAATTATGATTTATCCTTGTCCAACAAAACTAGTGTGTCCGCACATGAAAAATTCACTGCAAAAGTTCCGCATGTTGTTTGTAAATGTCATAATTTAAATTGAGTATTTTTTGTTTATATACAAGTGACATTAGGAAAACCGAACTTAAAATCTCAGATGTAGAGGATAAATGCTCTTACAATTTTATGATATGTTTGGTTGCTCAACTCATTTTACCTTTCCAACTTGTATTTATACATAAGAAATCTGATAATTAAGAATTTTGTAATGTTCCCTAGTTCTTTTTTCTTCATCCTCCCAAGCTTCTTAAGGATATTGCATGAAACATAGATACCAATCTTGTTTTTGTTTGTAAGTTGCGATGAAATCTTCAACTTCTTTGTCCTTTTGCCTTAAAAGGCGAACTTTGACAAAACGGGCTTATTCTCACTAAACACAATTATTTGATCCTAAACCTTTTGTTCCCAAGTGGCAAGACATGAAATTTCTTTTTCCTTTTGGACGGTGCTACGTTGAAATATTTTTCCAACTTTTCTTAGATTTAGACGAAATGAAAGTTCGAATCCCCTTATGGGTGCCCCCCTCCCCTTAAAATAGAATTCCCCCTCCCCTTAGAATAGACTATCGATGGAATAAAATTTATTAAAAAAAAAAAAAAAAAAAAAACTAAATGATTTAAAAAAAAAAATATCATGGGGCAAATGGAAAATTAAGTATAAGTTCGGGGGCCAAATAAAAAATTAAGTACAAATCAATAGTATACTCTCATAGATAATAACTTATCCCTAATTGTATCTAATCCAAGGTTGCTAAAGATATATGCTTCCTTGGTGAAGAAAGATACTCGCCCAACAGCTTTTTTCAACGCTTCATGACATTGATTGAAACTTCATTGTTAGGTACCAATACTAAGTTGAAAACCAAGTTTTGCTAGACCCACAGACAAGGGCAGGGCCGCACATTCAATGAGAAAAATAAATTCCAAAACGGCCAAAAATTCCAATGAGAATAACCGCAACAATTTCCACTCTGAAATTTCAAGTTCTGATATTTTCTATCATTCCACATCAAAAATAAAAGTTGCATCTCCATATTCCTTTTTTTCTAATTTCAAAATTGTTCTATGAGGCCAAGGACAGAGTACAACTAACAGTAAAATCCTCAAATTCTTCAGAGTATAAAATGAACCTACTGTGTAGAACTCATCCCCAAAACCTACTAAGGAAGCCACTTTTGTCTTTCCTCATCCTATGTTGAAGAGATGGGAAATCAATGTGGTTATAGGCAAGGTCCAGAACAATGGGATTGCGAGGTATTGATTGAAACAAAGGAGGGAAAGCTTCAATCCTCGGAGCACTTTTCACATTGGATTCACCAACTGCAGACTCATAGACATCGAGTTTCTCAAGGAGGAATTTCTCCACCTGAAAAAGAACCAAATAATAGACTCAGGCACATTCTACTGCATCTTCCAAAATGAGCATAATCACAGAGATGCTAGTAGGCAATTTTGTCAGAAAAACTTATCCAAAAGAAGGAAATTTAGCAAATTATCACTAGTTTGGAGTCTCAGTTTCTCACAACCTAGATAACACATAATAGTTTGAACATCTATAGAAAACCCAAACTAGTACACAACGAAAAGGCCAGTTCTTGAATCTGGACGGTCTAAGGTCTGGGCAAGCCTAGACAGGCCAAAGACCACCTTAATTGTCCAGATTCAAGTACACCTCTTCATTTCTGCACCCAAATGGAGAGGAGCCTGATCCGTTATGCAAAACTATCACGGCTGACACATTTATACATTAACCAAATAAAATGCTGAACACTTGTTAACTAAATAGTTTAGATCTCATTAGCCAGCAATTTTTTCTTGCAAAAATTACAGAGTTTCTGCACAACATTGATTTATTCTTTGAGGATGAGGAAAAGACTAATTTGTACCTTCTTATCAACGCCAGTTAAATTGATACTGGATATCTTTTTTGAAAGATTCTCAGGAGCCTTAAGCTCCTCCATGATCCCGGTGGCATGCTCTATACAACTGTTAGATCTGCACTCATCATACAGTATCTTCAACTCTTCGATGATCATCTGCCAAAAGGAAAAAGATAGAACCAATCCGAGTTAAATACTAGTTCATCTTAGAGCTTATTCATGAAAGTTGGTATATGCTATGATAATATGTCAACTAAATGAAAGTTTTAACTCAAGAAGACCTTTGTTTTTCCCAGTTGCAATGGGAACCAAAGGTCACAGACTAAAATAGCCTAGCTACACAAGATATATCTGACAAAAGAGTAGTTAATCATAGTAAAGAGGTCAATCATATTTATTCAATGTTTATGCAAATATACTGCCAAAAATAAGAAGCATACACTAGTACACACCTGATCACCATTATTCACAGCTTCGAATTTCTGTAGGGCAGTCTCGGCAAGAGAGCGGGCATGGCAGTACAATGCATATGCTTCTACCCTCTTACCAGCCAAGCTGTATGATCTTCCCAAAAAGAAACACCTGACAAAAAGTTGGGATGCCTATAAATTGATAGAATGGAATAATATCTCTTGACACCCAAATACCAAATGATAACAGCAGAACCTTGGTTATTTGTTTAAGAAGCAAAGGAAATTTAACAAGCATGAACAGAGATATAGTGCATCCTCAACATTATATGCCACAACTTTTTCTGAGTGAAACAAGAAGAAAGAGGATACATAAATTGGTAACTATTCCTAAAAGTCAATTGAAATGCAAGAAAACCACTTGTGATGTTTACATAAATAGTCCTACAAGGGCAAGAGAAAGATCATAAGAGATTAATGTACTATGGCCAATGATTTTATGAAGATAAAGGTGTCCTGATATCAAGATTCAATGAGAAAAGACAAATACAGAAGCAATCCCCAAAACATAGCATTTATGAACAGCAGTAAGCCAAAAAAGAAATGAAAAGAAAACCTTTCTGCTCGGAAAGCCAAACTTTTAAGTTCACAATCTTCCGCGAATGCTACTTCTTCTGGTTTTCTATCTCTTCCAGAACTGACTAAATCTGAAAGATCAGATGTATTCTGCCAATCATAGTAACAATTACATAAGGTATTCAATTTTTAGCCTCAGATATCAGCCTCTAACAAAGTCGGCAATCAACGGTAAAGCATCTCCACAAAAAGAAAGGCAAGAAAGAAACAATGCAAAACAGAGACATCCAACCTGTAATAAGAGATCATATAACCGAACGAGCTCTTCAGGCTTAGTAGCCTTCTCGTTTTTGTCATCACGTCGTTTGGTGAGTTTACTTTTTGCATTGTTAACTAACAGTTGGTTGCGCTCAATAGTTCGTTGTCCTAAAACAGCACTAACAGCTTTGTCAAGGCCATTCAGGTCATCCTTCACATTTTCAGAATTACCTGCACTGGCCTATATACAACGCTTCAGGAAGAGCAGCATGAAGAATACAAAGTAATGCTGAAGCACGGGACAAAAACAAATGTCCCTCTTGGGGTAGGCATCAAAAACAGAAATGTTCTAATATTGAGCAATTTCCATACCAAGTCATTGCGAATGCAGCTCCTTGCCTCATGGTATGCAGTAAAGATTTTGTCAAAAATGCCTAGTTTTTTCTCTGGTGGGAGTGAATCAGCTGATGAACCAAGTACATCTTTCTCCAATTCTTGAGCTGAACAAGGTTATGACATCAAAACAAAACATGGCACTTTATTAGGATTATAAACGTGATAAAAGAAAGAAAGAAAAATTATATGATGAATCAGACACTATATTTGCACAACAATTTATTTATGTCGGAGCCATTATATTAAGAAACAACTAAATTAAATAAATGACTTACCTTTTAAAATGGAAACTCGAGTTTTTGGATTCGATATTGGAAATCTATGACCAAGCCAATGAAACTCTGTCATGGAGGCAGCCTGTTGAGATCTTGCCTCAGCCATAACAGCCTATATCCAAGTTTCTTCAAGTCGTCAGTAGAATAAAAAGAAGCCTCTGAGGGATAAAGGAATGAAAAAGCATCACATGTTTGGTTTACTTTTAATAACAATCAAACTTACCTCCAATTTAGCCTTGAAGAGGTCAAGAGCTGGTCCTTCCATCTCACCAATTTGTATAAGTTCGGAGGCTTGTAGATTTGACTCTCCAACCTTGTGTAGGCAGTATCGAATACTAGGTTCTAATTCTTCAACACGCTCACGGCACAAAACTTGACTCTCCAGGTCTCCATATTTCGCAAGTTCCTCATAAACAGCCCTATAACGTATTAACAAAGTTAGCCATACACTATTCATTAAACCAACAATACTTGACCCCATACATGCATATCCATCTCAAGTCAAATTTTGTAACTGTTCCATAAGAATTGATTTGCAACGAAAAGCAATTAGAGAAACTATATTTCATTTTTCGCATGCACTTTAATAGGTTGCTTCTGATTGTTGATAATGAAGACTTTTGGGGCAAGCAAAAACTAAAGGCATCACATTATTTGAAATGGGATTCTTTTATAAATTTTTTTAAGGTGGACTTATCGATCAAGGGGAGACAGTTCCCATGCATTTCTAATATAAAAGCAGCATTAAATAATATATATAGTTTGAGAGAAGAATGAACCTGGCACTTTTGAAATTCATTAATGCTGTGTCCCAATTTTGATCTTGTTCAAACAGCAAGCTCCCTTTCATAAAGGAGGCATAAGCCTACATAAATTAAAACGAGCACGGTGAGAAGAAAAGCAATCATGCCACTTGATACAAAAGTTCTCCTAATAAATGTAAATCGCATGTTAGCATACCATATGATTATAAAGAATACTGCTGGCAATTAGACATCTGGAACACATCATATTATGACCCAAAGATAATTATAAATTTAGAACAGGACATAATATGCAAGAGCCAAAGAACATGCAACTCAAAACAAGAGAATGTCAGACGCACCTCAGCTTCTAAAGAAGTTCTGGAATCTCCTTTGATTGCACACAACTGTGCAAAGAGAGTAGACCATTTTACCGCCTTCCTCAGCCTACCAATTAGATAGATCCGTTGACGAGCATTTGGACCATCCAGAACCTGTCTTTTTTCCATGGCATGGCTCCAAGCTCTCTCCGCCGTATAAAGAACAACATGAAGAAACCTATCACAAAGCCACAAAATTTAAACTGTCAAGCATGAAACTATCGTTCCTCCATACTTCAAACTTCATACATTCAGCTAATTAAGCAATAAAACCAGAAAACCCACATAAACCAAATGAGAATGCAAGTGTTTGAAACATGTAATTCAATCCCACAAACAAAAGGCATAGAAAAAAGAAAACCCACCTCACTTCAGTGACAGTAGATTCAGTTATGGCTCTGCGGGTGTATTTACCACGGCCATGAGTGAACTTCAATGACTTATACAACCTCCTCAACCGAGCAGTGCAATACCTCCTGCAAAAAAAATCAAAAACCAAAACTTCAGAAAGAGAAAAAGGAAAACAACAAAACAGAAATTAAACTAAATGACGATGAATGTACCGATAGCGAGTGTAATCGCCGTGGCGCAAACCATGCTGCATCTGAGCAGATTTCAAGAGCTGCAACACTGTAAAAATCAACATTTTAAATAAATAAATAAAACGATGAAAATGATGTAATGATTTGAAAAACGAAGGGATCTGAGAACGAACCGTTAATGGAGAATTTAGGGGCGATCTGATCGGAGCTGTTTGACTTGAGGTCGTCGATTTCCATAGCCGACGACGCCTGGCTATCTTTCCCCATCTCAAAAGGCCTTGTTTGAAGAAGAATTACACAAATCAATTGATTAGCAGAATGAATTTCGCTCCGAAACGACGACGTTCGGTTGCCGAGAAAACCTACCTTGGATAAGGTAATGTATCGGGTATTGTAATTGGATTGATTTCTCCGGCGGCTGCCTCGCAGTGATCTCTCTCTCTGTGGCTCGTACTAGTTTGTGTTTGGTCTCTTGCCTTCGGCGCTGCTACGGCACGTGCACACGTAAAGGGGCATAATTTGTAATTGTAATTCTATTTCAATTCTATAATATAATGGGTAATTCAACTTTACGACCTAAAAAAAAGAATGGGTAACTCAACTTTAAATTGTAATTCCATTTCAATTCTAAAATGGGTAATTCAATTATAATTTTATTTGAATTTCCATAATGGACTCCTTATTTTTTTTTTATAAAAATAACTCAAAATTCAAAAATACCATTTTACCCCTTATTACATTCTCTTTTTCATTTTCATAATAACCTTTATTTAACTGGGAATAAAAATTGCCATCATAATATAACTGAATTGTCATGGTAGGGATGAATCAGAACTGGAGTGTTGCCATATGATTATGTAACATCTACAGAGTGACTTTTCAATACCTACTTAGATTAGATGCAAAGAAGAAAACTGATCCACATGATCATATTGTCTTATATAACAAGCAACAACATGAAGGCCTTTCAATTTCAATCCTAAATTGGTTTCTCATCTCCATGTATGGCCAGGCATGTCCATTCAGTGATTGCTGAATTGAAGAACTCCAAGCGCCCTTCACGAACGCATCGATATCTAGCATCAAAGCGAAAGCAAAGTCTCGTGTCGAAAAACTTAACCAACTCCAAGCACGGGTATACCTGTCAGCGGTCGAATGCTTGGAATAGTTGATGATGAAGGTTCAAATTTCTGTTGGAATAGTCTAAGATTTTGAGTTGTCACCCTCACCATCTTGTTTAATGACAGTTTTCCCTTCACTTATGATTCATCCGACTACCCACAAACCTAAACCTATTATTGACCCAAGCACCTATAAGTTATAACCAATGACTCTGAAGGATTGTTTTCATACTCCTCTTTGATTTGGTAAAAGCAGCATTAAAAAATCTATATAGTTTGAGAGAAGAATGAACCTGCCACTTGAAAAATTATAAAATGGTACGGTATTAATGCCATGCCGTTTCCCAATTTTGATATTTTTCGAAGACCAAGCTCCCTTTCATAAAGGAGGCATAAGCCTACATATTAAAACTAAAACGAGTAAGGATGAACATCTGATAATCAAAACTGGAATTTTCAATACCAACTTAGATGTTGTACCATTTATGCTCATGCTTTAGCTAAACTGCTCTTTATTTTTTACCAAATTTAATCTCATCAAGTTGACACAGGTTAATGTTGATGATACAGATCAATTTCAGTATTTCATGCTAAAAACACGCGTTACAATTTTCCAAAGAAGAAAACTGATTTTTATTGAGAAAAGCTAGGCTAAGCAATAACATATAAGGCCTTTGAATTTCATACTACTTGGTCCCTCATCTCCATGCCTGGCCAGACATGTCCATTCAGTGACTGCTGAATTGAAGAACTCCAAGCGCCCCTAACGAACTCATTGCGATAGCAAAGTCCATTGTTGAAAAACGTGGCCAACCAAATGTTGAAAATCGCGTCCATACCTTTCGGCAGTCTAATGCTTGGAATAGAAGTCGATGATGAATGTTCGAATTTCCATTGGAGCAAGATCCACCACCAGCTTTGTTGGATCAACAGGCCCTCCCCTCATCACTTTGGCCGCAGCTTCTTCTTCAGAAGAGCCTTCCACTTTCCATGCCAGTCTCTTCTTCTCCATCTCTGCTCTTTCTTGGTTAGCAGATAAACTCATTTCTGCTACTTTGTTTATCTGAATGTTATGGAAAGGAAAAATATTACCATAAGGATTTAGATGGTAAGTATTACAGACCAGTAAAGTTTTGTCATTTCTGCTACCTTCTTATCTGCAAACACCTTTTTGAGCTCTACACTTGCCATAACTGAAAGATCCTTATCCTCTTCAATCTAGCATTTGATATACACCATACAAGTATCAGAGCCTTATTAGAGTACATAGCTGAATTGGTGAGTATATATAAGTTAGAAACTAAAACCTCGTATAAATGTGCGAGACGAAACAGAACTTTCCCATCATCCTGCTCCTACAGAGTTCAAGAAACGGGATCAACAATGTTCATGATAGAGAAAATTCTATCATTTATATAGGGTGTTGCTCTGGAATTCATGACAGGGGAAATCTTCTGTTCTACTTCTGGATGAGAAATACGAACCTGGAGGGTTATCATTGCAACATTATCAGGTAAAACGTAGGAAGGATCCATCCATGAAAAGGTTGTCACATGAGAACTTGTCCAGTTATCTCCTTCCTGAAAGAAAATCGGCCATTAGAGTTACAGATGAACCCTCTAGGCAGCTACAAGAACACCGCAACTTCGTTCATTTTTACCTGTTCTGTGAAGGCTAAAAGAAATGGAGAATATATCTCCTGACCAAATGATCGACGCCATTTAGCGCCCTCTCCTAGAGGATCGAGTCTGAGATAGTACTTTCCCGTGATCTGTCAAAGTGTTTTAATCAAGCAAGCATATCAAATGTGAAAATTCTGGTCTTTGTGAACAGTAAGAACCACAAGGTTGATTTTTATGATCATACTGTTAGTCCTTTGCAAACATCTTGAATGCACACAGTTTCATTTAGTGGTTCTCCAACACCTCTGTCATCATCATAGAGCAACCTCCTAATAACAGGGGAAATTCCATGTCACTTATTTCGAAAGTACATTATGTTAGGAAATAATTATTCTCTGCAGACCCAGTGTGTCGTGAAATCAAGCTGGTTAGATTCAAGACTGAGGAGGGGAAGATCAATACTAAAAAATAGACATAATTAGGCAGAGTAAAAAAGTAAAGTACAACACAAACCTGTGAACCATCAGTTCCAATTGCCCATCCACAATGCTGGATCCACCTACAGATCTATCTACTAGTACTGACATCTCTGTGTTGTTATCTTTCGCGTAGATTCCGAGGTTAATCTGAAACGAAAATAAATTAGAATTTGTTAAAGAAACTAATCACTTCATAATTACAGTAGTTTAAATGGATAATTAAACTTCTCATACATATAAGTACATACTGATAGGTGTGAAACCAATGATTAATTTAAATTCTTGGTCAACTTTTCTTTTTTCCATTTTATCCTCCTTACAGGCTACTTTAAGGTGAAAGATACATAAGTGTAGTAAAGCGTGAGACAATAAAACCCATTGATTGTAGTAATTAAACATACATACATACCGGATAATAATTTCCTGCAACAGGTTGATTCACTTGCAAGTCCCAGTCTTTTCTATAGTCTCGGATCTGCAAAATGATAATTTGTTCAAGACAATGTCCAACTACAGCTTAGACTCACTTGTTGCTTTCTTTCAACTTGTAGACACTGAACAAGTCTATTCAGAACTTGGCTAGCCAACATGTTCTATTTATGATGATTTAACTGCAAATGAAAGCAAGCACACAACATACTCTTTCAATAAAATCACGCCCGTTGGAATCTGTGTAGAATGTTTTGTTAGTTTCCATGCTGGTTGTAATCTTAGTTACAATCTCTTTTCCAATTCCATCACCAATTGGTATAGGCCCAACCTGAAATGAGAACACTGTTGTACAAGGAAAATTCTCCAAATAGCAATTCTTTATATTCGCATGACAAATGCAATGGAAATATACAACAGAGTGCAGTTAGCTCACTGTAAATTCAATCTCAGCATGCTCTTTTTCCTTGTACACTCTAGTGACCTGCTTAACCGTGCAACAAGTATACTATTGTTAGTATCGATAATGGAATCTTGATGCCGTGAAAAAACATATGTATATATCGTATTCTCCAATATTTTTATCATGTTCTTTAACAGAGGAAGAAAGTTAGACAAGATGGCTGATACATTGTTCAACTGACAGGGATAACCACCTGATATATCCAAGAGTTGATCCTCTGATGTACTTCATCTAGCAATGGTCCCCTCAGAACAGTTAAATGAACCTGCAATTTCTGATGATAAATCCACTATTTCTTATTGTGATTGCATATGATAGAAGTTGAAGCAGTGCATCAAAGATATTATGTAAGTACCTGTCCTTCAGACTGGATGGGATATGTACCATTAGGGCGGAAGATGTATGCTCCATCAGCCTTCAGAAAATTGAAATATTTCCTTTTCAATCTTCACCATATATGATAACATTTAAAATGTGTAACAACCACAACAAAAGACTTCAATATATCTTTGCATTACCTGTGCATCCACACTTCCATCATCTCCAGCGTAGTAGCTGAATGATTGTTCTATCGACTCTTTGACCTTCAGTTGTAAACTAAATACTAAATCAGACGCATGCAACATAACTATAAAGGAAAAGAAAGTTATATATCAAGCAAAGTTTGGAAACAAGTATATTACAACTGTGTGAATTACATACCGAGCTTCTACTGTTAAAGTATTGAGTAAGTTTCCCTTTATTTCCAGAATAAATAAGTTTCAAGTTTCCTGGCCCAACTTCTATGGTATCATTTTGACTTGCTTCTGACTTGTATACTGTTCGTCTTGCTGAACTAGTAGCTGCACATGTAAGGTGGCATGTGAAACAAAATCTGAGTCATTAAATTTATAGAGAACTAATCCAGTTCCTCTATTTTATGTTGCATGAGTATTATAATGCATGGGAATTCACATGGTTAACCTGTCTGTGTGGCACTTGAGACAATGTAAGTGCTAAAACCAAGAGGTGGTATGGTTGCTGAAAATGCAAGCCAATAACTTGGGTTCACACTTGGAGATATTCCCAGATATGCCCTAACATGGTAATTTCTTATGCCGACTGACGCATTAAGCAGAGGTAGGAGTTGTGATTCAATTTCTTTTCCTGTAAAGTCCCTTACAGTGACATTTGCACTGACAACCTGTACCAGAACGTAAAATAAGTATTTTTAAACAAATAAATCAACATGCATGCAAAAATTGTATGCATACAGAAAACATATTGCTCATGTTATACGCAAAGCGACAAACAGATTGCTTATTGTTGGTTTTGGAAAGTACATCTATAAGCTAAAAACACTTCATGCACGAAGACCATGTGGAAGAAAGAACTGAATTACTGCTTTCCATCTAAAAACAAAGGTAAGGATTACAACATGGAACAGGAAATAATTACTCACAGGAATCTTGATGATATCCTCTCTCTTCCATCCAAGAGAGTTATAGACAACAATAACCTACAAAAAAGAATACATCATGGAATTCATACTTCTTAATCAACACATAAACATGCCGGAGTTCAAATGTCATCATCAAACTATCCTCACCAGCGATTTCCCATTTGACAGATCAGCTTCTGATGGGGGGCAATAGCTAATATTCAGAAGTGGACACTGAAATAAGAATATAATTGCAAATGTGAAAAGAAAAGATAGACGTAATTTCAGTTTGTTAGTCCAGTTGCGAACTCAAACAGCCGAAAATTGTAGGACAAAGGGTCAAATTTTAATTTGCCTGTTGAAACTTAGTTGATGGACTCTTGCAGCCAGCTTCTGATCTCGACTCTGTCATGCAAGCAAGTGATTCTGCAACAACCTTCTCAGCCTGCAAGAACAGTTTCATGAAGTAAAAATTAAGAAACTACTGAGAATGTCTGGAGAGGTCAAGTTTTACCTCATTGTAACCTATTGAAAGTCGTTCTGCATAGTCATCAGCCACATGCTGTTTCTCTGTACCACTAACTGCATCATGATGTTGAGCAATTGCTAATGCATCAGCCAAAGAATCTGTGTTAGGCCTCGATTTACTCATTCCCTTAAAAAACTCCAATTGTCTTGCTGCCTGTTCATAAATTGAACCACAGTTACCATAATAATATGGACTGGACACTTTTCTAAGAGCCTAATATGTAATACTTACCAAGAGAAACTAAAATGTTCATAAGAGTTTACCAAATAGTAGCCGCTCAAAGCTCTAACATAGCCTTTGACGGCTGGCCTGCTTGTAAAATATCCAGTCCAGTAAGCATTCACTTTGTCAGCATATCTGATAAAAACACATAACAACAGGTCAACAGACGAGAAAAGGAATAGGAACTTGTAAGTGAAAAAGTGAATTTGAATTTCAAAAATTTAGCTCACGGAAAGAAGTCGTCACTCTTGATCGGCCAGGACTCATTTGCTGCATACTTGGCATCAGTGTATATTGATGGGGTTGAGTATAGGGCATTGACACGTCCATCCTGCAAGCATTAATACAAGTATTTCCATTAACATACAAAATTATTAAGTATTTAGATACAATGCCATTAAAAGGGCCAAAAAGGCAAAATGGCAACAATGTTTACAGCCTTGGACTAACTTGATTCACATAATGAATGAACTTATCCATCTGCCTGAACCATGAATTAGCATATTGATACTTGAAGTCCGTTCCCATGGTCCACATGATATGATTTGTACGAGTAATGTTTGCCTGGATAAGAGAAGCAGAATTTATATAAACCCTAACAGATTTTTCACTCTCTTAAAGTAAAGTTTGAATGACTGACAGCCTAAACAGATGAAAAAGTGATTATCTTGCTGAGTGCCAATATCAGATCATGCATCTTACTTGTGATATTGCAGCAGATACAAACTCATTAACGCGATCGGGCACATTGTAGTCAAACAGATCCATATCATCCTTCACACAAGGAAGGACAAAGTGAATAAATATTTCCATAACTACTGAGCACATAGGTAGATGTCAATATCCTGTCAGCTTCACTTGACAGTGAACTTACTTGCACAATAGGGGATTCGTCATTAACTTCAAAGTAGAAATTATCAGTAGGAGGTTCATAATTCTTAGGGAATGCACCAGCAAAAATCTACACACACAAAGAATTTGATCAATAAAACATTTCCAATCTTCAAATGTAAGCAATCAGAAAAACATAGTTTCAAAGCAGAACATTGATATTTGAAGTAGTTCAACTAGAACATCAGAACTACATAAACTTTGTGGCAGTGGCACACACCTGTGCAGATGAACCGAGACTCTTAGAACCCCTCCAGACAACCTCAAGGCTTTTCTCATTTTTCCGTTCTCTCTGTCTTGGTAGTCGATTCGTGCAAAGAAAAGAGAGTCAAATCCAGCCTATGCCAACAAAAGGGCCGATGTTTAATAAATGGTTTCGTAAAATCACTCACTGATGCATGATACAAATCGGGTAACTGATAAACCAACTGACAGTTTCAGTAACAAATAAAGCTGAAGAAAAAAGCATACCTCAGCCCCCAAAAGGTAAGCCTGCACTGCAGAATGTCCAAATGGGTCGATTTGCCAGCCAATTCTTGGAGTCACATTGAATTCTTCTTTAATAAATCGATGCCCAAGGGTCGTCTGATCGATCATATCGATGTAATGAGGAGCAGCCTCATCATGCATGCACATCCCCCCATTTCTGCCACACAAAATTCAAGCAACTCAAAACCCAAATGAAAAAAACACAACCAAAAAAAAAAAATGTACTCTTTCAAACTCATAGCTGCCTACTTGAACAGACTCAAAACAAAAAGATTGAAACTTTGACTAAAATTGCAGCCTATAGCTAATGCCAAAGACATTGCAGATTTTGTACATGAGTTCCAGTTGACCATTCTTGACTAGCCGCCTGACCGTGTTCTGGGTTCCCTCACTCTGCTCTCTCCACCAACGCTGAAAAAACGCCTGCATTTACAAAGCACTTTAATTTCATTCACCGCTACCCAAAAAATCCATTTCAAATTTCCAACTTTATTTATACTCAGAAAAGAAAAGGTGAAAAAGATTATTGATTGCCTGCTCAACATATATGAACTTGCGGTTCTTATCGGCCAGCAATGCGGGAACCAAAGAATCCAGCACGTTTTGAACACAAGCTCCCTGCGATTTTTAAAAGCAGAAATTAATTAAAAAGCAGAAACAAATATTAAGATTAAAATTATTAGAAGATAACGACCTGAATGGAATTGTTGGAGCCAACATAGTACTGGTCAATGGTCTTCAACCATCCGACGTCGTCGTGGGTGTGAGGGACTAAATGAACGTTGAGCTTCCCGGGGACGAGGCGCGACGTCGTATTGTACTGCACGTACTTGGGTTCTGCAATTAGAAACAGAAGCAGTAGCAAGAGCAGCCGAAAGCAAGCTTCAAGCGCCATTTTTGACACAGAGAGAGAGAGAGAGAGAGAGAGAGAAAACCAAACCCAGAAAGTGTATATAATTGAGAGGTGGGTCGAGAGTGATCGAGCGACAAGATCAATGAAGAAGACGTACCAATCCAGTTGGTTTTGACTTGTAGTTAAGAGCTTAAACTTTCCAACCACGAGAGAAAATTATACCAACTCTTGGAGAATGTTTTGTAGGTACCCGGTACACCAGGCGACAAGTATAATAATTTATTTTTAGTCTTAAAATTACAATAACTTTTAACTCCGTTTGTCTTTTAACTCTGTTAGAGTCTACTCACTCTTCTGATGCACACAGAGACGTCCCAATTACCCAGACTTGCTTTACACATGCATACAGAGACGTCCCATCCCACCCCATGTGGTCTAATTCCATTTATTATTCCATCAATCTCAAATAAGGTGCGATGTTATTAAGAAATTAGGAAGAAGAAAAGAAAGAAAAAAGAGCTTTCAAGATGTGCAGAATAGCGGAGGAAGGGGAAAGAAGGCATCAGCGTCTCCGTCGCAGGCGGTGGCTGCCGGAATATTCCAGATCAACAGTGCCGTTTCCACTTTCCGTCGACTGGTCGATGCCATCGGCACTGCCAAGGACACTCCCGACCACCGCCAAAAGCTGTGCGTCTCTCTCTCTCTCTCTCTCTCTCTCTCTCGTCTATCATCTCTCCCACACACAAATTTCAAACTCCCATCGGCACTGACTTGTTGTTAGACTGCTATACTAACACACTCGCTACTCAAAAATCAAGATTTTTCTTACTAATGAGCCTAACGAGCCTAATGTAATCTAATCGAAAGAACACAATCTTCTTTGTTTTCTTTTCACCTTCGTAATTTCTGATTGTGTTTTGTATGACTTACCTCCATACCTTGTTGGCTGGTTTTTCTTTTTTGCGCTTTCACTATAGCTCTGCGGCCTCTGCCTCTGAGGAACATTTGGAACCTACCAGCACCAGGGATCAGCACCGCCAACCTTTCCTTCAGGAGCGAAAGAGGTAATCAATGTTCTATCTGCTTTCACATCATCATTGCTTGTTCTTTTCGTTTTATTTCATCTGTCATTGCCAATTCCAAACCATCCTTCACCTTCCATTTTTGGCTTTTCATACTATGAGAAAGGATGAATAGTTCCCAGCGTTCTTCAATTGGGTCATTTAACTTTTGTATTGTTGGACTGCTTGGAGCTCCCATCCCATTGCCATCGTTTTGTCATTTCTTTTTAGTGGCTGAAAGTCTAAACTCGCTTCCATGAACCTTATACACTGTGAGTCTTAACATCGGCTACCCAATGGCCATATATAGTTTGAGCATCTTTGCATGCATATACACATGGATTGGTTTGACATATTCATAGACGAATTACAATGACCCTTGTTTTTGAACAAACACATGCAGGCAGGAAGTACTTTTGCTTGACAATGAGATTTCTTTCAATGAGGCCATAATTGAGGAGAGGGAACACGGTATTAGAGAGATAGAAGAACAAATCGGACAAGCTAACGAAATTTTCAAGGACCTTGCAGTTCTCGTTCATGAGCAGGGTGTAGTCATTGGTAGCGTTGTATAAAATCTGCTAAGTTTGTGTATTGCAGTGTTGGTTGGTGGTGTTGAAAATTTAGTTGATAAATTTTTGTAGCCTCCAAACAAAATGAAATACAACCATTTTCAACTCTCACATAGTCTCACATAAAAAATAAAATAAAAAACCACAAGTCTCACATGATCTGATACATCATGAATTTCAAAGTTCTAATGACATAGGACAACAAGAAAGCCTCTCCCTTGAAGTACCCAACCAACATTCTGTCAACATGCATTATACCTTTGGATCCTGATGTTGCTCAAAACCAGTGGAAAATAAATCTTGATTCAAATGCGCCAAATAATTTTGATCCTGAAGCATACTAGTGAAGGAAACATTTGGTTGACTAAAAGACCAACTAAAATTGGAATCCTGAAAGAAAACAATTACGCAATTAAATAAAGATTTGAAATTTCAAAGATAAGTCTTAAACTTACAAATTAGATTACCTGATTAGATGGAGGAAAATGACAATTCGTTGTTAAAGGTAGAAACTTTCCATACATCACCTTCCAATGAAAATCGAATTCTGGCTTTGCACCCTGTTCTGGTCTCTAGTCTATCAATTGCTTTCTCTTTATAAGGGTCACTATCTTCTCTAAAACCTTCTTTTGAACACACAAAATTAAGTTGTCTCACAACTCTATATTTGTCATATCTTTTTTGTTTTCTTCGAATGCTAAAGCCAATGCTTGCACCATACTCATTATAGAGATCATAAGCTTCTTGCTCGTTGTACACAATCTTCCCATACAAATTTTCATCGGAAGATTCTTCAAGATTCCCAAACGTTGGATTTTTTTCTTGATTGTTGCTTTTGGTGTTTTCTTCATCACTTCCAAGATCAATGACTACATTATTGAACTAAAGAAATAATTTTTGTGAGATGATAATGAATAACTATAGGAAGAAATAATTTTTGTAGCATATTACACAAAAATAAATTTAAAAAATCAATAAATTGAGTACATTAGAAGGTAATATAACATATCAATGATAATAACTATAGGAAGCAGTAAAGACCACAGATCTATGATATTTTTATTCTACTGTGCAAATATGCTGTAATAGTAATTTAAAATTTAAAGAAACACTTGTACCAGAAAAAAAAAATTAAAATTAAAAGACGATGCTGGAGCAAAGCATGTGCATAAGTTGATGTTTGGGTGGGGGGAACTCTAATGTTCAAATAACCTGGAGCAAAGCGAATTTAATAATCCAATGAATCAAAACTCATGAAACAGTAACTCAAAAGTAACCTGGAGCAAAGCCAATTAAAAAAAATATATATGTTGAAATCAAAAGTAACTCAAACCACAATATAATAATCCAATGAAACCAAAACTTATGAAGCAGTCCCGAAAAGTAAAAAAGTAAAGACATATACGGGAGTAGGGTGGGAGTAGGGTGTAGGTCATCGTCACCTTTTTCTTTGTCCATAGCTGTAGCTGAAAACGTACAGGCTGCTATCCCTGACGGCAAAAGGGTTTTTGTCAGAGAAAATTTGTAGCTTTAGGGTTTTGTTGAAAAACTGGAAATTGATAAATAAAAAATGGAAAGATTCTCGATTGCAGCAAAAGACTAACAGAGTTAAAAGACAAACGGAGTTAAAAGTTATTGTAATTTTAAGGCTAAAAATAAATTATTACACGTGTCGCATTCTCATTGGCGGATACACCAGCCAGCTGGTGTACCGGGTACCTACAAAAATTTCTCCAACTCTTGGTCTTTGGCTTTTGGCCGTTGGCTCTTGGCGCTGTGAAGTCACTGTTCTACAGGACTCTGTGTTGTAAATATGGTTTTTTGAAAATTAGTTACGTCTGTGTTGTAAATATGTAATACAAAAAAAAACTTTGTACTACATTTACGAAACACATATACGTAAAGTTAATTTACAACTTCACATAAGAAATAAGCTAACTTACTTTTGTTTCTTCATTTCTTTCTTATTTCTTAGAGCATCTCGAAAGAAAATGTCAAATACCAAACATTAAATTTAAATTTGATGACTGATGTGACACTTCGACATCTTAACAAGAATGAATTTGTAGTAATTTTGGATGGTAAAGATTTCCATATATTTCAAATACAATTTATTGATGTATCGGGAATTTGTGTTCGACTCCTACTCCTCATGAATAAATAAAAAAGATACTATTTCAAATAAAATGAGGATCATTGGTTCCTGTTTCTCTAGAATGAGAATGACATTCATCATTGGTTTCAGAACAACCAAACACAACCTTAAAAGAAAAGAAAAAAGGCGGGACCCACGGAAATCGAGGAAACCCGAACTCTTATCCTATCCAGGATAAGCTCATCATCTACCCAACTTCCACAGAGTCTCTACACTCCACTCTCTCTCTCGCCGGTCGGAGAGAGAAGAAACCAAAGAAGGTAATCAAAAACAAAAATGGCATCTTCAGCCTCACTATCTTCCCCACTCCACTTCCACAACCCACACCCCAGATTCTCCCCAAAACCCTCTACCACCCTAAGACCCACCACCACCGCCACCAAGCCCCTCTTCGCCATCCCGCCGCCCCTCACAGCCGTCGCCGACGTCGACAGCGCCACCATCGCCGCTATCGGCGGCGGCTCGGTAGCCGCACTCGCCGCCGCGCTCTCCTTAGCCGACCCAGAGCGGCGCCGTCGCCTACAAGCCGAGGAGGTGGGCGGCGGCGACAAGGAGGTGGTGAAGGACTACTTCAACAAGTCCGGGTTCGAGCGGTGGAAGAAGATATATGGCGAGACGGATGACGTCAACAGGGTTCAGAGAGATATCAGGCTTGGGCACTCCAAGACCGTTGAAAATGTGATGAAGATGCTGACCGATGAAGGAAAGCTTGAAGGGGTTACTGTGTGCGACGCTGGGTGCGGGACGGGGTGTTTGGCGATTCCGCTGGCGAAGGAAGGTGCCGTTGTCACTGCTGCTGATATTTCAGCTGCCATGGTTGCTGAGGCTGAGAAGCAGGTGAGTTTTTATGAAGTAAAAAGACTGCTTCTTTGGTTGTGGGTTTTGGAGGGAAATCTCAAATTTGATGGGATTGGGCCGATTGGCAATGTGGGTTTTGGTGGAAATGGAATTTGCTTATCTGGGTTGGTGATATTTTTGCTTGAATGTGAATTGTTGATGACTGGTTTGATTTGCCCATTTGAGCTTTTGGTAACTGAAAAGCACACTGATTTTGAGCTTTTTGGCAATTGAAAAGCAAATTGATTTTGAGCTTTTGATAATCACGAACCTCAAATTTTGAATTTTTATGCAGGCAAGAGAGCAGCTTCAGTTGAGCAATCGTGGGTTCTCAGGGGGGCCAGTAATGCCAAAATTTGAAGTGAAGGATTTAGAGAGCTTGGATGGGAAGTATGACACAGTGGTCTGTCTAGATGTTTTGATTCATTACCCACAGAGCAAGGCTGATGCGATGATTGCCCATCTTGCTTCATTGGCTGAAAATAGATTACTTATCAGTTTTGCACCAAAGACATTGTATTATGATTTGCTAAAGAGGATAGGAGAGTTGTTCCCGGGGCCTTCGAAGGCAACAAGGGCATATCTGCACGCGGAGGAAGATGTTGAGAGGGCTTTAAAGAAGGTTGGGTGGAGGATAAGGAAGAGAGGACTAACCACCACACAATTTTATTTTTCGAGGCTGGTTGAGGCTGTTCCTGCTAAATAAGGAAGAGAGGCCATATTTGAGTTCTGCCTTTGCTCTGATTCCTAAAAATGCTTAGGATCTTCCGCTAACAGTTTGTAAAGCTCGTTTACATGTACGTTCTCATGAATCTCATCCTCTACATGTATGTATGGCGTGTACTATTTATACAAGATGTTGATGTATCAAACTTTTGATGTTAATGACAATTGTGTGTTCTTTATATGACATTTGAATTGGTTGACTTTGATGCCAAGTTCATTGCAAGTTTATGTATGCCTTCCTGTTTCACTCTGGTTGGTTGGATGGCGAGAAACTTTTCTGAAATTTATTTCTCCTGGTTTCCATTTTGGTAGGTAGATGGCAAGAAATTTTGTTTTGATTTTGTTTTTCTTTGGAGAAGAGATGGCAAGAAATTCATCACCAGAATGGTAACTAGTTCCAAACAGATCAACAATCAAACCCCTAAGCTAAAAAGACTCTGTGTGATCACTGTATGGAGTCAATGACTGGTAGAAGAAGAAAGAAGAAATGAGCTTAAGATGCACTAAACAAAAACTCTAAGAAGATCCCTCCTACATGCAGCTTCTTAAGGTCTTTCACTTTACCATGAAGTTTGATCATAATTTATCTGCGATTCTCACTAGAGCATCTGTGACCTTGCTGATGGCAGCAAGAAAGCTGTTACTTTGCTCCTTCCTCTGTTCCCTATCCAAATGGCAATTTATGTTACGAGCTTCAAGTTGGGCATTCAGCAGGGCGTTGTTCCTCTCAAGTACTCTGATCAACTGGTCACTGTAGTTGTCTTCACATTCGTCTATTGCCAACCGTCTCTGCTTCCGTTTCTCCTGAGTGATATGCTCTCCACATGTATTTGAGTCTAAACCCCGTTTCTCTTTTTTTGTGCCTGTATGATAGAAGAACAACAAAATACAAGTTCTTAGTTTGCTCCAAGCCCAATGTATTATGTTATGACTATCTATTTAGATATATCTTTTGCATTCATATGAGGAGCTTCTGCAAGCCTTTTGCAAAAACCATAACCGGAAAGCTTATATGGTTGGACGATTATGATAGTCGAATGTTAAGAGTCATTTGGCCATGTTCGTGATGAAATGATTTGAATGCAAAGAAAATCAATATCACCTGAAGAAGGCATTGGAGTTGTGACTGTTGTTGCAGGACTGTCTTGCATCAGGTTTTCCTTCTTGGACTCTGTCTCCTCGTGCTCTGACTCCTCAGAATCGGAACATAAACCATCTTCTGCCATATCCTGTTGAAGGCCATTGGCAGCTTTTCCAGGTTCCTCCTCCTCCTCTTCTTCTGCAGCTGCCTCTTCTGCCCCATCACCACTCTGTGCATCTGTTTGTACTGGGATAAACAATGCCAGTGGACATGCTGCTGTTGCAGTCACAGCATTTCCATCCAAGATGTTGTAAACTTCCCGATCGAAGAAACCGGGAAGCTTCCTCTCCTTCCTCACATCATTTCTCATCACCCAAAAAGACTCAGCCGCTCCTTTTATCTGTGACTCCCAGTTCCTGATTTTCTTGAAATCAACAAGAAGATTGCTCCATCTTTTCCTGCACTGAACTGGCTCTCTGCTCACACCTCGCTGCTTACAGTATGATGAGACCAGATCCCACTTTGGTTCAAAATGGTCGGACCCCAAGGCTGAAGAAGATCTGCTGCGGCCCTTCTGAACCGCATTCTCCACGACCTTCTTGCCCTCTATGAGGACAAACGTCTCGTGCCTGGTCCATCGAGGGTGTCGTTTGGCTCTGTCGTCGCTGCTCCCATTCGGCACCTGCTGTCTGTCAACTTGGTCAGGTGTAGTAGAGCTAGCACCTTCATGTTTGTTTGAGTCTAATGCCATGAGGAGCCAAAAGGGTGCTCTTATTAGACAAAGTTTTGGTTAGATCAGAGGACTGTTCCAACAAGGAGATGTAAACTTTTGGGACGATGGCTACTCCTTCCTATATGTAATTCAGTGTCCACTGTCCTCCATTTATTGGAAACAATCCTATTTTTTAAGTAAATTTACAGCCTACTCTTCACTTGTTCTTTCCTGTGGTCACTGGTGAATTAATATTCTTCCATATAGGGCATCATCCCTCCTTATAGGTCACAGGTGCATCACTTGTTTAGGCACTGCTAATGGAATTTTTTTGACAAGTTTTTCGATATGATTGTAGCACCGCTACATAACGTTCTCAATCCATCCATGTTCTAACATGTATTAGTTAGCCGCCACTCATATTGTAACACCACGTATCAGTGTTACGTGATACACATAAATTTTTTTTGTAACTCATGTAATTCATATATCTTATGCGTTTGGCGTTACCTAAACAGTTTTCCAAGTCTTAAGGAAATGCCTTACGAGCTCAGATGTGTTGGTCAATCATCAGTTAAGGAAACTAAAAATTATTATTATTTTCTGTTAAACAAGGAAACTACAGATTTTCGTGCATGCATATTGACAAATCATTCATTCCTGATAAAGGAGAAATCATGTTTAGAGACAACGGAAGATGCCAAAATTATATCATTATCTTCAAAGCATCATAATAGAAGAAAAAAATAAAATAATTATGGAAATATTAGCAGCTGTCATAACATCATCAATTTAATTTGCAATAGGACATTCATACCACATAGTTATCCATACAAACAATACCACGTATTGAAAAGGAAAAAAGTTTTTTCTATTTTAATACCCTTTTTTTTAATCATCGAAGAATGAAGGTTATAACTTAAAATATCTTCTAAAGTTGAAACAAAAAATACTTTTAAATTAAGAGTTAGTGTCCGTTTGGTATTGCTTATTGGGGTGATAAGTGGTTTTTAAAAAAAATTGGGAAACCCAGCTCATTTGGTAAACTATGAGAAAATCACTTATTGTTAAAAATTAAAGCTATAAATGAAAGCAGATAATGAGGTGCTTTCATTTTCTGATTATGCGATAATCAATTTTGAAGAGGTGTTGGGTGTAATGATTATGCGGGAATCAGTACTAACAACATTTTTAAAAAAAGTTTACCTTTCTTTCAGAGCAAATCTGACAGCGATTATTTTCACAACACAATAATACCAAACTGGCCCTTAGTCAGTTTGTTATACTTGAATATTAAATTTAGAGAGTTGCTATTTCCACCCACCAGTCCTATTTTCCCACCTACCGTATAAATTTTAAAAAACACAATCCTATTTTTCCATCCACCAATATTCCTAAAATACCCTTTTAATTATTACTTCATTTCCTATCTCCTTTATTCTCTCTGCTCATGTATTCTCTCTCTTTGATGCCCACACATCTCTCTCTCATTCTTGCTATATCTTATTTTCCACGAAATTTGAAATTTGAAAACAAACAATAGTAATTAATACAACAGTAAAACGATAAAAGAAGCTACTTCACATCACGAAATTTGATGACAATGGCTGGTCAGCATGCAAAAGATGACCAGCCCTTGAAACCAAAACCTGGCTCACGCTCCCCAATTTCTAAACATACCCAACAACCTCTTTACCCACCTTCCAAACTTTCTGGTCCGTTGACAGAAACTAGTTCATTCCCAGGTTTTCAAAATTTTAATTTGTTTAAGAAAAAAAAATCAGAGTCTAAGAAATACTCATCTCCCAATGCTTTAAGTAATCATAAAGATCTTAGAAATTATATTCAAATAGGATTTCCTTACCTTTTCGCCAAAATCATTCTCTTCAACATCCAGTCTCTTGTTGTCTTCTTCTTCGTAAACAATTTGATTGAATGAATAGAAAAGAGAAGAAAATTATTTGAGAATTGAGTTATGAACACTGAAAAGTCATAAGAGGAATCATGAGCAAGGAGTCATAGCTTTCTTGTGTTTTTTCTCTTTCTGTCAAACGATAGGGTTACGTGATAGTAGAAGTTTGCTTCTTCTTTTTTTCCTCTTTCTTTTTCCTTATGTCCTTTTAAGTCATTTTATAATGATGTTAAATTTGTTTTTAAAAGTTTAAAGATAAGGTGGGTAGAAAAATAAGACAGGTGTGTGGAAATAACAGCACTCTAAATTTATTTGTTTTGTTATAGGATGTGAATATTAAAAAGCCATTGTCATTTTATAATGGGCCTATTCAGAAAAAGCCCTTAAGAAAAAGTCAGGAAAAAAAAAGGACCCGACCCGCCTAGGCCGATTTTTCCTTCTCATTTTTTTCGGTCGAAACCTAGGCCGAGTTTTCAAACACCACTTGAACGATTTCACTTTACAAAACAATGCGTTGAACTCCATTTTCCCGCGCGTAATTGTATCAGTAAATAACTAGTTTGGAACCCTAGTTTTTTTTCCAGAGCAAAAGAAAATGGAGAGGGAAGAAGAAGACTCGGTGAGCGAGCTTTTGAGAGATCGATTCAGAGTCTCCACCATCTCTATCGCCGAAGCCGAAGGTACCACATTCTTCAGTATTCGTAGTTTCATTAACTGGATCGCCTTGTTTTGTTTCTGGTTATCACTTCTCACTTCCCAAATGCCATTTCACTGCACAGCGAAGAGAAACGACATGGAAATATCGGGACCCGTGATGACTTGCATTGCCGATTTGGCCTTCAAATTTACTGGTATTTGCCTATGACTTTGATATTTGCCATGCAATTAAGAATGTAAGATAAATTGCGATAATCTATTTCTTTTTTGGGTCATAAATTCCAAATTGAGATAATCATACAATTCGACTGGTGCATTCAACTGACAGAAACAGAATGGTATGGTTATTGTGCTTAAACATTCCAAATGAAATGCCTCTTTTACTAGAAAGTGAGAAATTGTAGTTTCAGAATTGGGTTCTTAGAGTTTGATAGACAAACGAAATGTCTGATTAGGAAGTGGGTCTACTTTCGCCAATGAGGATCGAAACAATTCCGGTTAGATTTGTTAGTACGAGGGTTGTTGAGAGATTATTGTGGGATGATTTTGAATATTTTGATCTGTGAAACACGTTCTGCATGTCTAATTTGAGCACCAAGACTAAGAATATTGCTCATGAAGTAAAGAATTGTGACATCATACAACTCACCCTAAGAAATTTGTATGTCATAAATTTGTTCAGCCTAACAATTGTAGTGAAAGAAAGTCTGGACTCCAGAGTGATACAATATCCTGTACGAAAAATGTCAATAATGGGTTCCAATCATCATTAGGAAAAAGCTGAATTGAAACTAATGGAAGCCTTGCTATTTTGCAAAACAGAACAGTTGGCAAAGGACCTGGAATTATTTGCTCAACACGCTGGTCGTAAAACTGCAAACATGGAAGATGTCATACTTTCTGGTGAGTGTTCAACCCTTGGAGTTTAAATGGATATCAACTTCAACGAAATTGAATGATATACCAATTTGCCACAAGCTCTCATGAACCTAGTTATTCTGTTCTGTCTTCCGTTTTTGTATGTTTGAACTCTGGATGTACTAATTCTTCTTGGAAAAACATGGTTTCAGCACATAGAAATGAACATCTGGCTGCCTTATTGAGGTCCTTCAGCAATGATCTAAAAGCCAGAGAGCCCCAATCTGAGAGGAAGAGAAAGAAATCATCAAAAAAGGAAGACCAAGCAACTACCAGTGTAGTCCATATTCCAGATTCTTAGCTGGGTACGTCTCTACCTTAACTTGATTACTAAAGCACAACAAAGAATTAGATATCTCATGTAAGAAAGCTGCGACTTGTTTGACCTTAACTTCTGCATCATGTGACTTGCTGAAGAATCCCGAGTAAATACATTTGAAAACTTAGCTTGAGTTCAAACACCATTTCAGATTATACTACTACCATTATCCTGTGTCATTCAATATATGACTTAGATTTCTCTCCTGTTTAATTTTCTGGTCACTGAAATGGTTGGAAAGTATCAAAATGGAAAGCATTACTATTGAGAAGCTTTTCCCCATACTTGCCCTAAATTTGGAGAAAGGGATAGCACTATTTTGTTATTCCCGATCAATAGCACTATTTGGAGAAAGCGTGTCATAGCGCGCGTGATAACACTTCCACTTGACATATCATTGTTGGATGGAGATAACTGTTATGTCCCTTCCAACTAAGTTTTTCTCCTAAATTTGGTTATTAGCGGGTCATGCCAATCAGAATTCTTGGTACTTTTCCACTATCCCAATTGAAAAGCTCCTTACCCACAGGCCCCCACACTAAAAAGGTTTTTGTCTTGTATGAGTAAATGGCCCATTGAACCAACCAATTCTCAATTTTGTAATGCAAGAACTTCCATATGTGAACAGTTTGTAGCAAAAACATAAGAAGGTGTACTTGGATAAATCGTAGGAAAAGCGGGAAGATGCTCAAATGTTCATTTGCTTGGATTGTTGTTTCAAAATGATGTGTAAAAATTCAAGTTTTTGTCGTTGCTGGGGGAGGAGGGGTGACGAGATTGAGTTACTTTTTGTCAGAATCACAGGTATATATTTTCTTTTTGGGTACAAAAGGACCAGAGATATTTTCAAAGCCAAAAAGAGGTCAGTTTTTTTAGTCAGGGAGAGCGCCATGAAAAAGAGTGCTGTTGAGTTTCAGAGTTTCTTTAAAGGTTAAAAGCCTTGATGGTCCAAGGAAAAAAAAAATAAAAGCCTCTGTCCTTCCAGTTCCAGTTGTCCTACGCACCATTTCAATCTGCACAATTTCTTCCTCTGGGATTCTGGTACCTCTGCAAATACAATCCAATCTCATTTTAATAATGATTTTTCCTCTTTTACAAAATAATAAAAACTATTATTAATTTTGCAATAACTGATTGGTGGACGTATGTTTGTGCTGTGCAATAATAATCCCAACCTTATCCTTGAGTCAGCATACGTACACGTAAACCAGAATGAACAGTGTCATAAATAGTCCGTGTGGGATAATTTGTCCTGTTTAACCAGGCCATTGTTAAATTTGTTACGTCACAAATCACGGACCACCCTGGACCCCGTCTGTTTAGGTTTAGTTTCCTCAATTATAGTTGGCTCGGATCATTGAAATACTAGTGAATCTTACAATGTGTCATAAGTTTACTTAAGAAATCCTTCAATTAAAGCTTTATATATGCTCTACATATTATATAGTCTTACTCTTTCTCCAAACTTTCGTAATTATTTCAAGAAAACTAATGGTTTTAGAGGTGTTTGAGTTGTGCTAGCAACAATCGTCCACGTATGCAATTACTCGGTTGTTGTTTTCCTCACAAAACTTGTAGTATGCATCAATTACTTCATTTAAACTTGGACAGAGCTAGTGTCCTTCGCAATGTCATAAAGAGAGACCTTTCATTCATTTAAGCAATAAAAAAAATTGCAGCATAATAGTCAACTTCCCCGAATTGTTTCCATCACGACTTCTCTCTTCCTATCGCGTAATCAAATGTTTTCAAGTGCGGTGAAAAAAAGCAACTCAAAATCAAAAGCACTTGTTCTTTTCATCCAATTTTTGTGAACCACAGCCACAAGCAAGCTCGAGAGAGTGGTCCTAACACCCACAAACAAACCCACAAGATGAAAGAAGCAAGCTTCGAGTATGGAAACCCATGCTTAATAATATCATAAAACTTTGTAAGCAACAGGAATCAGCTTTCATCTGCCACGTGTCCATCTAGTTTTTTTCCCTTCATATTTCCGATATTCCACCATAAATAATGCCCCATTTGGGTGTCACTGTCATGCAAACAACACAACAGGCTGGAGATCTAACGGCCACGAGGCCACCCATACCACGTGAACCTTTTATCTTTAACCGTTTGCCCTGCGTCCCTCTTTTCGCTTTCACAAGTCACAACAACCGTCCGGTTTGCCGGAAACTTGTTAGAAGCTGCTGCGTTATTTTAAAAAAAAATCAAAAAGCCCCTCCTCTCTGCCTGCCATGTGTGCGTGCCCCAAATAGGACAAGACCCTTTAATTTTTGGCTTGTGGTCTCATGCATTTGCTATGAATTTGAGTATTAACAGATAATTAAGGGCACTTAAGCACTCGATTTAATTAATTAACAAAGACAGTTAACCGAAACCAAATTGGTCAAATTCTGCCTAACAATCTGTGCCACGTTCAAATTGGATCTTAAAACCAAGCACAAAACCTTTGACCTTTTAAATGGGGGTAGTTTTCTAACATGAAAATTACCAAATTAGGGTTCACATTTACTTGACACAAGCTCATAATAAACAAATCGAGTCTAAACATTCAAATTTTCACACTATAAACTTGTTCAATTAATACACACGAGCCTCTCTGCACGCACTTCTGTGCCTGCGAGAGGTTTTTTTGAAAAAAAATTTAAATTTCTTTTAGAATTAAAAAATATAATGGGTAGTTGTGTTCCATAAAAATATGATTTATTATCTGATTTTTCTTTTTATTTTAATTTTTTAATATGAAAAGGTGTGAATTTATCATATTATCCTCATTTAATTAATAATTTTAATTCTTAGTGCCAGTTTGGCATTGCTTATTTGGGGTGATAAGTGATTTTTTTAAAATTTTGAGGAGCCCAATCCGTTTGGTAAACTATGAGAAAATCACTTATTGTTAAAAATTGATGTGAGAGAAAGCTATAAGGGAAAGCAGCTAATGAGGTGCTTTCATTTTCTGATTATGCAGAAATCAATTTCGAAGAGGCGTTGGGTTTAATAATTGTGCGGCAATCATTTTTTGATTATGCATAAAATAAATACCAACAATACTTTTAACAAAAATTTTACCAAACGCCAAACAACTTTCTCTCACAGTTGATTTCTCTCACAGCAAATCTGACAGCAATTATTTTTACAGCACAGCAATGCCAAACTGGCCCTAAATGTTTGGATTAACCAATGACATTTTCTGGTATTTTGAATGTTTCACAATTCTCTGCCTTTGCTTTATACATACTAGCCCCTCTGCACGTGCTTCCGCACCTACGAGAGGCTTTTTTAAAAATTTTAAAAATTATTTTAAAATTAAAAAATAATAATGGGTAGTTGTGTTCCATAAAAATATGATCCATTGTTTGAATTTTCTTTTCATTTAATTTTTTTTAATATGAAAAAGTGTGAATTTACCATATTATCTTCATTTAATTAATAATTTCAATTCAATTCTTAATGTTTGCATTAACCAAGAGTATTTTTTAGTATTTTGAATGTTTTACCATTATCTGTCTTTTGCTTTTATATATAGATATATAGAAGATATAGATAAATAAAAATGATTAATTTTCCGCGTTCCAATGTTAGTATTTAGTCAGATTATATAGTTACTATTTATGATATTCCCGATATTATGATCGAAGCATTGATTTAGATTGAGTACTAAATTTTAAAATTATATGTCATAATTCATGTGCATAGTATTAGATTGACAGGATTGATGAAACATATCCAAGTAACATTGATTGACATTTAAACCATACAAAATTGAAGCAACATTATAATTAAAAATTAAGGCCAGCAATGTTAGCCAAGAAAGAAACCATATAAAAATACACGCTCACCCACCCACCCAAAAAAAAAAAAAAAAAAGTCCTTTATTGTTCCATTTGTGCAGATATGGATTGGATTGTCGTGTACATTATTGACACATGTATCATTATGCATGTGCTCCTCCTGTGGGACCCACCCAGCTCCGTTTATTTTTGTAGCTACTCGTTAAAATGTTATCCACGTGTCATACCCAAGGTGGAGTTTGTTTAAATAATCCATTTTTGGTTGTTACAGAACTATTGCCAATTGGCCGAAGAAATGAAAAATTATGATAATAAAATTTTAAAATATTAGAATTATAAAAAATAAAAGAAAACCTTATCAGTTAGGGAAATAATAATTAGAAAATCAAATTTGCTAGCCTGCCACTATATTTTTTTTCTGGTTTTTATTTATTTATCCTTGTTTTAATAATTCAAATCTCCCATTTCTCAATATCGCTTGTGTACAAAAATTATAAAAAACTAAGATAATATTATAGGCAAAAAAAATAGAACCAAAGTTATCGCATTATAACGAAGGAGACTAAGCCAAGTAGTCTGGTAAGTGAGACCCTTAAAAGGATTGCGTATCACATTAAAATTGTAGAAAAATTTCAATGTCATTGAGCACTATAATTGAAAATTAAGGACCCATTTAATAACTATTTCAATTTTAATTTTTAGTTTTAAATTTTAATTTTTTGTGCTAGAGTAGAGGAAAAAGTAGTAGAATGGAAGTGGGAATCAAAATGGATATGAGATTGAAATGGAAGATGAGAGCAGAGGGTAAGAGGGAGAAGTAACAAAAGTGAAAACAAAAACTAAAAACTGAAATTTATTTCTAATTGTTTTTACTTTCAAGATTTTGTTCTCACTCTCATTTTCCTCTGTACTATATCACAAAAAATGAGAAATAAAAACTAAAATTAAAATAATTATCAAACGGGTCCTAAGATTATCCTCTTTATTTTCTTATTACAATTGTTTGGGTCATGTGGCACACAAGTCTTTTTGGTATGCCAATATCTGTGATGTTACTTCCCAACCTTGGTTAAGGACGTGACACCTTGATATTCTCGAAATATGGGAATATTGGCTTTTTTGAATAACAGTTTCGTCAATGATTATGACTTTGATTCTTTTTTTCTTGTACCACACATTTTTCTCTATAGTTTTAGTATATTTTATGCAAAACTTATTAATAATCTTCCCTTTAAAAGTGAGAATAAAGGTGAATAATGAGATTGGAATTGAGAGGCTTTTAAATAAATAAATAAATAAACACGTATTAATAAATAAACCAATGTATAATGATGAATTAAATTAAACTCACCTCATCGGTATTGGAAAGATGATTTTATCTAAACTAACCAATTTAAGAAATTAATTTTATTTATATATATTTTTTAAAAATTTGCTGTAGTTTTAAGGCAAATTGAAAGCAAAAGTAAAAGTAGAAAAAACAATATGACCTTTTTTTAACTTTAAAAATCAATGAGTGAAAAAAGAAGAAAAAAAGTGTGGAGTGTTGGGGCACGAAATCATATACTCATTCATAGCTCTGAATTTTTTATTATTTTATTATATTTTATTTTTGAAACAGCTTTCGAACTGGTTCGAGGACACGTGGCTGAGTATGAGCACATAGGCTTTAAGTGCTCTTCCGCATTCTAAATGCCGGTCCCTCCCAGGTTGACAATCGCTTGGTCTTTCATTCGGCTCGGCTCGGCTGACTTATAGTATGCAGCCATTATGTTGTGACACTTGTTTTTTTTTAATATTATTTTTTAAACAATAATACTAGCAGATAATTTATTTTATTTGTTGGATGGATGAGGATGGGACTAGGTTTGATCATGATTAAAAGCTCAAGTTGGATATAAGGTGTGAAAATCACATTGAGGCTTTTAAATGTAGGGTCCAACTTTGTCCCTCATATTCTTCCCTCATTTTTAAAGACAAAAAAGTTTTCCCTATTTGTCTTCGTTTTGTTATGATTTTCCTCAAATTATCATAGGCAACTGCGTCTCAGTGTCGAATCTCTACCTGCATTTCGGCGTCGGATCTCCACCACCATCTTTTTTGCAATTTCTTTATATTTAGAATAAGTTATAGAGACTTTTTGGATTCTCTATGTTGTTTTCACCTCTTCTTTGTGGGAGCTTTTCATCTCTCATTTATGAGAGTTTTATTTGTATTATCATGGCTTAGTTTTTTCAAACTTTGTCACTTTTTAATTATTCTGAACTTGCAATCTTAGTTAGAATGTCTATGCCATAATTTATTCGATATTGCGTGATCGTTAGTGAATGTGCACAAAATTGTCTTAATTTTGAGTTTCACTAAAACACCCAAAATGAGGGCTGAAATTATAAAAAAACCCAATACCCAAAACACTTTATAAACACACCCAAAACCCATCATTACACACACTCAAAACCCATTTATAAACACACCCAAAAAATATACAATTGTTGATTTTGGGTGTGTTTCTATGTTTAAATAGTGTTTGGGTTTTTTTATAAATACATGTTTAGGATTGGGTTTATTTATAAATTTGTATAATTTTTATGTTTAATCGCTTCATTATTTTAATTGTCATTTGTTGCTAGTTTGTATTAGTCATTTGTGATTAGTGACTTGTTTGGCTGAATTATGAATGTAATACTATAATTCTTTAAAAAAAAAAGAAAAGGAAATTGCAGCTGTTAATCACAATTTACACCCTCAAATGTAGCTAAGCTACAATGGACTATAAAGTAATAAACAATATAAAAGGAAAAAGACAAAAAGAGGCAGAAAATAAATGATTGGATTAGGCCATGTGATTAGGTTAGTATTTGTCAAAAAAAGTAAACATTGATTGGCTGCTAATCTGTATTTTTGTCGATAAAGATAAGGACCCCTGTGACATGCTCAGTGAATGTTAATTTGTAGACAAAACTTAGGATAATTTAAAAAATATTTATATTTTTGCAATAAATACGTAGGACAGCTTATTAGGTGAGTTTTGTAATTCTTCTTGAAATCAAAACATTTCGTACACGACACCTCACCTCGAGCTATCCGGAGGAGAGATTTAGAGAAGAGAGAAGAATATCATGCCATTTTTTTCCTTTCTTTCTTATGAAACTTTCCAAACAAACATTAACAAACCAAGCCAAAACTTGCCATGTTGTTTGACTACCTAGTAGTCTAGTAGAAAATAACCCTAGGGTTCAACATGAAGGGGAATGTGATTGGCTTATGTGGTAGGGCATTGACAAATGTTGGACTTTGAAGTTGCAATCTTACCATCCATAAAAGAAGAACTTTACATTTTTTTTTAATTGTGATATTTCGTGCTTTAAACTCCATTTACATAAGTCCAAGCATGACAACGAAGTAATAATTGATCTCCATACATCTGTTATATGCTTTTTAGTTACGAAGTCCTAATTGTAGTGGCAACAACCATTTATTTGTAGTTAATGCATTTTCGAACTGTTAAATAACTTACTCACCATGCACTGACTTGATCATATAATCGTACTTTAAACTCTATTTACATAACTCATGGCATGTTAACGTGGCCTTTGATTGAGTACCAGCTCTCGTACCGAAGTATGCTCGGTCATGTATGGTACAAACACCATCCATAAAAGAAAAATCAGACAAGTTTAGATAAAATGTGGTTAAGTTAAACCAAGGGGAAACAATATTTCCAACAAATGCAAATGCCCCAAACAATACAGGGATATAATTATTAAAACAATGAAAAAGAAGCCAAGCCGGCAAAGCCAAGTAGATAGGGAAGTAGTATCCAAGTACTCGAGAAAAGTGGATGTGGAAACGGGTCGGGCAAGAAGGTCAAAACTCAAAACTCAAAACTCAAAACTCAGAACTCAAAACTCAAAAATAAAAACAAACTGAAAGGTCAGTGGTGGTTGAGAAAGAAAGAAGAAAGGACTGTGACGGGTTTTTTTTTGTCCTTCTCCAGTCTAAGCCAACCCCACTCTGGCACTCCACCGAATTTAAAGGCCCTCGTGTGTGTAGGATTTTTGCTTCTCCTCCTCCTCTTCCCTGTTTTATTGAGTTTTGAGTTGTTCAAGTTTGTGTTTCCGTTTTCGTTCACAAAATTTTATCCACAGCACACAACACACAAAGAAACCCGCGCCCCATTTCCTTTTCTCCTTTTGTCCTTGTCTTCTTCTTCTTCCTCTTTTTTCCTTTTATTTTCTTTTTTATTTCAAACCTACAAAAGCCAGCCAACCAACTAAACATCTCTCTCTCTCTCTCTCTCTCTCTCTCTGACGCTCTCAGATTAAACAAATCACAAAAACAGCTTCCTCTATATATTCTCTTTCTCTACAGTACTGACCCATCGGCAGGACTCCTCTCTCGCCGGAATTCCCCTCCTTTTTCTCATTTTCCGGCTCCAAGCTCTGTATTTTTTTTATTTTAAAAAAGATAAACTCTTTCGTTATTTTTTGAAGAAAAAAGGTTAGGTAGAAGCAACCCAGAAAAAACAAGGAAGAGAATTTTGGATTTTTGTTTTGATATTCTCTCTCTAGTTTTGTGGCGAGTGATAACTTGCAATGCTGCAAAAGGAGAAGGCGGTTCAGATGCAGATATGCTGAGATCCATTGCTGTGTCATAAGTTTCAATTTATTTTTTTGATCTTTCTCTGAGTCTTCTGAATTATTGAGCTGAATTTTGGACATGGTGGTCAATTATGCTGATGAGCCTTCTCTTGTACTAGGTCAGACCTTGTTCTTATTTTTTTTGTGTGTAAATTTTATCATTTTTTGGGTGATGATTTGTTGTTTAATTTCCTTTCCTCTGTGTAAATTTTGAAACTTTGAGTTCATTTTTATCGACTTTCTTAAAATTTTCAAGGGTTAAACTTCAAGTGCTTGCATGTTCTTCTTGGATCTTTTGCTCTTTGCCTCGTACTATTTTGAAGGGTTAAGTTTCAATTTTGATGCATTTTAGGTTGCTTAGGAACTTCGGAAAACAAAATGATTAAGTTTGATTTTGTTTTCCTACCTTTTCTCTACAACCAAATGGGGCAATTGTGTTTGGTTGTTGGTAGGTAAACAAACATTTTCACTTTCCTACTATTTTACCATTTCTATTATATCTCTCAGCCTCTTAGGTTGTAACACACACAGAGACACCAAAAAGCAAAGTTAACAAAAATCTTCAACATTTTCCAATTGGAGAGCCTGATGAGTAACCTTTAAAGCTTTATATGAATTGATTTGTATTTTCTTTGAAATTTCTAAATGCCCTTCTTCTCAATTTTGCCGTAGAATTTTATGTATGGTTGTGTAATATCTGAAGTGGATCATCTTTATTTTTAAATGCCCTTCTCAATTTTTCTTTAGAATTTTGTGTATGGTTGTGTAATATCTGGAGTGGATCATCTTTATTTTTTTAATTTTTGTTATTCACATTAATTTTCAGGCAAGGAGCCATGTAACATAGACAGATTCAGCAAGTGAGAAAATTTGAGCTCTTACATTTTTTTTTTGTTTGGTAATCTTTTTCTGGTTTCTGAGTGCTGCACGATGCCATTTGAAATAATGGATCAAAGGGGTGTATCTGTCTCTTCCCATTTCTTTGATGAAATTCCTTTTCCTTCTGAGGTACTTATTGTCTTATTAAAATGAAAATATTCTAATTTTAGTATTTCGTGAAGTTTCGATGGATATATGGCACTGGTGTTTAGGTGCCTGTAAGGCTTTCATACCCTGTTTAACTCTATCATAAATTTTTAGTCCCTTTTTAGCACATCATACCTTTTTTCAGTTGTTATTTCTATTTACCAATTTGCCAAATTTGATGCACCAGAGACAAGTTGGATTTCAGAAGCTGAAAACCATGCCTGATTACCAAGGTGAGCATTAGTACATTTTCCTGATACAGTCTATCAGCTAATTAGTCGTAGTGGGTTATAGAAGTTATACAACATTACCAGTTGAAAGATTTTCCCAACCAAACAGACGGCCCTAACTTAATGACAACTGTCGGAACATGTGGTGTGGTAGTAAGTTCACCTGCCTCTCTCGCTCGATACTTGGGTCTGAGTCGCCACACCTGGTGGTATCTTGCCTTGCAAAGAGGGAAAATAACATAAATAGTTGCCATGATAAAGTAATTTCAAACATTCAGAAGTATTTTGCATTCATTTTGGTCAAACATGTGACAACTGGCTGTCCCAATTCCCAGCTTTGTAATAAAAGTTCTTATTGCTCTATAAAGTAATCGGTTTTATGCTCTAATCTCAGAAGCGTTTAAATTGAAATTGAGAATTAACTTGATCCATCTTGTAGAAAATAAATGTTAGCTTGTCTGCCAGAAGTTTTGAATGCTAACCTTTTTATGGAAACTGTAATTTTGTCTTGGTTCAACAGACTATACCCTTCCCCTATGGGCATACTCTAAATTTGAACAAATAAATTCTATGATAAAAAAGGCTGCGCGATAACTTTTACTACCCTCTTGTGTAAATTTTGTCTTTCAGTGGGAGTGGATGGAACGGTAGCCACACCTGGCAGCATGTTCAGTCATTCTTTACCCTCAAGAAAGCTTTTACCAATTGGGGCACAATCAGCAGATTACTTGGATATGCCACAATCCAAGCTGGCTGGGGAACAAACAGAAAGGCTAAGCATGGTGGAGTTGCCAACATCTCCAAGGCCTCGTGGAAACCTATGGATCACCAACCAAAATTGTGGTCAGACTTGTCCACAAAGCCAACACCTTATAGCTCGGCTGGCAGCAAAACTGTTCTTCATGGCGCCGAGCATGAAAGTAGTCTGTTCTCAAGTTCTTTGTCTGAAATTTTTAGTAAAAAGTGTAAGCTTTCCTTTTAAATTATATTAAATGTTTGCTCATATGTTGCTTGTGGGTAATAATAATATTACCTTCTATATTTCTCAAATCAGCTACGCCTGTTGACTAGACACTCTTTAGTTTTGTTGACAGATATAAAAATTTGCAGTTCTATAATTCTTTAACAAGCATGCAAAAGAAGCTGCAAACTTTAATTTTCTCACAAAAAGATTTTCTTCAATTTCATGTCTAACAAGTTCTAATCTCGAACTTTATCTTGCATAAAGTTACCGCATTTCAATTAACTTGGCCCAGAATCTTTCTAAAACCTATTTTTGTCCATGCATAAGACATGTTCTAGTTTGTTTTCTACTTCTATGTACTAACATTTAATCAGTTACATACGCATTTGTTGGAATTAAGTCTTTGTTGAGTTGAATTAAGCTGACTTTATTTTCCTTGATACTACTTGATTGATGTATAACTCTCTGCATTTTCCACAAATGTGCATATTTATTAACTTAACATCTCCTCTTTTGTTTTGTTTTGTTTTGCTTTCTTTAATATGCAGTGAGATTACTAAAGAATGATTTAATACCTCATCAAGCTACTAATAATGTTGCTTCCCAACATGAGGAAGAACCCTTTGAATCTCTTGAAGAAATTGAGGCACAAACAATTGGGAATCTCCTTCCTGATGAAAATGACTTGTTTTCCGGCGTGATAGATGGGCTGGGTTATAATACTCATGCTATTATTGGTGATGGATCTGAAGATTTTGATCTCTTTAGCAGTGGTGGTGGCATGGAACTAGAAGGAGAAATCTGTGCAGGACTCTGTGATTCTGATTTTAGTGGGGGAGTTTCCAATGGTCTAGGGGGTTGTAATGGCTCAATTGTGGGTGAACACCCTAATGGTGAACACCCTTCTAGAACACTTTTTGTCCGGAATATTAATAGCAATGTTGAAGATTTGGAGTTGAAGTCTCTTTTTGAGGTGGTTATAACCTCCTTTATAAGTTTTTTCTTCTTCTTTATTTTCTTTATTTTAAAATTTCTAATTTGCAAGTGCATGCAAGCCGGTTGAAGTAGTTTACCTTGCTAGTTAAATTGACAATTGCATTTTGTTCTGTTAGCGATTTGGAGATATCCGGGCACTTTACACAGCCTGCAAACATCGTGGGTTTGTTATGATTTCTTATTACGATATAAGGGCAGCCCAAAATGCACTAAGAGCACTTCAAAGTAAGCCACTGAGGCGTAGGAAGCTTGACATACATTATTCAATACCTAAGGTATGGTGGTCACTTGTTATTCACTGTTTTTGTATGTGCTAGATTCACTGCCTTTTTCTTCCCCATTCTTGTTTATACATTATCATGTTGCTTTGTTCCTTCATGCTTTTGTACATGCCAATATGTCAGGACAATCCTTCTGATAAAGATATTAACCAAGGAACGCTGGTGTTATTCAACCTTGATTCTTCTGTTTCTAATGATGAGCTTTCTAAAACTTTTGGATCTTACGGAGAAATTAAAGAAGTAAGTCATTCAAGTTGTTCAAGTTTTTCCTTCTATTATCTTGCTTTGCTTCTAAGAGGATGAAATAACTTTCCATATTATGTGGTTGCTATTTTTTGTTTCTAGATCCGTGAGACTCCACACAAGCCTCATAACAAGTTCATAGAATTTTACGATGTTAGAGCTGCGGAAGCTGCGCTTCATGCGTTGAATAGGAGTGAGATTGGTGGGAAGCAGATCAAGCTTGAACCAAGCCGTCCAGGGGGTGTAAGAAGGGGGTACTGATAATTTACTCTTCCTATTGATTATCTTTAGCTCTTATTAAAAAGGAGTCCTTGTTAAATTCTGAGGGGGATTGTGACTTTCTATAAATTCTCTTCTTTGTGGGGTTTTGATCTTAAAAGAGGCAATTTTTGGCTTTGTTGCCTAATGTATTGGTATTCTCCTGGATGTTCTCTTAGCATGTTACTGTTCCATTTTACTTGTTCATTGTATCCCCCTTTAAGTTGAAATTGTTAAATTTCTCCTTTGTAAGAAAAAACATTCCTTTTGCAGTTTGGTTCAAGTTTCTGAGCAGGAGCAAGATGAATATAAATTTGGTCATAGCCCGAGTGAATCTTTATCAACAGGATGCAAGGGTATGAATCTGCTTGTTAAGAATTCTTGCTTCAATTTGTGTGTACCTTTTTATAAAATTTTTACCTTGCTTTTATTACAGCGATGCTTCGTCCTGGAATGGTTGAATCAAGCTCCATGGTTAATGGATCTAACCTGGGCTTACATTCTGCAGTCCGATCACCTGTGAGCGCATTTATTGAAAATGCTTTACTTCATCAGAGTTCAAGTGTTCCAGATACCTTGCCCTCTCCGGCGACTGTTGCGTCTGCAGGGAGAAAATTTAGCCTTTGTGAGCCCGATCACTCTCTGGATGACATGAAGTTTGGTAACCAGTGCATTCCCAGTTTACATCCTCATTCCTTGCCTGAGTATCATGACATAGCCCATGGTATTCCGTGCAACTCTTCTGGTGCTATTGCAAACATGACTGGCAATGTGGGCCTTAGAATGTCAGAAGGAACAGACAGAAGGCCCACTTGTGGAGTCAACGCAAATGGTCACCTAATGGAACTGAATGGAGGAGGTACATTCATTATATTACTTTATGTCATTCTTTAGTAGAGTTCTAATGGACAGATAATTTGTACAGCGGGCTAATGCGGTTCAATGCATCCTAGTCATCCTTATATGATTACACGACTGAAATGATTTTATTGAAGGACCTTACCAGAGAATTTTTGTTTTATCTAGTATGTAGTACGTCTTGCAATGTTTGATATCTGAAACATAACTTTGTTGAATTTGCTAATTGTTTTCTCCTTTCTTCCTAGCCTATCCCCCCCGTATCGTTTCTCAGTGTAAATTTTGGTTCTATATTTGGTTCCCGTTTTAGCACCAAGCATTTTGCACTCCTAGATTTCTACAGTATTAGTCGTACTTTTTTTTAGTTTTCCTGGGCTGTAAAGAGGAATAATGCAAAGAGTGTGGACCCATCACTTCTTACATCTCTGATTCTTTTGTTTTATTGTGTGCTATCTGTGTATCTTATTTTTACATTATATTGTTCATGTTAAACGAGATAGGGGATGTAGGAATCATATTAGTATTACTGATTGAGTGGTGGTTCTCATAGTGCCTTCTGTGGTCCTTGTTTCCATGTAGTTTAGATGAAGTCTAGAGTTTGTCTCTCATCATCACTAACTCAAGTGTACCTTTATTTCATTGCATTTTGGATTGAGGTTAATGACATTTTTAAATCTAGTCACTATTCTGGTGAATTTGTTGTTTACAAGTCTATTCTCATACAGCTTTTGGATCTCCTGGAAATGGGAGCTGCCCTGTTCATGCACATCCTTATTTGTGGAATAACTCCAACTCATACCAGAAGCGTCCTTCAAGTCCCATGATATGGCAGAATTCACCATCATTTATCAATGGTCCTAATGCACATCGCTTTCCACAAATGCCTGGATTCCACAGAACACCGCCTCATATGCTGAACAGTACATCACCTGTGCAGCACCATGTAGGATCAGCTCCGGCTGTTAACCCTTCCCTTTGGGAAAGGCACGCCTATTCAGGGGAGTCTCCTGACACTTCTAGTCTTCACTTGGGTTCTCTTGGCATTGCACATTTTCCCAGCAGTCCCCAGATGCATCCTATGGAAATTCCTTCACACAACATATTTTCTCTTGTTGGTGGAAATTTCTTGGATATGACTACAAGTGCCCGGCAACGCTCTTCACAGGAGATCTGCCACATGTTTCCTGGAAGGAATTCGATGAGTTCAATGCCTACCTCTTTTGATTCTCCGAACGAACGTGTTAGACATCTGTCTCACCGAAGAAATGAAGCAAATTCTAACATTGCTGATAAGAAACAATATGAGCTTGATATTGAACGTATATTGCGTGGGGAAGACAGAAGAACCACATTGATGATAAAGAACATTCCCAACAAGTATGTATATCATTTACTCTATACTCAACCTGCCATCTTTTCTTTTTACTCTATACTCAACATGCTGGAAGATTTTTCTGGATGAACATTTTCCCATTCTTGCTTTTGTACTTCCAGTATCTGTTCACATCTAATTTGTCCATCCAAAGTTGTCTTATTGCTTTTTGGGCTGCCCTTGATTGTCTGCTTGGGAAAGACTAGTTATACATACAGGATGTCATATGTGGAAAAATATTAGGTAGTTGGATGTCCTTGGGTCTTGATAATCTTATGTGATCATGTTCGTTTGTAATGTTATAGCGTATCTGAAAGATGTGGTTAATGCCACATTGCAGTTGACTGTTGTTGTATTGATAATCATAAGAAGTCAACCTAACATGGTAGCTTCATTACCTTTCAATTTCATACGATACCTAACATGGCATTAACTGTAGCACTTACTGCTTGGTTAGGGCTTAACATAGTTGCATAAAATTGAGAAAGAAAGAAAATGAGGATCTCTTCTATAACTTAAAGTGCAACAGCACAGTCCCGAAGTACCTGCTACAGTACTATGATAAACATGCATTCTTGAAACTGCAATAATCATATTTTTGTATAAATTGCTATCTAGTTGTACATAGTAATTTTCCTGATTTGCTAAACTAATTAAATGGTTGTTACAGGTATACTTCAAAGATGCTTCTTGCTGCAATTGATGAGCAGTGTCGAGGAATTTATGACTTTCTTTATTTGCCAATTGACTTCAAGGCAAGGAAATTGTATAGTATATCATCTTTCATTGGGTAGAGAGCATATGTTTTTCTAATTCAACTTTTGCGTGTCTTACCTATCGCAGAACAAATGCAATGTGGGATATGCATTCATCAACATGGTTGATCCTCATCAGATTGTTCCATTCTTTAAGGTTTGCCGGACTTAGATGTGTCATTTACTTGCCGAAAAAAGTCATCTGCTATGTGACATTTTCCTTTGTTTCAGATTTTTCAATGCACTAGCAAGTGACAATATATTACTTCTGTTGCAGGCATTCAATGGTAAAAAATGGGAGAAGTTTAACAGTGAAAAGGTGGCATCACTTGCATATGCTCGTATTCAGGGAAAATCTGCTCTTATTGCCCATTTCCAGAATTCAAGTTTGATGAACGAAGACAAACGCTGTCGTCCCATTCTCTTTCACACAGAGGGTCCAAATGCTGGGGATCCAGTAAGATATCATGAGATGAACTGTCCAGACTCTGAAATTCCCCCTTCCTTACATATACTCCACGACTGACCCCCTCCTTTTCCTTTTCTCTCTATAGGAACCCTTCCCCATGGGTACCAACATCCGATCAAGACCAGGAAAGCCTCGAACGGCTGGCTATGAGGATAACCATAATCAAGGGAGTCCTTCTGCAAACGGAGAGGAAAGTTCCAAGGTCCTCGGACTTGGTGGCGGTTTCAATTCTTCAAAGGAATCTGATTGAAAGACTTGGTCTACCCAGGTTACTAACCAATTGAACCTAATATTGGAGGACAACAACTAAAACCATTCCAATTCTCTACATCAGGGGTGGTCTATTGACTTCATTTTTGACTATAGAGGAGTTGCTTCTATGAGGTTTTGGGTTACCTAGACCAAGAGAGTTACTTCACAACATTTTCTATTTCTCTGATGTTTCATATTAAGCCAACACAGAGACTGGCTTGACAACCTTAAAATTTTGGAGTCTTTGTTTGTGAACAATATCTCAGTGTATAGGCACTCACAGAACATTGTGCTAAGATTACCTTGTCTCTATTTTTCCCCTTACCCATGTGGGCCCTTTTTCTGGTTGGCCAAGGGTAGAGACCCTCAGCACATTTGAGTGTTCTTCCGGTTGCAATTTTTGAGATGCTAATATGAATTGGATGCTAATGCTCTCAGTCTCTTGTATCTTTTTTGGCCTAATGTTATATCTTGTAGCTTGATAGGATATTTTTTGACCCCTAGAGACAAAAAAAGAGGGAGAATAAATCCTATTTATTTTATTCAGATCATCTTCTTGTCAAAGGATGATCTTTTAACAAATGAGTATTTCTTATTCAATAGTTAATCAATATTGTCAATGATACCATAATATCTAAAACCAGAAATTTTAGATATCTGACCTTCATTTATCGTATTATCAAATTGCTAGTGAGGATGGACGACATGGTTTACGCATGTACAAGATGTACCACGTGACCACACTACCGTAATATCACTCCTTAATATTTGGAAGTCTAATCATTACCAAAAAAAAAAGAAGTCTTAACCATAGGATATTAGAAGATGATGTTTAGCATTCTCTCATACTGCCAATTAAGAGTGCTAACCACACAACATTGCATACATGTACATGCGTAATTTTGACTGTAATGCTAAAATATCTAGGCTTAAATGTTAAAATGGTCCTTGTGTTTTAGTCAATTGGCAAATTTAGTCATTGTGTTTTTAATTTGACCAATTTAGTCCCTGTGTTTTACTCCGTTAGCCAATGTTGTCCATTTTGTTAAATTGCTGTTAAAAAATTCATTTAAAATTTTAAAAATTATTAAGTTCTATTCACAAAGCAAACAAATATGAATTAAAATAACAAAATGTTAAAAAAACAATCTGGAAACCCGACAGCCTCTATGTTTACATGCCACCACAACCACCATGAAGAGTCCCAGCCACCACCCTATTCTCTCTCTCTCTCTCTCTCTCTCTCTCTCTCTCTCTCTATGTTTTTCAATTGTCGAATCCCAACATGGCAACCAAGTTCTTCAGTTTCTTTTCACTGATTCTTTTGCTCTGCTCCACATTCATTACAGTAAAGTGCCTCACCTTTCAATATCATGAGTACAACAATTGGAGGTTTCCTTGATGGGTTATCTCTTGGAGCCATCAAAGAATCGGGCCCTAGCCCAGGTGAGGGGCACAAATTTACGAACCAACAAACCCTTTGAGGGATAAAGAAACCTAGCCCGAGCCCTCCCTTCCCTCCCCACAACTCCTCCATCTCTCTTTCTCTCTTCCTTTTTCCATCCCACCCACCCACCCCCACAAAATATGAGTGAAATAAAGATTCAACATCAGTATTGGCAGGCAACTGATGGTTGCGGTGTTGGGTTGGGTGGCGGCAGCAGCATGAGAGAAGGACACAGTCTGTTGGTTTTCCAGAATTTCTTTTTTATTTTTTTATTTTTTTATTTGTATTAATATTATAAACTGAACTTAACAAATTTTTTATATTAATTTTTAAATTTTAATGAATTTTTTAAAAGGTAATTTAACATAATGGACAACATTGGCTAACGATATAAAATACGGGGACTAAATTGACCAAATTGAAAACACAAGGATTAAATTTGCCAAATGTGTAAAACACATGGACCATTTTAACATTTAAGCCAAATATCTAATGATACAAACTTTAAGGGGGGTGTATCCAATTTATACTTATAAAGATTTTTTTTAAGTGAGTGACTTTCATAGAGATGACAAATTCTTAAATACTTTCATAGAGTTGATAAAAGTCAATAGTAAATTGGCATGACTTTTGCTCTTAACAATTAGCCTTAAAAATATGGAAAAGTCATTCATTCAATAAGCTTTTTAAAAGTCATTAACTTTTTGAATACCACCAAACTTTTAAATACTTTTTAAAAGTCATAACTGAATACCACCAAACTTTTAAATACTTTTTAAAAGTCACAATTGAATAACACTAGACTTTTATATACTCTTTAAAAGTCTAAATTGAATATCTTCAGATTTTTAAACTCTATAAAAGTCATTAAAAGTTTGAATTCGATACCACCCCCTAAGAATGTTATTTATTTAATTTATTTTCATTTTCTAAAGTAAAAATCATAAACAATAAAAAGCAAAGAAAGTTTATGAAGTGATTAAAATGTGATTGGGGTTTTGTTTTGCAACTTCCACAGTTCCATCCAGACCGCCTAAAATCCGAATCAAAGGTTCCATTGTCTCGGCGTCGCCGAGAAAAACTGGAGAGTGCCCAAAAGATTAGAATGAGCGCTCTACTGAAGAAGCCCAAGACAGAGAACGTAGAAGTCATAGACGACGACGACGACGACGAACAAGCAGCAGCCGCAGCAGCAACAAACAAGATGACAGAAGAGAACGGCGACCCAGATAGCAGACAAGAGCAAGAAGAAGCCCTCGTCGCTTTGATTGAGCATCGCACGCGCGAAGTTCATCACCTTCGCCAGCGCGTCTCCTATTACAAATCTCAGGTTGCGTCCCCACCATTCATATTTGACGTTTCATACTTATCTCTCTCTCTCTCTCTCTCTCTCTCTCTCTCTCTCTCTCTTGTATTTGGTCCTTTTCGATGATGACATTTTGGGGTTTATAGGAATGGTCTTTGTTTGTTCTTATTTCATATGCTTCTGCTGCTATAAACTGTGCATCATGGACTTTCGATAAGCTTAAGTTTAACTTTTTGCTAATTCTTACTTACCCAATTGGAAACAATTTAGCAAGTTTGATTTGAACTACTCCTTTATCAATCAGACATATTGGTTTCGTGTCCTAAACTAGTTTGGGTGATAAGACTCCAAAATTTCTTTTCTGGGGTTCTTAAGATGAAAGCTAGAATCAATAACTCACGCTCAAAAGTTGTTGGTTTTGAGTCTGACCATAAACACTGCTATTTATGACTTGCTTTACTGTGTGGAGTTGTTCCCCATTGTTCATTTATTAGTCAATTGGTCTTGTTTGAACCCATTGTGTAGTGGCTACAAAGTGAAAATCACCTAGTCAAGATACTTATCACATTTTCTTTATGCCCGGAAAGGATGAATGTTTCTATGTGTTTTAACCCATCGGATGCCCTCTGAAGGAAACTATCCACTAATTGTTTATATGGAAAAGGCATGCAGCTTGAGGAAGCAGCAAAGAGGTTAAATGATTCCGAAACTAAGTTGGCACGACTTCGACGCCAAGACAAAGTAGGGTCAACCAAGAGTTCCCCGGGTAGTGAAACTAAAAGTGCAAAGGTGGAACCCAGATCAACGAGTCCTATCCATTTAAGTCAAGGTTCTACTAGAAACCAGCCTCATTCTAAAACAGAACTTTTAATTCCTGCTGTCATTCCAAAAATTTCCCAACCTACAAAATTGGCAGGGTCTAGTGGGAAGGCTCCAGTTAGTTCTAGTGCTCAAGTCAGTCCATCAGTTTCCAGTCAGTCTATTAGTGCTACCAAAGAAAAAGGGGACAAATCTTATAGAACTTCTTCAAAGCAGGAAGTTGAAATTCAAGATAGAGGGACAAAACGGAAATTTGGTAAGACTCTAGCCTGTTGATTGGCCTTATGGTCTCCATCTTCAGTTTCCTCTTGACTGTCGGTCTCTGGGTTACATTTGCAATTTTGCTTTGTATAATGTTTACTCAACTCCATGTATGTGTGGTTCCTTGATTTCTTCATTTGTGATGGGAAAGTTGTTTGTATTTCAGAACAGAAAGAACATAAAGAATTAATTCCGTCGGTTCGTACTAGCTCTTCACCAAGTATAATCCGGTGCTATGCAAGCAATCACATATCAAGTCAGCACAAGAGAAAGTTGAGAAGTCTTTCTTTGTGCCCAGTGAATGATCAGCTTTTTGTGACCAGGTAATTAACATGTTTGCTGTATCTGGAAGAATTATATGTCCCTAATTAGAATAGTTGCATTTTTGGCTTATCATCAAAATCAAATGATATCTGGGTGAGAATAGGCCTCTAACTTTAACTCTTTAAGTAACATATCCAATTCTCAAAATATCTCGTACCTTTCTTCCGTCTTTGCCTTTCAGTTCAAGAAACTGCACCCAGAAATGTTTATCAATTAGATATGCCACTGCTTTGGAATTATGCATCTGTCTTTCTTAGTCATAAGTTGGTAATATTTTTGTGTGCTCTGTTAAACGACATTCTCCTAAAATTTTAAAGTTATTAAGAGAAAGAAAGGAATGACAGTTCTTTTTGGTAACATGATTTGGTAAGCAGCTGAAAAAGAGGCAATGACACTTTACTTGAACTTGACGTGTAAAAGAAAGCTTGGAATTTCCTATTTTTTCCTACAACTAGTAACTATAAAATGCATCAAATGCTAGCAAACATATGATTAATTTTGACAAGTGTTTTGGAATGTTTGCAGTGCTTTGGATGGAATAGTCAACTTGTGGCAAGTTCAGGCCAAGGGGTAAAGTCCAAATCTCTTCCTGTTACATTATTAATTTCTTAACTTCACATTGTGTGCTTGGTAGCATTATAAGGGGGAGAAAATTATGTTGCTCAATCTCCAAGCCTATTACAGTCCATTTTTCAACCTTTTATTTTTCTTTGGGGAGTGGGTTCAAAAACTGGTGTTGGTATCTGTGTGGCTGCTATTTGTTGGTGTGTTTAGAAGGGCAAAACTATGATTATATTATGACCTCTGGTTGTATTAATCGTTGCAGTTTCAATTTTCTATCTCCAGTTCTGAAATATAAAGTTGCTTATCCACTTCTGCTGTTCACTGTTCTTGAATTTTTAGGCCTGGGCTTCTACTTTGCATAACTGATTGATGTATCCGTTTGTTTCTTGTAATTGCAGGTCAGGTGCTTCTCTACTTAGTAGTACTGATTGTGTATCCCCAAAACAAAGGAGATGGCCAGAAGATATAGCCTGGCACCCTGAGGGAAACAGCCTATTTTCTGTCTATAGTGCTGATAGTGGTGATTCTCAAGTATCAGTTTTAAATCTAAATAGGACACAAGGGGTAAGGGCCGCTTTCGAAATTAATTATTGCAATTGTGTATGGGTTACACTGAGGCTTGAGCAGCATTTCTTGTGCTCCTGGGTACACAAATATAAAACAGGCATATATAGAAGTGCGGTACTGCTTTTAGATAATTTCACCTCTGATTCTTGTCTTTTTGTGCATTGACAGAAAGCTCGTGTTACTTTCTTAGAAGATAAACCTCATGTGAAAGGGATCATTAACAGCATAGTTTTCCCACCCTGGGAGAATACCTGTTTTGTCACTGGTGGAAGCGATCATGCAGTTATAATCTGGAAAGAGACTGATGCTGAGAATGTATGGAAACCAAAGGCATTGCATAGGAATATGCATTCATCTGCTGTCATGGGAGTCGCTGGGATGTGCCAAAAGCAGATAATACTATCCGCTGGAGCAGACAAGAGAATTGTTGGGTTTGATGCTAACGTGGGAAGAGCAGAGTTCAAGCATCAGATAGAAAGTAAATGCATGAGTGTCTTGCCAAATCCCTGTGACTTTAATCTCTTCATGGTTCAAGCAGGGTGAGGAACACTGATTTTTGCAGCTAGAATGTTCTTTTCATCAACGCGTGCTCTCTGGATAGTTGCCTTGTTAGCGCTCCTGGAATTGAATCCCATTTTGTTCACCTTATGCATTCGCATGCTGAATCATATTATTTGTTAAGATGCCTCATGGTTTTTGACGTGCATTATTAACCATCATTAGCATTTTGTAAAACCCTTGGCTAGTTGAGCTAATCATACATTTATGTTGAAGGGATTTTCTTTGGTTACGATTTCTAATATCCTTCTACTATTTAAAAGACTGTAATGTATTACATGTTTTATATGCAGGACCCATGAGAAGCAGCTCCGACTATTTGATATCAGACTGAGGCAAACAGAAATACATGCTTTTGGGTGGAAGCAAGAAAGCAGTGAATCTCAGTCAGCTCTGATAAATCAGGCTTGGTCTCCAGATGGTTTATACATCTCATCCGGTACTGCAGATCCCATGATTCACATATTTGATATCAGATATCACGCCCATAAGCCTTCTCAATCTATAAGAGCTCATCAGAAACGGGTTTTTAAAGCTGTATGGCTCCACTCTTGCCCCCTTCTCATTTCTATATCTTCTGATCTGAACATTGGTTTACACAAAACCACGTAGCCGATTGAACGTCCAGCCAAACAGCTGCTAGCCCTTAGAAAGAAAATGGTACATTTTGTGTTCCTCATTTTAGGTCGGTGTAAGAAGATCTGTTACTTGTTTTCAAGAGTAACAACTCTTTGTAGGGCATTTTTGTAAGAATCAAGCAGAAAAATGCTGATGAGATGTTGGGAATTGTATGTAATTTTTGGAGGAAAACGATATTACTAAGTAGATGGGGGATGTATTGGATGAAATTTTGTTTTGGGGAAATGAAAGAAAAGATTTGCAGCTGGTGGATTTAAGTAAAGCTGTTGCCTTCATCTTTGATCTGGTGGTTGCTGCTTCTTAGTCAAAATTAACAACATTATAATATTATTTGTATTCAATAATATGTGAAAATTATGTGTATAATACTTGAATTTTATTTGTATTATTGAAAATTTTGTAAAAAATGTGTATTAAACATGAAAAATACATATGTACGTGTACAATATGTGTATTGTATTTTTGCTTCTTTAAAAACGTATATTTTACCGAGTCTTTAAGACGTGTACGGAAATCAGAAATATTATTGAAAAATACGTACCTACGTATATAATATGAGTATTAAACGGGAAAAATGCTAAATTCTTTATATAGGTAATAACTCTGAAAAAGTAAAAAATCAAAAGAAGACAATAGAGACTTGCGTAATGGCCAGTACTGGATAATGCTCTAAACTACTCCTATGGATAACCCAGTATAGCCGCACGGCTATACTTAAATATATTAGCCACCCGGCTATACTATTTATATTTTGTAAAGAAAAGGGATCCGCCTAGCTGAGCCTAGGCGCCCAATTTTAGAAGGTGCAGCATGACAGGAATGAGGGAGGCGGGGAAGACACCAAAATTCGATCATCGTACAAGTAATATTTATGAATCATCCAACTGAACTAACTGTGCCTTCTTTGTGATCTAAGGGCTGCCTTGAGGGCTTGAGCCAGCCAACAACAGCTTTTCCAGATGAAGGACTGCGATCATCATCAATACTGTAGTTCACGAATCACTGGTGTATTGGGGATGTATTCAGTAACGTTCATGGAGATGGAGGCATGTCCATAACCATAACCACCCATGTTAAAGATACGAAGTAGATGCTGCATATCTTCATTTGCAAGCATCTCATACGAATTTCTTCCTCTGGGAAGAGGTCCCCCCCAATAAAACTTTGAGGGATCACGGCTAATTACTACTTTGCATCATTTCAGATACATTAACCATGTCAATCTCCTCTGGTTGCTTGTAAATAAAATACACTGGATTCTTCAGTGAGAAAAAATTGCCCATTTGGACCAAACGAATTGGGTGTAGTGGTTTACGACATTTAGTGTCAGTGGTTATAAGAAGGAACACAAAAACAATAAAATATATATCAAATCCAGGCAGTATAAAACATACATGAAAAAAATGTTCGAAAAATCGCTAGAGGAGGTCGCAGGTTGCTGCTTGGTGGTGGTCGTCGGGGGTGGATGCCAATGAAAAATCATTAACTCAGCTAAATGTCATTTTCTAATAAATTTTTCAACGTAATTTTGCCATGTGTATGAAAGTACTCAATTATCCCTGCCACATCAGCTGAATTAACTATTTTTCATTGAAAACTAACGGAATGAGGCAACTTTGGTCACATAACGGAAGTTCAAGGGGAAATTGAGCCATTATAAACATTATGAGGTAAATTGAGACAACTTGTAAACCACCGGGGTATTTCAATAAATGAGCCAAATAAATTATAACATCTTACTTTACTATAATTACAATTTCCACAAGAAAATAAAATAAAATAATGCAAGTAGTTTTTTTTTGTTTTTTTGAGAACCTTTCCTATTGAGAGGAGTGATAGCATATTAAACTCACACATATTATACGGATGTTAAGACTTGAACCCAAAATCTTGCTTGATGAAATAAATATTCCAAACCACTACATTAGTGGGTCATTTGCAATGCAAAGTAGTTTTCAGTGACAATAATACAAATAATTTTGGGGGGAAGCCCATAAATGATACTTAACCGAGGACGTGACACGTACCCTACTGTGGACTGTCGTGGCTTGTTTAGTCTCGCAACTTGGCCTTTCTCGTCTCTCCTCACACAAGCAAATTTTGTGACTTACAGAGACGCTTTAAGCTTCGTCCTCTCCTTGGGATTTGGTGAGTGTCATTTTCAGTTCACTGAGGTTTGTCGTACAATTTTTGTGTAGCTCTTCGATTTGACTTTGTTGTTAATAATTGTTTGATTTACCAACTAGGTCGGTGCTCTTTTTTTCCTTTCCTTTTTGGCCTTTCGAAATGCCATTTTGTTCTGAATTTTGAAGTTCTGTTGAAAAAGAGAATGTTTTGGGTTTATATTGTTTATGTTTTTTTTTGGTGAAAAGGGTTTTTATTTTTATTTTTTCAGTTGTGAACTTGTGATCATCAACGAGATGGGTGCATTTTTTGAAATGGGTTTTGGCCATCACCATGTAAATGTTGTTAGACAGTCGTCCATGAGCTCTAGCTAACATAAATAAGGAAATTAAAAGTTAAAAAAAATGGGCTTGGAGATATTTCACACCATGGTATTGTTAAAAATAGGTGCTTGGTTTAAGGGAAGATGCAAGCGAAATTTCTGAAGGAAAAAAAAACCATGATAAGATCTTCCTGACCTTATTCAGAAGATTGTACTGCAACTAAGAGTGAACTGTGACACCATTTGGTACTCTAGGTGAAGGGTAGGAAGTATTTTAGAAATTTAGAGAGTTGTAAGATTTTGAAATGTGTTGTGCCACTGCCAATTTAGTTTGTCCCTCCAGCATTCATTCAAGGCGTTTGCAATGACTTTTGTTAATTTGGTTTTTTCATTCAGCTTCTTTGACTCTGTTTCTTTGTTTGACATAACATAACCTAATGGTGGCTTACTACATTAATATTTCTGTTAGTCTTCAACATGAGCGGGGTAAGAGATGAAGCGTTTGAAGACAAAGGACCGGCTGTGAACTACTTAGATGCCAACTATTTTCATGCTCCTGCCTCTCAAAATCGTGCGTATGACTGCGTTTCTTCTCCTGCTGATAACATAAGGAGAGATGCTGCTGAGGATCAAGGGTTGCGTAAGGACCATCTGGGTCTGGAAGAATTTTCTGGTTATATATTTATGTGTAATGGAAGAACAAAACCAGAATGCTACCTGCACCGTGTTTTTGGACTTCCCGCTGGAAGAAAGGAAGTTATAGAGAAGATTAGGCCAGGCATGAAGCTGTTTCTATTTGATTATAATGTGAAGTTTCTTTATGGGGTATATGAAGCAACCACTGCTGGAAAGTTGAACTTGGAAAGAACGGCTTTTGGTGGAAACTTTCCTGCACAGGTGAGTTTAGTTTTCTCTCCTTCACTTGATACCTTACATCCTTCTTGATTAGCTTTTAGGCTGCTTTTTTAATTTTTTCACTTGAGTTTTGTATATAGGTGAGATTCAAAATTTACAGGGAATGCCTCCCCTTGCCAGAGAGTGATTTTAAACATGCTATACAAGATAACTACAAGAGAGGCTCCAATAAGTTTAATACAATTCTCAATAGCCAACAAGTAAGTTTTTCTTCTAAGTGGAATCAGTTCAATTTCATCCTTACCAATTGGATTGTTGTCATTTGGTTGACTGTACTTACTTTTCAGTTTATTTTATGGTGCAGGTGAGCCATTTGTTATCACTGTTTCATCCTATTACCATGCAATCATCCACCCAAAACGACAGTTCCTATATGAAGGATCAATTTCGGACCAGTGCAAGGCTGCCTTCTTCAGGCAGTACATACTTTAGTTCAATGCATTCCAGTTACACTCCACAAGTGTTAGTGCCTCAACATGTTCCACAGGGAGTCCATCAGCAGTGGGATAGTAGTGGATCCACAGGAAACATGGGAATTGTCCATTATTCTGTGGGTTCACAACCAATAGTGCCGGCTCAGCCTACGAAGGATCAGTTTCAGTCCTCAGCAAGCCTGCCTTCCCTGAAGGATCCAAATGCAGCCTGGGCTTCACCAATGTTCGACCCTCAGTCTATTCAACCGAGCGTCTTACACCCACAATATGTTAGTTATGGATACGCAACGAACATGGGCTACTTTTATCCCGCTGTGCAACCACAAGCTATGCCAGCTTCAAGTCAGACATATTATTCTGCTGAATTTGGGCAGCATCACTTGGCTGAAGTAACTGCCCAGCCAGCACCCCAATCATATGAAAGGTACTCTTCCTGTGGTAGCTTGATTTTGATTATTTAAGCTTCATTTTTGGCAACTTGGAATTTTCCATGCTCCACCAAGCAACTGCCTTACTAAATCAAAGTGCTAGGCAAAGAGTACCTTTTTGGGAAGCCACAGTAACTGAAGAAGTGAAGATTTGGGCGACTGTCCCTAGGAAGAAATAAAAATATATTAGGTAATTTGGGAAATGTTATATTTGATTGGTTAAATGGAAGTTGCATATGATCATGTTAAGAACAGCAGCCTGTACGGGAAAAAACTATGCCACAGCCCCCTTTGTAGCTGAACTGTGCAATATCTTTTAAATTTGTTTCTTTTGACTTATCTTTGTTATTTATTGGACTTAAATAATCAAGGTCTTTGTGTTGCAGCTATTACAGGGATGAGGCTGCACAGGATATGGTTCCTGCTTATCAGCACATGGGCTTCGGGCATGGTTACAATCAGTCACCTCTGCAGACGAATAGGGAAACTATTTTACAGCAGGAGAATGCTGCTGAACACCACAATCTCCACCAAGTGCCTACAGCCCCACATGCTCCACCATCTATACAACAACATACGTTCACATCAGAACAGCCTGGGCTTGCAGCAGGGACAGTTCCGATGCCGTTGTGGAATTCCTGGACAGGGGCCAGTTCAACATAGAGCTGATGCACAAATTGTGGATCTCAAACATGCTGGAAATTGAGCATGAATCTTTTGCAAAGAAATGCTTGGCCTTTTTGTGACTTCACCTATATTTAGTTTATGTTGTGAGCTTAAAACAATATTCTAGTCAGTTATAAATAGTTACTAACTTACTAGGTAGGTAGGAATGATACATTGGTAGTATTGTAGCTCAGTGTAAAATGGGCAAGGGCAGCTGTGGCCTTGCTTGCATAATGGTCTTTTAAAAATAGAGCATTATTTCATATCATTTTCAATTAGCATGAGGGAGAGTCATATTCAATCACTTTTGATTGCTTCATTTATATGATTATGCATTATTCCATTGCTATGATAGGTGGGTGGGTCATGACTCATAAGATAGATCAATAAAGTTGCAAGCATGGGTCAGTTGGAATTGTGGGACGTAGACCTTGACCTTAACCTTGACCAAGACTTATCCAATTGTATTGCCATGATTGTTGTCAAGAGAGCAAGCAAGTGTTCATGGCTGGGACCTGCTCGCCTCACTCTAGTCTGTCTCAAGGGAACCAAAACGAAATGAACCCTGCTGTAGGTAGAGGAAGAAGTGTGTTCACATACGTCTCTCTCTCCACCATCCACGGCATGATCTATATCTAGTGGTTGACGTCAATGCTAGTTGACTCCAAGACATTCTGGCTCAGCTAGGAAGTCACCACCACGTTTTGTTATAACAATTGAGGGGATTTCCCACTTATTCTATTTTGTTAAATTAGTGACACACACAATTCATAGATATGATTCATGTCTATTTATCTTTAATGAGAGAGACCTAAAAAATAATACATATATCACGACGCATAAAATAATACATATATATCATGAAACGAGAAAGAATATATCACGACAGATAAAATAATACATATATCATGAAATGATAGAGACAAACTATAAAGATGTCGGGACATGAATTCATCTTGATTTGAAAGGATTAAAGAAAGTGGAAAGTAAAGGCAATGCCTACCTTGGATCATGCGAACCCAATTCCAGGCTGAAATGAGCCAGAAAGATTTCTGCTACGTCAATGCCATTATATATGTTTTGTTTTTGGGTACTTTTTATTTATTTTTATAGCTGGTACACATTATTATTAGAATAAATGGGCATGCAATAATTATTATTATTATGACCCTTTAAACAGCCATGCATGCCAACATGAGCTATTCACTTTAGCTGTTCATGTCTGCTTTGCTCGGTCTCTCTCTCTGCCTTTCTTTGTTGCTTTCTTTCTTTTTCTCTGCATAATTATATGGAGAGAAAGCAACATGTCGTTTTATTGACTTCCATTTGCAGTGCAGAATTCTTTTAATTAGTTTTGCTTATTGACTAATTATATTTCCGTTCAATTTCATCATATGCTGACACAGTAATGTGTCCTTAAAGAAACTAAGCTACCATTATATTTATATTTCTACATTGGAAACCATGATTACACAGATAATATATTGGAAAAACCATACTAAGAACCCATTTATAATGCCAGTTTTTTTTCACTTAATTTCGAAATTAATCTGAAGTTCAAGAGCTTTTAACTGCAAAACATCCAAATTAATATAATCAAAATCCCACAAGTGGCATACGTCCCATGTGATGTATCCGAACATCCAAATTCTCAATTTACCATGCTATTTGCTGGAAAGATTCGAATTCGAGACATCTTCTATAATTGGAATGAGAAATAACACCTTATTGTCTTGGTATTTTCCAAGTAAAAGACAGGTAAAATCGCAGCAACCAAAAAGAAAAGGCAAATAGTGAAAAGTTGGACAATGGGGTGGGTGGATTCTCAAGGGTCATAGCTGTGTGTGACTGTTAAGTACTCCGTGTTTTCTAACTTTTCTGTTTTTGTGTTTCCTTTCTTCTAAAACTCATAATAATTTCTAACTAGTCCTAATAATTTCTAACTAGTCCTAATAATTAAACATATTAAGTACATTTTACTTGGTTCGCTAATGTGATACAGAAATAACTCGAATATTAAATTTATCGGTTGTGTGTGAAGGTAACAACACGTATGTTTTGTTGTATTATTATAATTTGACCTAAATTATTAATTGTTAAACAAAGGACTCGCCAACATTAATACCAATACCAACGTTTTTCCATTTGTGGAAAATGAGATGGGGCAACTTCCTTGACGGTTCAAAGAGCAGGTCTACTTTCCATTTCAAGGTAAAGAAAAACGACAGCAGCAAGTCACAAGACACACCCCCCCACAACCCCCTTTTTTTTGGTCTCCATAGGAAATTTACAGTCCCTTGTAAAGAAAACAGCAGAAAAACGCGGTTTCTTCAACTAATCGCCATTTGTTTCTCTTTGCACTGATTCAACTAATTCTCATCTATTCTAAAGCAAAACGCGTTTTTTCTTAATCAACAGTAATAATATTTTTAGAGTTAAAAAATACCACTTATAAGTTATATGCCGACGTGAAATAGGCTCGTTGATTAAGATAGTGTGTCAGTTTTCTTACACTCAAGTTCAGTTCCGTATGTGAGAGAGAGATAGGTGGGGCCATGGATGAATAGAATAATATTTTCAGAGGGAAGTTGATTAAGTTGGCAGGAGCGAGGTAGAACGGAGATTTAATTAGAGAGTTTAAATTAAGTTTGCGTTTCGTTTAATTTCCAGTTTCTATTTCGTTTTTCCTCTAATCGATCAAATTGATTGAGGGCTTGAGATATTATTATAAATATCCAAATAATATATAAAGAGCAGAAAAATACAAAGCAAGTTAGAGTTAGCAGAGCCGAGGAGGGTGAAGTTGACTGGCGGAGGAGGAAGTCGAGCTGAGCTCAGTTTTCCAACCCGAATTGCAAGGGTCGAGTCGAGTTGAGTCTTTTTCGGAATGGGCAACTGCTTCTCTAACGACAGCGGCGGGATGTCGGCGGTGGGTGGCACCGCCGCTGCTCACGGAAATCCCTACGACGGTCCAAACGACGCCGTCGATTTGTTCCTTAGGAATCGCGGCTACAACGGCCTCTTCTCTCAGATCGAGGTTACTTCTGTCTCTTGAATTTTGTGTGAGCCATTTCTTTCTGTAACTGTCTTCTTTAGCAATTAGCAATTTGGATTGGACTTTCAGTTGAGCTTAAATCCGACGCCGTTTGGTGGGATCCTTTGTTCGAAATTGCATTTTTCTGTACAACTTGAACTCGCTAAAGCTAAATTTTGATTGTGCGCTTGGATTCATAAATAATTAAAATCATTTGAAATGTGATATTCATTTCAAGAAAACTATTGCAGCTGAAGCTACTACAATTCTAGGATTTTTTTAGTAGTTAAAGCCCCCATTTGAGCTCTATAATTTCTGATTTTGTCTCTTTTCCAACAATTCACATGCAGTTATCGTTTGCTGCAATAGACTTGCGCGATCGGGACGTGCTCTCTAAGGTTTGTCGCTCTACATTGAATATGAGGAACCATTACTTGCAGTTTTCTCCTATTAAATCCATAGCCTAGGCTAGTTTGGATCATTGATGTTTGAATGGTGTCCTTTACTTTCGTCGTGCTCTTGTTTGCAATTTATTGATTCACAAAGTTGATTTACTCATGTAGTCGTGTTATTCAACGTGTATTATGCATAAATGAACTGTTTTTGAATTTAAAACTGATGGTAAGATTTGTAACTCACACTTTTCTACCCTAAGATGAACACTTCATTTGACTGTCATTTGACTGCTACTCTAGCTATTTCTGGGATTAAGTTATGGATGTAGCAATCCTGATTTATTTTCAGTGCTAAGACCCCTTTTATTTGCCCTATTTCATCTTCCTGATGTAGTTCGCAAAGTTCATTTTCTTCTATCATGTTAATGATAGTTCTTTTTGCTTTGCTCTCATGCTCCATATTTTAGTTGTGTAAATGTTTCTTTTGTTTCAGGAATGTCAGTCTGTTATTCATGAATTTTATTTTCTATAGAGTGATCCCATGGTGGTTATTTATACAAAAGGAAGAGATGGAGGACTTTCAGAGCTTGGTCGCACTGAAGTAGTTCTAAATTCATTAAATCCAAAGTGGATCACAAAACATAATATCACTTATCATTTTGAGGTTGTGCAGACTTTGGTGTAAGTTTAAAGCTTTTATCTCTTTTTCAATCCAGAAAACATGTTTTCAGTTTCACAATTATGTATCATGTGGTATATTTTTCATCACAGGTTTCGTGTGTATGACGTTGACACTCAGTTTCACAATGTAGACGTGAAGGTACAAAATTTTATGATGCTGTGCCTGCATATAGTCATTCCTGTTCTTAAGCTAGAGTTTTGGATCATCCAGTTGTCCTCTGAAACACTCTTTGTGGCAAGACAAATATGATTATTTTCTTGTTTGACAAAAATCCAAATCAAATGGAAATTGATTTGTGGAGGAAACTTTCTTGTTTTTCTTTTTTGCTTTTAGTGTTCTGTATTGGTAACTTCACATTATAGTTCAAGTATTAACACAAAGAGTTTCCACATCTTACTTTAATTCAGGTGCTTGCAAGCATAACAGGTTCATAATACGTGGTTTTACTTGTGCAGATGCTTAGGTTGGAAGAGCAACAATTTCTTGGTGAGGCAAGCTGTGCACTGTCTCAGGTATGACATAATGACCATTTCTGTGGAAGTAGTAAACAATAGGAACATCTATGCTATTCTATCTAGACTTCCAAAGTTGACCGATATGTGCAAAACCTGCTTGAACCCAACTAAATCCAGACTCCTAAGTGGGTGCAGAGTAGAGGTTTTGTTGCCTCTGCAAAAGTGGGCCGACCTAAACCTGATGCATCAAATCAAAGAATAGAAAAGGTCTTCTACTTTGGGTGCTTTAGCTGAGCTTATCTCTCAGACACGTTACAACACAATATATATATATATATTTATTTATTTATATTTATATATAAAATATAATATAATATAATATAATGAGAGAGAGGGAGAGAGAGAAGCTCTCAGCATGTGATGAAAGTCTCGATCTCTCTAATCTGAGAAGTATTTTAGTTCATCCTTCTAGTGTATCTGGTTTACCAAGATACGTTAGTGGAAATTATTTATTCAACAAGGACTATACCTGAAACTCTGAAATCTGATGCTTTTACCCTTTAATTCGTCTTTCTACCTGTGCAGATAGTTCCTAAATCAGACAGGTTATTAACCCTCGATCTTGTATATAGAGAAGACTCAGAGTCAAGCAGATCCAATCGTCATCGAGACCGTGGAAAGCTCATTGTGTATGCTGAGGAATCTGTTAGCTCAAAGACAATGGTAGAGATGAGTTTAAGGTGTTCAGATTTGGAATACAAGGATCTCTTCTCAAAAAGTGTAGGGGCTGTGGAGTTATTCTTTCTTTCTTTTTGGATATCTATATTTATGAGCATTTCTGGATACATGCATGCTTGGCCAAATGGAAAATGGTTTATGTTTTGACACATGTTCTGATTTGTCTTACAGGACCCTTTTTTGATAATATCAAAACTTACGGAGAGTGGGACCACAATTCCAGTTTGCAAAACAGAAGTCATAAAGAATGAGCTCAAACCCGCATGGAAACCAATATATTTAAATATTCAACAAGTTGGAAGCAAGGTATAAACAAGTTTCTATTCGGTGCCAGATTGGAGATTGAGTTTGCTGGTTCTATGAATGCTTTGCCCCTTATTTTTTGTCACAGAATGCTTTGTTCAATTAGTTCCCATGGAAAGTCAAAGATTTGGTTGTTTAATTTGTTAACTTAATTTGTCCATAATGTGGCTACTGTCACCATAAAAATATGCTGACACTGAGAGCTCCATCTTAGTAACCATGTGGTTTAACATGCAAATTCCATCAGTAAAGATGTATGCAGGTATTTGTGATAAGAAGCAATGCTTCTTCATAGCTTGATCATATTGTGCTTCTCCTATTGTTTCTAATAGCTTTCTCATTTTGTTCTATTATTAATCTGCAGGATAGCCCATTGATAATGGAGTGTTTTAATTTCAATAACAATGGCAAGCATGATTTGATTGGGTAAATAAATGTCTATTTCTTTCATCTTGTTCCCTAATTCCTACGAATTTTTGTTTTTGTTTTTTTTACGTTACTGTGCTTTTATTGTTGAATAAACAGCAAAATTCAGAAATCACTGGCAGAGTTGGAAAAGCTTCATGCTATTGGGCAAGGAGAGAATTTATTTTTACCAACCACTGTTGGGCATGATTACCACAACAAGGTAATATAGTAACATAATATATTTTTAAGTGAATTTCCATCCCAATCTCTCTTAATTTACAAGTTCTCGGGACTTCATTGCAGATACTAAAGAGCCAACTATTTGTGGACAAGTTTACGGAGAGCGTCCAGCACACCTTCCTTGATTATTTGGCTGGGGGCTGTGAATTGAACTTCATGGTCGCTGTTGATTTTACAGGTGCTTATGTACAATTATTTGTTACTTAACTTTAAAAAAAAAAATTATGAGTGCAACTAGATGCATCCTTTGGGTTGAGAAATATATCTTCGTAGTACATTGTTCAATTATATGATAGAAGTGATTGTCACTAGATGTTGAGTCTTGCAAATATTTCTAGATCATGGTTGCAAAGTTGTTTGCTATGGTATATATAGGAAAGCATTGTTATAGCTTATTATTTTGGACTTCGCGTATTCTTTCCCTCTTATAAATGCAAACTTGTTCAGAATTAATCGTATAGTACATGCTAAATTGTCTTATCAAATTCACTCATATTCCTTGGTTATCAGCTTCAAATGGAAATCCTCGCCTGCCTGATTCTTTGCATTATATAGATCCATCAGGACGGCCAAATGCATACCAGAAAGTGAGAATTAGGTCCCTTTATTATAATTTTCACAAATTATTCCTTTATTCGGACCCATATGATTGTGACATTGTTTTTCAGGCAATCATCGATGTTGTGGAGGTGTTGCAGTTTTATGATTCAGACAAACGCTTTCCTGCCTGGGGATTTGGAGCCCGACCAATTGATGGTCCAGTTAATCATTGTTTCAACTTGAATGGGAGTAGTCATTACTGTGAGGTGAAATAGTTTATGACCAGAACTTGCTTTTGTTATCTTAAACCTTGTAGCTTCTTTCTCTGTATTAAGGACTGTGTAAATCTACTTCTTTCAGGTTGAAGGAATCCAAGGAATCATGATGGCATATACAAGTGCCCTCCAAAATGTTTCTCTTGCAGGACCTACTCTTTTTGGACCTGTAATTACCAATGCTGCATTAAATGCCAGCCAGTCTGTTGCAAATGGTGGACGAAAATACTTTGTTTTGTTAATAATCACGGTAAGCATAAATGGGGTTGAATCTGTTATCCTATGTGTCTCTGAACTTCTTTCAGACTTTAGTTTATCAAGACTGTTCAGTTGGTAATCTTCTAGTTCTTTTAGTACTTGTATTATATATCTCTGAAGTTCTTTTAGTTGACTTCAACTTTATTCTAAAATTTCACTGCCGTAGGATGGAGTAGTGACAGATCTCCAAGAAACCAAAGATGCCCTTGTGAAAGCATCTGACCTGCCATTGTCAATCCTCATTGTTGGAGTAGGAGGAGCTGACTTCAAAGAAATGGAGGTATCTCATTCCCTTGTGTTTGTAATGCTGGAATGTCTTGTGTTACAGTACCGATTGTTTTGATTGCAAAGTTGTACTCTGAATAAAAGCCTGAATGCTACAACTTACTATCTCCACTTTCGTTGTAAAGATTTTGGATGCTGACAAGGGTGAGAGACTTGAAAGTTCAACTGGACGTGTGGCTTCACGTGATATAGTTCAGTTTGTTCCATTCCGAGATGTGCAAAGTGAGCCTTTTTTTCATTTCTGGCAAACCAACTTTGCGTAGTGGCTTTAGCAATTCTTTCTAGGTGGGCAGTAACTTTGCTTTGATTTGCAGGTGGAGAAATTTCTGTTGTTCAGTCACTTCTAGCAGAACTACCTTCTCAATTTCTGACTTACATGCGATCCAGAGACGTCAAACCAATTTTGTGATCATGTAAAGAACTGTACATATGAAGATTTGATCCTCACGCAGTATGAGCCTGAATATTTTTTGCTGTTTTTTTCCCCATTTTGGCTGCATTGAAATTCAAATGTGGTTTTATCATGAAGAAAAACAATTCTGTGTTGCATCGTCACATTCGAGTTGGGCTGACAGCAGCTGCACAGTCCTCGTGGCCTTGGTGAGACAGCCCAATATTAAAGTGTCCACGGCTCTTCTTTACCAGGCTAGGGTTCTACAATTAGAGGCCCTAAACACGACGAAGCCAGGGTTATGGCTATAGGCGACTGGGTTATCTTTCAAAATCAACAATTGGAGAAAGATGTGAAGAACAGTTTCAGAATAGAAATACAAGTGTTTTCATCTTTTCGAAATGGAATCTCTATGAAGTGTTCAAAATGCTGCATAATCTGGATTTTTTTTCCTTTCCGAATATTTTTTTTATCCTGTTGCAAATTTATATGTTTCATGGCATTAGAACTATGTGTCTCACCAAACAGCAATGTCAGCAATGTCTTTTGATGGGCTTATCATGAACTTTTAAGGAAGTCAGCAAATCAACCATCTTGAATATAAGTTGTCATTGAAAAAAAAACATGACTTCCACAAAGAGAGAATTAATAATAGCGTCTCCTCCAGCACTTTGTAGCCTCGAAACCAGGCGTGGATGTTCCATTAAAACCCAAAGGAAGCTTTAGATTGCAGATGGCATTGCCGGAGACGAACGTTTCCTTGAAAGCAATCAGAAGGTCAACACTGTAAACGCCGGCATCGGTCCCCGAACTATACTTGTTAAAAACAGATTCCGCAAACAGCACCAACTTCTGCCCTTGAACAGCCACATTCTCAAAGCTGACTGTGGTATTAGGGTTTTGGTGAAACGATGCCGTTTCGTTCACCAAAGTCACAAAAGCAAACCTTGTCCTTCCATAATATGCAGTGACTTGGATGTCACTGTACTCGAGGCCGATGTACTTCTTTGGGTTTGTGATGGTGATGTTGAGGGCAAGGTTGTAGGAGAGAGAGTGGTTGGTTTTGGTGTAGTTGAATTGGGTAAGAGAAGCATTGTCGACGGAGAACTTCGGGACGGTGGGAATCTCTGTAATGTCGCTAAATATCATTCCGCAAACAAATATTATGATCAGGGCAAATCTCAATACGTCTGGCTTGGTAATTTTGAGATCGTTGGTTTCGTCGAAAGAAGGGAGGTGTCTGCTGCCAAAGCTTTCATGTTTTGCAGACATGGCTGGCTGCTAAAGAAAGGGAAGAATATTGGAGAGCTTCAGCTAATTTGAGGGCTATAGGATATTAGGATTAGGTTAGAAATTTTTAGAATACAATGGTTACAACACACAAGGAAGGAAGGAAAGTAATTATAGGGGAGTGGGTGGGGGAGAGGAGAATAATCAGGAAATTTATTATGCATATCCGGAATATCTCTAGAAAAATCTGGAAAATATATTTTATCATCAGCCATGGTTTAAGGGATTGGAGTTGTAGAACAACGAATCTTTAGGTGATATATTGCGTACGTATTCGTTTGAAACTCAAACTGAAAAGTCAAATTATAACCAAATCAAGTCACTGCATTATAAAAGGGGTAGAAAAAGGAAGAAATCAACAAAATTTACTTCTTACGCGTGAGTATTAATTAGGGTTTTCGGTTTGATCTTTACTTGTGTAGTATTACTAATTCACATATTACATTTAAATACTAATATTAACATCACATGCATGACGGTGTGACTATCACACTTCAATATTTTGAATTGTTTGTATTTTGATCGTTTTTTTTTTTTTTTTTTTTTTTTTTTTTTTTTTTTTTTTTTTATTTTAAATACTAGGGAGATTGCATTTATAAATTACGTACAAATACAAAAGGCTCAAGGGCTAAAATAAAAGGCTACCCCAAACACAAAAGGATTTAATCATGGTATCAAACTTATATGGTACACCTCCAATTAAACAAGAATAGTTGAGCTTTTTTTTAGACAAGATTAGTTGAACTCTTTTTTAGAGAGACTTGATGATTTGTTAAAGTCCATGGAGGCTTTCATGTTAGTGGGCCACTTTACATAAAGTATTTATATCATTTGAAAAACTTGGATTGGTCTTTAAAACTGGCTAGGCTCTTCTCTCAGGACAAGTAGTTTGAGTTAATACATGAAACCTCTAGTCAAGTTTAACACAACACACCTACCCTCATCGCTTTTCCGCTTTCGTAATAATTAAGACTTGAATGAAACAGCAAGTTCGGCAACTATTTAATCAAATTAATTAGTAATTAAGATGCTACAAAGTGCGCGTATGGGGGGGTTGCTTAGGCAATTGCCGCAACTCTATTCAATTTTTTTATTTTGTTTTAATACCTTTCATTATATATTTGGGTTTTGATATATATAATTTGAAGGTTGAAATCAATTTATGTGTCTTTGCACGCAGTATTTAAGTCTTCGTGGTTGTTTATTACCTTTTGCCACATTTTAAAAACCTCAAGCAAAGCATATATGGATTTTGCCAAGTCGATTAGAGCGGATGTGCTCCTCATTTTGCACCTAAGTTGAAATTCTCATCCCCATAATTTAAAATAGAATATCATCTTTACACCCAAGCAACTAGCTGAGCTTTTATAACCCCATATGACAGAAAACCAAATGAGCATGAAAATGCATGCCAAATGCCAATACAATAGTTAAATAACTTCACATTCCATGCATGATGCATGCTTGACATATGTAGTGTGCAGTTGGGAGACTTCGGAAAAGATTAAAGGATAGAGAAGTTTTTTAAAAGAAGCCAAAATGAACAAAATTGCCCTTATTTATTTTTGGATTTCCTAAGGAATCCTTTACATTTGCATGTCTTTAGTTTGAAAGTTGAGAGGTTTTTCTGTTTTTTTATATAAAAAATTTGGCTTTTTTTCAAAAGTGAAATTTTTTTTTATGGCTAAAACCTAAATTTACTTTTCTTTTCTTTTTGCAGTCCTCTTTCTCTTCTTTGGATAAGTCCATCAACATGTTAATGACACCATCATGCATGATGATCATATCGAGTATGTCAAAGAAGAAAAGCAATTAAATTACGTAAAATAATATTATATAGTAGTTTGGATTGGAATTTAAAAAGGGAAAGTGATGAGATAAGCTGTGCGCAGTCCTTGGTCGCAAAAGTAAACGCCTAGCTTTATAGTTCAAAAAGAAAAAGGGAGACAGAATAGAAGGCCTTAAAGTTGGACCGTATGCTTTTTCAACATATGAGCTCGTAAATTTCACACCACCAAGGAGGCTAGGACAAGTATATATGACTGTATCAAACCCTATCTCTCTCTCTCCTCTTCTTCTTCCTCCCTCCTCCTCCTCGCTAATTGTCCTCTCATTTCTTTCTCTCTTCTTGATCTTGATTCATAGATATGCACGTGCATCAAAAACAAGAAATATATGTACTTAGTTTCTAGCTGGATAGCAGTAAGAATAATTAATATTGATGATTTAGCATAAAGCTTCATCTATATATTCATCAAGGGTATCAACAAGGTCATAAAGTGGATCGAAAGCATGGGAAGAGGCCCTTTCCTGGTGATGAATCAGAGGAGAAAGCGGAGGATCATCAAATCTTTGAGCCGTTTTCCTCAGCTCGATCTCAGCAAGAGATGTCTGCCATGGTCTCAGCTCTAGCTCAAGTGATTGGAATCACTGACCAAACCCCAGTGGTTCAAGTGCCCGCCGAGCCATTGGCAAACCCCCTGCCCAGCGCCACGGAATTGCATGACGATCAACCTCCTCAACTGCAGGCTGCTCAAAATCAAGGTTTAAATATGTAGACAGTTGACCAAGATTTTACACATACACATATATAGCTAGTACTTAAGCATGTTTCATGCTTGCTACTTTATTATTGATTGAGGTCTGCTATACTGACCTAGGATTCATATGGATTGATCGATCGATCGATCGACTTCCTAATTATTTGTTGATTTTGTGTAGATTTATAAGTCGATCATGGATTCATGGACCATGGTCATCATCCATGGTCATCATTCTCTCTCTCTCTCTCTCTCTCTCTCTCTCTCTCTCTCTCTCTCTCTCTCTCTCTCTCTCTCAATAAGTGCCCTAATCAGGTTTCCGCTTATGATGGATTTAAGGTTTGCTGTGCAGATTTCCGACTAATGGTTCCATTTCCATCTTAATGATTGTCTTCTTTTGATGGGCATCTTATTAATGATTGTTGATTAGAATCTATTTTAATTTCATTTCCAAATTCTGAATCTTTTTGGTTCATTTTAACTTTTAGAAATCATAGTATATATGGGTTACACTATTATTTTTCTGATGAATGAGTAATTCATATGGTTCTACTTGTTTCCTAATGCTTTTCCCGAGCTGTTTCTAGCCATATGTAGTAATATTTGGGGCACAATAACAACATATGAACAATGCTGTGCATATGTTACATTTGCTAATAATATTGAGAATAAGAACTATTATGGTCTCATATTAACTTACGGGATTTAGTGTACATATCATCCCCTAATAGAAGTGAGTCCAATGGCGGAGCCACTTCCAAGCCTGGAGTGGCCCTGGCCCCTCCAGATATTTATCTATCATCTATTATATTATATATAACATATAGAATTTGTAATAAACAACTTATAATTTAAGTTAAAATTTCATTTAAAACAAATTAGACACGACTCAATTAGAAATATTTAGCTCTAAACATGTAATTATTGAATATTTAAGTGTTTTATATACTTGTATTTTCTACTTCGGCCCCTCCCAACTTTACAATTCTAGCTCTGCACCTGAGTGAGTCCTGCCTCTATTAGGGTAATAGTACACTAAGTGTTCAGTTAACATGGTACAAATAATATTATGATATTGATTACCTCTCACAAGAGATGGATACTAGCCACGTATCTTGAAGAAATATATGTTCATGTCATGAGTGCTAAAATATTCCTATACCATATCTACTTTCTATTTGAATGTACCTAATTAAGGTGCTTAGTTACTAATTTACCTGGCAAAACACATTACATGTTTGTGAAGGTAATGTGAGGAGAAGGCACTATAGAGGTGTGAGGCAGAGACCTTGGGGAAAATTTGCAGCGGAGATTCGTGATCCAAATAAGGCAGCCCGAGTGTGGCTTGGAACCTTCGAAACAGCCGAGGCTGCCGCACTTGCTTATGATGCGGCAGCTTTGAGATTCAAAGGAAGCAAAGCTAAGCTTAATTTCCCAGAAAGAGTTCAAGGAGGAGCTGAGTTGGGTTACCTCACAACAACTGGTCCACAAGACTTAGCAGCTGGGGGGAGTCGAAGAACTGAATTGGCTCATCACAATCAGCCTCTTTCTGATCATCAATATCAACTGCAGGCAAATCCCAATGATGTTAATTTTACTCAACCTGATCAATATGCACAATTTTTTCGAGGCGGTAATTATGAGAACCTAAGTTACGATGTTTTACCAAATACTTTTTACGAGAGAGAAAGATCATTTGTTTCCCAGACTTTATCAGCTACCACTACTACATCTTCATCATCATCTTCAGTGCCTTTCGTACCATATCAACAAGAAGATCAAGATCAACATGTACAACAACAACAGCCGTTAAGCTTTTCTATGGCGCAGCAGCCGTTTGGTTCTTCTTCTTCTTCGAGTTCAGACCCTTATAAGAAAAAGAAAGACTTTGGACAGCACCCTTAGTATCAAGACAAGTTCCAAGTTTCTCTGGGGGAGATGAAGAGAGAATGATATAATGATCTTGGAGCAGAAGTCATGAGATTTTCATTCTATATATATCTGAACACATATATTTGTTTCCTTAAGTTTTCATGCATTAATTGTTTCTTTTTTGTTTTCTTGAATTAAACCCTTTGTTTGTCATCAAGCCATATAGTTTGCGAAATTTGAACAGGGTTGACATTGGAAAGCCCTAGTATTTGTTTGACTGGAGAGAGATTTTCTGTTATTTAAGCTAAGTCGATAAGAGAACATACTGTTGAGAGTGTTTGTCTCATATTGAAAAGTTAAGGGATCAAGCGTGAGTTTATAAGGAGTTGGGCTACTCCCTCTATAGCCAATTGGTTTTGGGGTGGAACCTCAATTTCCTTCACATACCAGTTCCATTTACAAGGGTTGATATGAGATGATGAGATTGAAAACCTGCCACAATTTTTAATTAAGATACATGGATTCTCCTAATCTTCCCAAGCACCCGAACCGGTCCGATCGAAAACATAAACAGAAAATATATATAAAAAGTGACAAAGGGAAGAGCTGATCGATCGATCGATACACTGTATTTGTGCAAACAATGGATTCTCTAATACTATAAGGCAAAGTCCAGCACACAAGGGGACAATAGCGGTGAATCTGGAGAGAGTCTAGCTATAAGGCAATATAAACACACACAATTTGGTTAGATAGAAGTGGCTAGAAAGCGGGTTTGCAGCTAATTAAGGCCAGGGAATATTGTTCTAAAAATCATTATAAAATGTCAACTAATTATAGTGGTCATGGAATTCGGCTATGTGTGACAAATGTGTCAGCTTATGCTCTCATTCCCAACTATATTTTTTATCTTCACCGTCCTTCTTGGCTATGTGTGACACATATATACAATTTTTTTATAATCCTATATATGCAATTTGGCACGTTCAATATGCATTTGCTTAATTATATAATATATAGGTTCAATAGGATTTACGCAATTTAATCTAAAAATTCCAATTATAACGGTTATAACCCAAAAATCAAGCTTATTAAGGTCACGTTTGGTAGTCTCGACTAGGTCAGGATTGGACTATTTAGCACTAAGTCGGATTACAACCTCACTAGGTAATCAGGTTCTAAGGGGTATCTACTTAATTTCTTTTCATTCACATGCATCCTACCTAGACTAATTAGTTTTTCTTTTTTTATTTATAGATTTGCACTAGTTAATCAAAGGTTCAATTTTATTTGTGCACAAAACGTGTGAATTTTGTTCAAACCGCACACATTACATGCAATGTAAATGTTATTAGAAACCCCGGCTCCAAATAATTGTTTAAAAAAAGAACTCCTAGAGTGGAAAGTAACCTAATTTTCAAATCAATCCATTATAATTACTTTTTTTTTTTTTTTTTTTTTTTTTTTTTTTTTTTAAATAAATAAATATGATATGATAACCACCATTTGAGCCACTTGTTGTGATCAAAGTCAAGTGGAATTCTTGGGTTGATTTACCTACAAGGAGTCAAAACTCATCAAGACATAAAAAGCTGCCCATCATCGATCGAATTCATACACCGAGGACTTCACACTCTCCTCCAAGCTGCTATGTCCAAAAAAACAAAAGAAAACAAAATCCGCAAACCTTAATTTCTTTGCACTTGGGCATTGCCTCAGGTTGCAAGAGTCAACACAATTATTAAAAAAAACACAAGAAATATTCTATATTATTCTAGCTTAACTTTGGAGAGATGCAAAAGACACACTAGTATAGTCATTTGGAGTATTTACTCTTTCAGATAAAGTTTTGGATTTGAGTCATAGCATATGTATAGTGTGTGTGAATTTAGTATGTTATCGTCCCTCTTAATAGAAAATGTCTTCAAAATAAAAAAACTTCGAGTAGACAAATTGAACTTGAATTTGAATGTAAAGTGAAGAGTTTATAACTCTACCCAACTAGCCTATCTTAGGCTTTATATATCCAATACATACAAAATAGAACCATCTGAAATCGGCGGAATTGACTCAGTATGTCCCACTCACGATTTTGATCGATCCATTCAATTAATAATGATTTGAGGAGCTGGTGTTTCGGCGGCTTCTTTGGACGGCTTCTCTTTGACAACGCGCTCTGTCTTTCGGCTCCATTTGTCAACCTTTACGGCTCCAGTCCTTTTCTTGCTTAACTCGCTATTTTGGTTGTTTTTTAATTGGTCTTTTCTTCTCTTCGACCAGAAAAATCTCGTAAACCATTATTTCTTTGGCTACAAGATTAATTTTGAACTTGACTGGAAGTATACTATTACTATTGTAACTCGTTATATTTTTATGAACATCAAATTCACTGCGATACTTGCTAGGCTGAGAGTTCATCAGTCCCTTTTTTCCATATGGATTTTATACCCAAAAAAATAATGTATAAAGCTCATAGCGATATAATGGATTGATCGTTCCAACTTAAATTGTATATATAGAGTATAACGATTTGGAACTTTTTTTTAGTACAAGCGATAGTTTAAACTAATTTCTCACACACACATACAACTATTATGATGTGGGAGGCCTCTAGTATGCAAGTGAAGACAATTTTTCATTAGGCTATATCTCGTTGGTATAATGGTTTGGATTTTAAATTATGTCTTAGCGTAGAATCCTTTATGGGTTATAATTTACAAAGAGCCCTAGATAGCCATAAATATCACAACCCAATCTCAAGCCCACCATGATCAACGTCAACAAAGCCAGAGCCCAATAAAGATAAATAAAAAGACACATTCCAGTGCTAAAATATGGAAATATAATGTGGAACCCTTTAACAAATCTCTCTAAAACATGCCATCTCCAAATCTATATTGATTTGTCATCTTTGGGATCTTTTTTGAGAAATATCTTAATTTGTTATTGCACCCTAACTAAATGCTTTCCTCATGAACTTTCTAGAATGAAAATAATAACTTTTTTATATGCATACATTTGTGTTCTGTGTGACCCACGGAATATGTGAGGAGGAGACAAAAATACAGAGGAGTGAGGCATTTAGGCTGGTAAGCTTTTGTAGAAACCTTCTAGACTACTGGTTGTTAATCAATTCAGTAAATTGAAGACGGATAATCTCTATCTTGTTTTTCAATTTCCTATTTACAAAGGATAGGATGTTGATAGCTGTCTGTTTGTTTAGATGTGTATTGTTTTTTAATTTCAAACTGATGAGTTAAGCAGCTCTTGTTATCTTACTCTATAATTCAAGAGATTTATTTCCTCGATTAATTAAGGGATTTACTTTCTTATTTTATATAGTTGACAAATTATTATATAATTAGGAGATACTTCCTCGATTAAACCCTATCTATTTCCTTGTAAGTCACTCATGTAAACTCCTATATATCTCCTTATGTATAAGAATATTCAAACCATGTAACCTAAAATATTCAAATCATATTCATATTTTAGCACGAAGGTATTGCTCCAAAGGATGTCTTCATCACCAGATAAATCTTGATCTTGATGTATTTTGTCAATTTAGTTTATGTAGAAGGTTGTAATTCATTGTTATTGTTGAGACAAGTTTATGTAGATTATTCATTCCAAGAATTCTTGTTATACACTCGTTCCAACCCTCAACTCTCTTTTCTAAGTTCATCGATATTAAACGAACGCACCTCTAAGACTTGTTCCACTTTTGGAAGATTCAAATCTAGATTTTTCATCCATGAAAGAGGTTTGGTTATCTGCAAGGGGGAGTTGAATGACTAGTATCAAATTGAATAGGGTTGACCTCCAAGGAAGTCCAACTTGCCCAATTTGCATATTTGCATCCGTGTGCATCCAAGTGTAGAATAGTAATCTTGGCAACAAAAAAAAAAGGAGTTTCACTAAAACACCCAAAATGGGGGCTTAAATTATAAAAAAACCCAAGCACTATTTAAACATATAAACACATCCAAAACCCATCATTACACACACTCAAAATCCATTTATAAACACACCCAAAAAGTTGACTTTGGGGTTAATTTTGGGTGTGTTTCTATGTTTAAATTGTGCTTGGGTTTTTCTATAAATACATGTCTAGGATTGGGTTTATTTATAAATTTGTAAAAAAAAAAAGGGTGTAGAATAGTAATAATAAATAATAATTGAACTAAATTAATTTAAAAATAAAAGTTTTGGAATGTTGGAGGATGGTTTCTTCAAACGTCCACACCACGAAGACGAAATATATATATATATATATATATATATATAAGTATAAAGATTCCTGTAGCAAACCCTATCTCCCATCTCTTTTCCTCCTCCTCTCATGTCTTGTCCTCCGATCTCTTTCTTTCTTTATTTCCTTTGCTGGTCTTCTTGATCTTGACCAATATTTATTGTACTGCTCTGGAGTTGAGTTGTCAGCCATATCATTTAATTCATGTATCAAAGCTAAAACAAATATTTATCATCAGCTGCTCCTGCTGGTGATTTAGCAATATATCAATAGCCAGTTTCATAAAGTGGATCGAAAGCATGGGAAGAGGCCACTTCCTTCCGATGAATCGGAGGCGAAAGAGGAAGATCAAATCTTCCCTGTTTACTCATCTCGATCTCAACAAGACACATCTGTTATGATTTCAGCTCTAGCTCAGGTAATTGGAAATACTGACCAAACCCCAGTTCAACAAGTGCAAGGAAATCCATTAATCACCTCACAATCCAGCCCTGCAGAAAGCCAATCTCAACCAGCACTGCAAGATCAAGGTATTGTTATATGCTGTTAGCCATGTAATCTTTTTTTCTTCTTTATTCCTCCTTCTGTTCCAATCATATGGTTTTCCCAACCCTTTTGTTATATGTTATCAATCTTGCATTCATTTCTCCAAATTAATATAATATTGCTTCAATTTAAGTTACTGTTCTTCCTAATTTGAAATATAATATATATATGCATATATAATATTTATCCTATGCGGATATTTGAATGTTATTAACGAGCGGATGCCATGTATTTTGTACTACCCTTCCTTGCTTTCTTGTTTACAATAGCATCCGCGGGATTCAGTAGAAATGATTTTTGAATTCATATCTACAAAATAGACAATTTATATTAGTAAAATACAATATATAGTGGGCTCTTTCCTCAAATAATTTAACGGGATGGAACCCTCAATGAAAACTACATATATATATATATATATATTGATCAATTTCAATATACAACTGGTGTTTTTGCTTCTTTTTCAGAAATTAATATCTTTATTCTTGTATTCTAACCAATGCTTTCCTCAATAGGGAATGTGAGGAGACAACACTATAGAGGAGTGAGGCAGAGAAAGTGGGGAAAGTGGGCCGCTGAGATTCGTGATCCGATTAGGGCAGCCCGGTTGTGGCTGGGCACTTACGACACGGCTGAGGCTGCTGCACTTGCCTATGATAAAGCAGCTCTCAGCTTCAAGGGAAGCAAGGCTAAGCTTAACTTCCCGGAAAGAGTTCAAGAGAGCTCAGAATTTGGCAACCTCACAATTACCACTCAACAACAACACAACTTGAACAATCCGGAAAATGTTGAACGAGTTCAAGTTACAGACCCTGTGGTTCCCAATCCTCCTCGTCAGGCTATTTCTCAACCGACATATTCCAATGTTTTTAATTATGCACCCTATGTTCAAGGTGGAAGTAACAACGTAGATTATAATGTTCATCAAGTGCTGCCATCTCATGAGAATCACGGACCGCAAATCTTACCCGCCACATCTTCTACATCATCTTCCATGCCATCTCAACAAGAAGAGCTCCGAAGAACGCAGGTTGGTTCTTCTCGTTCGAGTTCGGATCTTCCTAATAAATATAGGAAAGACTTCGAAGGCAGTCACTCAAGATGATAATGTTGAGGAGAGCAAAACCTGTGTGAACTCGGGTAATTATAAGTTTGATGTGTGTGTTTTTCTGTTGCTTTATTTTCGTTAATTTCTTTCGGGTTTTGAACCCTTTTTGCTATCTGCTCAAGTTCAGACCATCAAAAAGTTGGAATGATGAAGGTTTATTTGACAGAAATGTCTTCATGATAAAAACCAAGTTTCATTAAGCTATTAACCATATAAATAAGATAGCTGAAAAGGTACCTTGAGAGATGTGGGTCATGGGTCATGTTCATGCATGGCACCAGCAGATTCATGTTAGCAGATGCATGGTAAGCCCATGTTGTGTGGATATATACAAAACTGACCGTAATTAAGTTGTCGAATATCACAAGTTTGTATATCAGCAAGACTTACCCACCCAGAGACCAAACGGGAATAATTTGATTTCTGGAAAGAAGAAGATATTGCTTTGAAATGAATGAATAATATGTAGGCCAGCTTGGTGGGGACTCTTATAAGACGGTCGTCGAATTCGGCAGTGGGTGACAAGATTTTGGAGTTTAAACACGACAGCTATATGATTGCTTTACTTTTGGAAAACGGTCTCACGCGTTTTTCTGCCTTGCACTCATAACAATCTGACAACGTTTTTCTGCCTCTCATGATAATATATTCTTGAACGTATATTCTTTCGCTCTTTTACGATATATGAAATTTACGGGGTAACTTTTCAGAGTGACTGTTTATTAATGACATATTATACTCACGACAATGGAGTCTCCCTCTTTCCTTTTCCTTTTCTTGACTAAAAACCAAAATCGTATAACCAAAAATGGACAGATGAACACTAAATCGTGAGATGTGTGTTTCAACTTGCACATATCATTTTCTCTTCTTTTTCTCTTTAGGGAATGGGTCGGTCTTCAACTTTGAAGACATGCACAAATGTCAAACGCATGAATGGGACAGTTACAACCAAGTTTCATGAATCATGGATACGACCGGCACCATGTAAATGGACATTGCTTCTATGATAGTCCAATATGACATAACAATATCATTCATTGAGAGAGAGAGAGATGACTGAATAAGTGGGTGGGCAACTTTGGTTGGAGCCAAAAAGAAACCGACTGGGAGTTGACTTCAGTTCCAGTCTCCACGCTGGGGGTTGACTTGTGTAAATGAGAGATGACTGGTGTTTTGATTGGATCAACTGTTGCCCTTTGGCCAACGCTTCCTCTGCCTTTCATTTCATAGACGACTACAACTTCTTTTGTCGGCTCCAATTTTCAAACCTTTCGGCTGTCAGAGAATCACATTCACTTCAACTAGAAGCGATCGCTCTCGTGCACGTGCTCCACAGCCCACTTCCTTTACAACTAAGATAAGGGTCGTCCGTGGACCGGGCCAGGTCAGACCAGCCCAAAATTATTGTACTTTTTTCCAGACCGGACTTAGTATCGGGCCGGACCGTACTTGGGCCACAACAGTTTAGCACAGCTACTATCCATTATGGAGAGCCTGCTCATTCATGATGGAAATTCTGTTTATTCAATGCAAGTTTTCATAAGAGCATGTTTTGATATGTGAACAATTTGCATAATATAATGCAATTCTTGTTAGCGTTAGGACTTGATTAACTAAATTTATTTGAGCTAGAATAATCAAGCACATAAAAATCAGAGTTTTTCTATTTAAATCTCACACTTTTCTTTGTTCACCCCAATACTTAAATCATTAAGCTCTTAAGTTATATTATTATGTAAAAAGACAAAAAAGGTCATCCAACTTAATATTTAACCCTAATACAGATACACACACATCATACACCCCACCACTCTTCATATTAAGTTTTAGAAAAACAGAATCTCATCTACACCCTACTGCCATATTACTCTTCTCTTTCAATCCAAGAAACCTACTACACTCTTATCTTCTCTTCACAAACCCTAAATACGGCAAATCATAATCAAACAAACAAATAAAAAATAATAATCATCATCATCATCATAATTAAAGAAACAAAACTGGAGGGGAAAAAAAAACCAGACCTTGACTATGAAGCAAAGAAACAATGCCTGCTTAAGCCTTTGATTGATATATAATCTGAAAATTGCCACATGGGTTTACTTTGTTGAACAAGAAAATTAAAAAAAAATTAAAACATTAATAGTAAACTAATGATGCTACACATTTGACAAAAGTGTTTTTATCTCTTTTAAGTAATGTGATGTAGAGGTGAACTTAGAGTGGTGAGAGGCAAGATAGTGGAGTGTGGAGTGTGAGGTAGATGAGTTTTTTTATTTATTTTTTCTGTTGTGTGGGTATTTAAATATAGTTTGGGAAGATAGTGCGGTTTTCTTAGAAATTTTGAAATTTTGAATTAGAAATTAGGGTGAACAAAGAGAAGTGCGGGATTTAAATAGAAAAACTCAAAAATCATGAGAAAAAGGATCCCCATAACACTGAAAGGTATATATTTCCACCAATGCCAGAATATGACAACATAATAACAAAGGAACAATTTGTACAATAAGTGGGGAAATACTCGTGGAGATCGAACAAATACAGCAGCCGTGCGAACACTGAATGCCGAGAAGAATGTTAACAGAAGCGAAACATATTATATTATGACCCTACAAGTTATGCATCCGTAGTCCCCTGAGCCTTCTTCGCATAAGCGCCTTCTAAGCATTCTTTAGCTCTATGGACCTTTGACTGAAGATAAAAGCTTCCGTTTGTGGCATTCTGCTTGAACAAGCTGTCGTACCTCTACAATAAGGGAATTTGTTTCAAGAATGAAATGACTAACATTTCTCTCAGAAGATTTGACGCTAACATTTAGATGCAGGGAAAACAACGGGGTTCAAAAATGGATGAATAAAGCAAACCTGCGAGATCTCCTCCCATGATGCATGCTCTGTGACACCTAGAACCTGCCTTGCCTCTGGTTCAGCCATAGATTTGCTTGCTCTTCTGATATTCTGTACTGCTTCCCGAGCAACACCAGACTTTGAAGCATCTGCATTCAGTGATACCATAAAGAAACTATCTTAAACTACAGCTGGTAAGTATACTTGTGACAACAAAGCAGCAAGAAACCTAAGGACGAACTACACACAGCATGCGTATTCTGTAACTTAAAAGAGTTCATGAGAAACTATCTAGCTCTGAATTTGGGATTGCAAGAAACCATACTTGAGAGTGCCTGACGGTATGCTTGGACGAAAGCCCTGCCCAACACTGCCGAGCCCAATACAATCACATTGGCAAGAATTTTGGCAGCCTGTACACACAAAGAACGGCTTAAGTGAAAATCTCGTTGAATTGTAGGGTGTCAGTTGTCTTCCGGGTGGTGTAGATGGAACAAAATAAAAAGTTCACTGCAATTACAGTGGGGAGGGTATTTGTGGGGTAAAAGTTCGCTTTTGGGCATCATTGTCGGATTGGGTTTCCTCTAAATTCTGTCATAGACCTTTTTTCTTTATTCATGTGGACTAGCAGGCTGTTGTTTCTTAAGATGTTCTTTATTTTTAGAAGTTTTGGAATGCTAATTAGATATATCATCAGATGTTTCTTGTAGATGGATGTTCAAGGTCTTATATGCATATTCAATGTCCAGCTTGTTCAGGGGGAATTTTTTTATTTTTTTTTAAAAAGCAACTGTCTCGTAAAGGGTCAACAACGGAAACTTATTTACAAGTAACAGGTTAAAAGGTAAGCAGAAAAAAAAAATTACGAAAGATGGCCTGAAGCTGAAGAAGAAACTAATAAATCTATGAGACAAGTATCATTCAGCAGACATACCATCACTGACGAAGAAGCGAATAAAACCCAGAAATATAGTAATACGGCAATTCCGTCAGGATCCAAGAAACCTACAATAGCACAATGGATATGTAAGATATTGTTGTAATCAAATTACAATTCTCTCTCAGTGCCTTTCAGGGTGTGACTAACTATTAGATAATAGAAACAGAAATACAAAGCAATTCTAGCATTAGGGCCATGCCACCATCCTCAGATGACAACATCCCAAAACTTTATGACATAAAACCTTGCATCAAGAAACCAAATTTGACAGACCCAAAGACACCCATGAATTGAAAACCATCTTTCCACATTGTTCATCATCAGTATGAGAATTCTGGTTCAACAGTTTTCACACAGTTTCTGGTTACAAAATAACTGAAGCAAGAGACGTCTAGTGTTCTCTGAAGAATTTCTCTTTAAGGAAAAACATTACACACAAAGGTCTCAAATACGAAGAATAGCTAGAGAAAAGAGGCAATTATTTTCAGATGAACCCAAAAAAAAAGCACAGAAATTGCCCGATATAAGTACATCAACACAGAGAGAGAGAGAGAGAGAGAGAGAGAGAGAGAGAGAGAGAGAGACTTACAGATCGAATTTGGTGATGACAGGTCTGGGTTGTGGTTGAAGGAAGAAGGGGTTTAGGGTTTTAGACACACAGGGGTTTTACAGAAACTGAAGCGGAGAAAGGTTGTTGGCATTGAGTGAGAAAGAAGCAAAGGACAACTACAAACTTAGAAAACCCAATTGGGCCTTAAACACCGGGTTGGGTTTTTAAATTCGAATCCGAGTCAATCTCAACTTAAAAATACTAGAGCTTCAGAAAAACTTTTAATATTTTTATTCCTTTAACAAGATCATTTTTATTTTAAGTTAAAATCTTAACCCCCCCAAAAAAAATTTAACTTCGTAATATTGTTTTTGATTAGGTATATTGTAATCCTCCTCTTCAGTTCATACTATAAATTTAGCATCTCCATCCATGAGCACATGTAGTTGAGTAATTTTATAAATGAGTAATTTTTCAATGAAGACAACGAAAAACAGAGGCGAAATTTCATTTTAATCAGTCTATTAGTCACGTATGCTTAATTGCTTATTACTACAATAAAACGAAAATCACTAATTAACTTTCTTAAATTCGAATCTCCTTCCTACTCCCCTAATCAAAGAGAAAAAATAGAACAATTTGTTTTTAGAGGAGCTACAATTGGTGGCCCGAAGCTTGAAATAACAAAAAAATTCAAGACTCATGTAGAAATAGATAGCATAAGAACTTTCATGATTACGAAACCTTACAACATTGATCCATGAGCTACATCAGCCATTGTTTTGTTTTGGCATTAAGTACATAAGAACTGTCATAATCTAAGCAAGCAGACTTTAGACATTTGAGCCTTACAAAAAAAAAAGTTTGTATGCTATGCTGGTTCTCCCAAAAAGAACCTTCAACTTGATCCATGCTATTAGAGTTCTCAAAAACAACCTTCCCAAAAAACCCTTGTAAGTTCCACATTCCAACCACCAATGCAACCAATCATTCAAAATCATCGTCAGTTTTCACATGCAGAGGGCTTGATGGTGAAACATTTCCTTCATCATCACCCAATGCTTCCTCCTCCTGAGCCTTCTTCCTCCCTCGGGTCCTTGCTGCAACACTGCCTTGAACTGCAGCTTTCTTCCCACGCTTTGCAACTGGAGCCACTGACTTTTTGCTCTCCTTTGCATCCTCAACAGATTTCACTTGCAGAGGACTTGATGGTGAACCATTTCCTTCATCATCTTCCAATGCTTCCTCCTCCGGAGCCTTCTTCCTTCCTCTGGTCTTTGCTTCAACACCAGCCTGACCAGCAGCTTTCCTCCCACGCTTGGCAACTGGAGCCTCCGACTTATTGCTCTCTTGTGGATCCTCATCAGATTGCACCTGCAGAGGACTTGATGGTGAACCATTTCCTTCATCATCTCCCATTGCTTCCTCTTCCAGGGCCTCCTGACCAGCAGCTTTCCTCCCATGCTTTGCAACTGGAGCCACTGACTTGTTGCTCTCTTTAGGATTTCCCAGCTCAGAATCTCCCTCCAAACCATCAGTCTGGACAGCAGGAATTTCATTTTCCTCCGCATCATCCGTCTTTGTTGAGCAATCACCAAGATCAAATTTCACACGTTTGGGGCTCCTTGTGGACTTGTGGGTTGAAGGAGAATTCTGCCCGCCATCATTAACGACTTTTCCTTCAGACATCTGAGTGCTAGCTTCATTGTCGGAATCAGCCATTCCTTCTTCACTTGACTCCTCAGGTGGATCCACATTCTGCTCCTCTTCACTTGTAGATTTTAGAGACTCAATCATATCCATTATCTCTCTATTCACCTATCAGGATCAATCCCACAAGACAACGTAAAATTCCATAAGGTAATGTTTCATTGGATGCCAAAAAAACAAAAGAGGATAATCAAAAGCAATTTTTTTCCTGGAGGCAGTCATCTCTATGATTCCAGGATTTATATCTTATCTTCCAATAAATTAAAACGAAAATGTATGAATGACAACAAACCTGAGGATTTTGAAGAAAATCAGAGATGTCGGTGGGACAAGAAGGGCAGTTCATGACATTCTTTTGAGATCGAAGAGACCGCCCACCTCTGTTTCTTTCTCTGACAAAACTCTTACCAGCAAAAGCACCTTCTAAACACAACTTGCAAAAGTTATGAGCACAAGGTGTGGTTATTGGTGAAGTCATCACCTGCCGGCAAATTTGGCAGCTGAATTCTGCAGATCAAGACAAATCAACATTAGCGTGAAATCTGATATCATATACCATAAGCATGTTAACTATCTCAACAATAAACAAAGTTAATGAATAACCCGTTGGCAGAGTCTAAATTAACTAAGTCCAAAGAACAACCATCAACCCAGCGGTCAATATTGTCTTTTCAAAATGGCTCAAATCTCCCATATCAAACTTCCTTACCAAAACTATGATTGTGAAGGAAGAAATAATACTGATGAAGTGAGTGTGCTTTCCTGTAGTAGGACTGAAAGGGTGGGGGGGAGAGGGAGAGAGAGAAAGAGAGACCTTTCAAGAGCCTATCTCGGACAGTAGTGTTGTGTGCTTTCCTGATTGCTTTCCTTGACCTCTTTCGATCATCAGGATTTAATGCTTGAACAGGCTTTTTGCTGACAGGCGCTGGCATTTTCCATGTCCAGCGGCCATCTTTCTCCTGATAACATTGTACAATATAGTTTATGAAATCAAGATGAAAATATCAAAGCACAGTGACCTACTATGAATATTAATTGTCCACAGCCTAGACAGGGACAAGATGTTCTAAGACAGAGGAGCCCCAATGACTACAAAACCAAGAAAATAGAATATTTCAAATCCAGTTACGAAAAACTAAAATAAAATAACTTACATCAAAGTCCCAAGATGGACTTTGCTTCCTCTCTGTTATATCTGTGGCTTTCTTCAGCTCAGGAATAGGAGGTAAGGGTCTAGGTCGATCCCCATGTTCATCACTGCAGTTCAATTTGCAAAGATCAATCAAAAAGGTCTACCACAGAAGAGGTCATAACAGAAGCTAAAACTTACCTCGTCCATGGTGCAGGTTCATTGTCACATCTGACAAAAAGATACCGGCAGACCTTGAACCCCTAATTGAGCAAACACATTCAGTAAATCAGTTCAGGAAAGTATAGGAACCCATCAGGCACTTCCATAGTCTGGGATAACATATATTTATTTACCTGAACTCCAACCTTTTTCCAACATTTTTCTATTCTGTAGCATCCATCATACCGCACACCTTTCTCAGGGGCATAAGAGGAGCGCTTCTCCTTGTGAGACCTAATAATCAAATGGAAGGGAATAGGTTATGCTCAATGGAAAATGTTAGAGCACAATAACAAACAATTGATACCAAGACATAAGACACATAATTTGAGAACTTGACTCATCTAAACAAACTTTCATATGGGATCAGCCAAAACATAAATGGTCATTCAAACTAGCCCTCAAATAACAGATGAACTTAAGAAAAAAAAATCAAAAGTTGACCAAGTCTTAACACAGTATAGGGTGAGTATGTGTTTAGAACATGGATATTTACCTTACCACTCGAACAGGATAACCTTTCAAGCAACTAACTTGGAGAGCCTTGTTATATTTGTCAAATGTCTGGTCAAAAGACTGTTCCTTGTTTGTTCGCTTATTCCCACTCAAATCCCTTCCACCACTGACATGCACATCCATGTAAACAAGGCAGCAAAAGTAAATAAGGGAAACCAGAGAATAAAGAGAGATTAATTGATCATAAACATAAGATGCCTGGTGAGAAAAGTGACCAAAAGATAAAATATGAAAAACTTCTCTATGTAGAAACAGGAGCTGGATACAAAAACAACATAATAATTTATATCAATTGTGCACAGTATGTGAACATAATAAATACTTGAATTGGAGCAGAAAACCATGGCAATGGCTGATCTTATATGAACAACTAGAACATAGAGGGTTTTATCAATGTTATCATGGTACAAAATAAAGAACGTCAAAAACCTTCAAGAGAAATGAAATAGAAGGCACAATTTAAGTGGAGGATCAAGTGACAAACCTTCCAGTGTATAAGAACCACTCTCCATGATCCTCATCATCAAGGTACCCACCTGAAAGCACAACTGACTGTGCACCATGATTGGACTGTCCAGCTATACCAGAAACATGGGGAAAGTGTACACCCCATTGTCTACATTCCAGCCTATCCTCCCAACTTTCCCCAACCAGCACACCTCGATTTCTCTCTGGATCATTTTCAGCAGGAATAGGTCCAAAGTGATCTGATGGAATAGTGACAAATATCTTGCCACTGGCAGCATTTGCTTTTCCAGTCTTCTGAGCCCGGTCTGTAGTGTAGGCTTTGTCAGGCCTGTCTTGGTTTTGTATAAACTGATAAATCTTAGCAGGACCCCCAGTAACATTTGATTTTGACACCTTAGCCATACGGATGGCAACTACAAGTGAAGAGTTGATGCGGGGTTGACTTGCCATTTTGGGAGGAATGGCATTGCGGCACTTTGCACAAGTACGCTTCCCTTGTCCAACCCATTTCTGGAAGCACTTCAGGCAGAAATTGTGTCCACATGGTGTCTGGAAACGAAAGCATACAACAATTTTTTATTAACATGATTTAACTATATCAGTTCAACAATCTACTAATTCTCCTCTGATGTTTCATAGGCAATGACACAAACATTATGAATACAGACCACATTCAAAGCCTGAAACACAAATTATCTTGAATACCAAATAATTCTAAATCCCATTTTCCTATCCAAGCAGTTTCTTAGTTTATTGAATAAATGTTAACCAGATCGCCCCTTCAAACCCCATGCAGGATAATATGGGAATGAACAAACTATGTGGACCAGCGAGGATGTCAAATGGTCAACAAAAAGATTGAATACAGATGGTAGACTCCTTTTGCATTAGTTGGAGCATTAGTAAAGTACATCATGAAGATATTTGAAAACTCAAATTTCCAAAAAAATAAAGTAATGAGTGCCAAAAGAGAAATCTAAAAAATAATAAGAACTGCTACACTAAGAACAAAAAAGGTAGAGCGCCATCAAAGGAAAACATAAAGTAAATGATAGGGCCACATTACCCTAATTACAGGATCAGAGGTAACAAAAGGCAATTTCACAAAATAAGCTAGTCAATTCCACATTTGGGCAGGAACCAAGTTGGAGAAGCTACAGAGATTAAAGAAATTTGGGGATATCCGACTAAAATTAAAGCATCAGAAACATAAATAGCGAAAAAAATCATTTTAAAGAAGAAAAGCTTTTAGGAAAAAGTAATAATCAACCGCAAAAGCGGAAGAATACAAAATGAGAGAAAACAAGCTCATCTCATCACGCTTTCTCAGGAACATGTATAATCAGTCACAGAACAAGGACGACGAGTCCAAGATATATAAAAATAAAAAGAATTACACTAATATGTGTGCCAAAAAGCCCTCACACCAACTCGAATACCCAGAACAAGTGTAACCGAAAAAAAGAATTTCGATTGAAGAAACCAGAAATTAAATTCAATAAGCAGAGGAAACAAAATGAAATGACACTAAGACGATCTGGGAAACGACAATAAAATTTTGGCAAAGAAAAAGGAACAGCAAACCGTGTGTCGATAAAAATAAGCAGTGAATCTAGCACTACATCCAGAGAAGAACCAACACTATCTATCAGCATCCAAACACACCAACATAAACAAATATTTTCTAAAAATTAAGAAAATAAAAAATAAGAAAAAGAATAAGACGAATCGTACGAACCGTAACAGGTCTCTCCGGTAGCTGCATGCAAAAGCAACAGTAGAAAATTTTATCCAGAACATCCAAGACGTCCCTCCCTCCCTTCTGACGACCTCCGTCTTCTTCGTCCACTTCAGCTTTGCCGCTCAACAGCTCCTGTCGCTTCTTCGCCTTCTCCTGCTCCGTCAACGACTCGTCATTTTCGATCGCCCGGATCGCCGCGACCAACTCGCCGGAGCCGGCGGAGTTCACGGCGGGAGCGGCCGGAGATTCGCCGGAGAACGTCGTGCAGTCTGGGCACTCCCACTGGAGAGTGGATGCCAGGCTTTCGGGTCGGGTCACGAGGCAGGCCACGTGCCAGGGCGTGACGCAGGTCTTGCAGGTGAGCTTGTCCTCGTCCGACGGTTTCCTCTTGCAGAGCATGCAGACGCCGTCGCCGTCGCACGGCAGATGGCTAACGTACGCCATGGAGCACTGTACGATAAGGGCAGGGAAGTTAAAATGCGCCTGAGAGTAAGAGACTTAAGGACAATGTGAGGGAAAGACGTTGGAGGAGCGATGGATTTGGAAAGACTCGGAATGTATATATTAGAGGGAGATTGAGGGACGGCGGGTTATTGAAATGTGTTGGAGTGGTTTTGAAATTTTGGAGGTAATCTGGTGTGCCGCGGTCTGCGGAAGTTGGTACGTGTCAATCGGGGAATGGTCCACGTTGGTAGAAGTCAAACAAAAGTGTTTTCGTTGACTGATTTCAAATTTTGGTGCCAAATGTCGATCCCGCTTCCGACTCGTTTGAGTGCGCTTCGCCTGTACGATCCTGGCCAGGTTTTCCCACATACAAATAATAAAATACAATTTCCTTTTACTAAAAATACAATTACATAATGATTTAATGATATTTAGTACGGTAATGACGATTCTACCCATGATTTCTTCGTCCCTTTATTGTTCTGCGATGAAGTTTCTTTGTTATATATTACTTGTTTTTATAAAACAAAAGCTAAAAAGAGACATTGGGATGACAAAATACACCGAAGATTAAATTTTTTTGAAAACTATATATTTGGAATTGTAAGGTTTATTTAAAATTATTGAGTAAGTAGCATTATGTACATATTGTGATTCATGTGTTGCACGGGAAAAATAGTTCACTTAGGCCATCTCCAATCCATGAGGCCAAACTCAAAAAATTCCAAATTTTAGCTCAATTCATCTCCCAACCCAATAAAAGAAAGGGTTAAAATTTGAGAAAACTCAAACTTGGGGCCAAATACCAGTCCAGGCAAGTTGGACTAGAAAACTTTTGAATGTTTCATCATTTTATGTCTTTTCCTTTATATATATATATATATATCAAATCTTTCTATCAACAAAATAGCGATCATTTTTTGTTAATGTTAATAATTATTGATTATTCAAAAATTTAATCAACTGTAATGAATATGTGTAAACATTCAAAGGTATACTTGTTACTATGTGTCATCCATTCAGTTCGATTTTTCTGAAACAAAATTGAAGCATAAGGAACCTTACTTATGCCTGCACTAAAGTTGATGTTAGGTTCTTCTTTATTATATGCGATGGAAAGGTCTCTTTCATTTATTGTTACTAAGAGAGTGATGCATTTGTTTTACATTGAATCGATATTCCTAACTAACAATTACTACACATGACTTCATAATTGCCTTCATTTTGCAAACCAACATTTACATGATCAAATATCATCTTAAGAGCACTTCCATCGCTAGGCATTAACCCGGGTAAAAGGCCCCCCGAAGACCAGTTTCGCACTCCAGTGCAGCACCTGCAGCCCAGGCAAGCCATGAGTCCCACCAGCCCGGGCAAGCCCAAAGGGCAGATCTTGACTGGGCTGTTGCCCCCGGGCTGATGACGTCAGCATCTGATTTTCAAATTTTTTTTTTACTGTTTGACCCACCAACCTACATTGCAAAATGGTTACAAGCCATGTGGCTTCTCCTGGAGCCTCCGATAAAAAAATCTTGCACAATCCAACAGTTGTCCAATTTTTTGCTACAAAAAATATCAAAAATCAAAAATTTCTGGAAATTTTTTCTATACATACCTATCAATATTATTTACTTTCCACACCAATTTAATTTCAAAATTTTATCCGAAAATGTTATCTTGATTTTTAGGTGAGGATTTTACGATAAATATTAACACTTGGGAATTGAAAATCTTATCCGAAAAACTTATCAAAATCAATGGTTTAAGTATAAAAAATAAAAAATAAATTTAAGTGAATAATAATTGCCTTAGACTTGCCCTAAACTTAGTCTTCATGGGTGGAACAACAAATGGCAAGGTTGACACTATTCACGTGAATAATGGCAGCCATTGCTTGCCCTTGCTCTTGCCCTAGACTTATACTTTGTGGGTGGAGATGCTCTAAGGTTACAAAAAGTACTTGAGCATTAGAAAAAACAAAAGGGAATTACTTTTGAAATGGCACTGTGGTAGTTAAAGAGCTTGCACGTGGGCATTATTGGAAATCAACGGTGCATATTTTTTTTGTCATTGCACCCTAGTAATTTTAGTTATATTTATCTTCTGAAATGAAAAAGTTAACTGCATTACTCAAAAAGTCCATTTTCTGTATCCAAAAAGTGGCACTTAAGGCAATCCAACCAAATCCCCGGATTTGCGAGAGCAATTAATGGTGGTCTGGTCAGCAGCTGGGTTGTTGAAACCAATATTTACTATTTTTTTATGAGTGTTACTAAACTAACCTTAAAATTAATACAAATTTATAAATAAACCCAATTCTAGACATGTATTTATAAAAAAAACCCAAGCACTATTTAAACATAGAAACACACCCAAAATCAACCATAAAGTCAACTTTTTAGGTGTGTTTATAAATGGGTTTTGAGTGTGTGTAATGATGGGTTTTGGGTGTGTTTATAAAGTGTTTTGGGTGTTGGGTTTTTTTATAATTTCAACCTCCATTTTGGGTGTTTTAGTGAAACTCCCTAAAATTAATTTAGTACATTATATATGATTTAAGTACACTATAATATTTAAATTAGAATATAAAATTAACTAAGTACAACATATTTAATTACCAAAAATACCCTTAATACACCCTACACTCTATCACACAACACCAAACTCATTGGAGCGTTCGCTACCAAACACTATCAGACCACCAAACCCACCTTGTTGTGTTTTGGTACCTCCGTGGATTTGTTTCTATCGCTCCAAATTGAATATATGATTGTGTTTAGATATGTTTTAGTGATTTTTATTTTATTTTCCCTATTGCTTTTCCTGGGACATTGAGCACACGAGAATCACAAAATCAATTTAGACTAAATTCCAATATGCAATCGACCCATCTAAGATCTTTGCTATTATCTTGTTCATATTATTAACAATTGACCAAAAGAAAAGTTTATTGACCCAAAAGCCGTTATCTTCCTTTAGAAAAAATGGTGTCAGGCAAATCAACTACATATGAGGGAAGTTGTACCTCTTTTTCAAAAGCCAATACACCAGATATCATATTCAGTGAAGCTGCATTTCCTCCATTCTACGACGATGATGTGGTGGACGGTATTGTTGTCCCGCGAAAGACTAAGGGTTAGGTTAAAGATGATAAAACAATGACGACCGTTTGATTATGGTTAAATATGGTGAGTGGTGTACTTATTAAAATTACATTTGTTTCACAATTCAATATATTCTTTTTGTATTTTATATTAAGATAAATTAATAATTCAATAAAATTTTAGTATTATGGTGTACTCAATTAATTTTAAATTTCATTTAGCAACACCCCTTTTTTTAATTCACCAAAACAAGATATTTAGTGTGATTAATAAGATTACTCAAATTGTAAAACTACCCTTTGTCGTTGCATGGCCCCCACTCCACCATCATTATCAGCTTCTTGACTTTTTTACTACCTAATATGCGTTGTCAAATCACACGTGTCTTTATTTTTCTGTTTGGTCAAGGAGTTATGGCGCAAGGATAAGAAGAAGGTTTTTCAGTTTTCAGTTTTTATGTTTATTTTTTAAGTGAGGAATATTTGAAAGATTGAAATTAAAAATAATACAAATTTATAAATAAATTCAATCCTAGACATGTATTTATAAAAAAAACCCAAACACTATTTAAACATAGAAATACATCCAAAATCAACAATTGTATATTTTTTGGGTGTGTTTATAAATGAGTTTTGAGTGTGTGTAATGATGGGTTTTGGGTATGTTTATAAAGTGTTTTGGGTGTTGAGTTTTTTTATAATTTCAGCCCCTATTTTGGGTGTTTTAGTGAAACTCCCTAAAAATAATATAATACTATTTTGCTTATGCATTTAACATAAAAGATAACAAAACTAACAACAGGTTAATTTGTCTAACGAAACCGAAGTTGAAGGATTTTGAAAATTGAGGGACCAAAATGCGAATCGAGTCAAAATTCAAGGACCATTAAACTTAAAAACCCTTTTTTTAAAAAAAATTGCTTTTATTCTTAATTATAATTTATTGCAATTCAAAATAGTTTTCTTTTTTATTTATTATATATAAATATATATAAATATATATATATAAAGCAAAATGCAGAAAATTGCGAAACATTCAAAATACTAGAAATTGCCATTGATTAATTCAAATATTAAGAATTGAAATTATTAATTAAATGGGGATAATATGGTAAATATATATATTTTTTATTTAAAAAATAAAAATAAAAACAAAATTAGATAATAGGTCCTACTTTTATAGAACATAACTACCCATGTTATCTTTTCTTAATGCTAAAAATAAAATAAAAAATAAAAAAGAAAACCAATTCATGCATGTGCAAAGGGGCTAGTGTATATATATATATATATATATATATATAGCTTCCATTGAGGAATCCCTTAAATAAGTTTATTTGAGGGACACCCCTTGTAGGTCCCACTACAAATTGTATTTCACTAATCCAAACAATCTATTTTGTAGATACTCATTCAAATATCATCTCTACAAAAAATTACTTGAATCCGATATCATTTAACTACTCATTTGAGTTATTGAAATTTTAGTACTTTCTTGAAGCACCGTGTTCATTGATTTTGTAAGACACAACTGGATGTCGAGGTGCCCTAAAGGGCGTCTCTCAAATAATTTTATTTGAGGGATCTCTTAAACTATACAATTTAAAGTAATTCTTGTCTATTACATTTTCTATTGGAGCATCGACCATGTATTCTCAGTGGACCATGTGGTTTTCGGCAACAGGGGATAAGATGGCATCGAATCTAATATATGTATATTCTCCAAGTAATAAAGAAATAGTTCCCATTCTGCATAGAACCTAGTGACAAAATGTAGAGCTAGGCATGGGTGGTTTCAAATTTCCCCATTATCAATAGTGGATATTAATATAAAACTACACATTTTTTGGAATAAAACTTTTCAGGTCCAATATATTATCTTAAACCCAATCTCTCT